GTGCATACTTCTCAGAGTTCCTGTATTGTATTCTTCAGTTCCATTAATTCACTCATACTCCTCTCTAAGTTGTCTATTCTCAATAGGATTTCATCAAACCTTTTTTCAAAGTTCCTAGTTTCTTTACGTTGGGCTACAACATGGTCTTTTAACTCACCGAAGTGTGTTATTATCCATTCCTTGAAGAGTGATTCTGTCATCAGGATGCGCTCGTTCTCCATCAAGCCTTGTTCCATTGTTGATGTGGAACTGTGATCATCTTTAGAGAGAGAGGCGTTCTGACTTTGAGTATTCTCAGCTTTTTTACGCTGGTTTCTTCCCGTCATTGTAAATTTATCCTCCTGTCATCTTTGAAATTACCAACTTTCAGATTAGGTCTCTTGAGTGGGCGTCCAGGTTGTTAGTTCCCAGGGCCAGAGCAGCGGCGTTAAAACTGATGGTGCTTTTCTGCCCAGGATTCTCCTGTCTGGCTTCCTTCTTGTGTACGTAGTAGGCGACTCTGCCTTCCCGGGGCTCCAAACCTCGGTCAGAAGGGGAACTGGTCCCGTTTACTCTGCGCCGAGCACTGCCGCGCCGAGGTGCCGTCACAGCCACTGCGCTGGGTTCTGGTGTCCTGCTGGGGACCCGTCCGGGTCCTCCGAACCTGTTTACTCTGCTCAGAGAGCTGCTGCGCTGAGGTGCCGGCGGAACCGCTGCGCCGGCCACGAGAGTCGCGCTGGCCACCCGTGTTTTTCCTCCACTGGGGGTTCTTCTGCTCCGTGAGCGACCAGAATTTGTCTGAAAGTGTGGCGTCCTCTAGTTCTCCGCGCCTTCCCTGAGAGCTGCAATCCCGGGATGTTAGTGATCGGCCATCTTGGATCGTCTGTATCTATTTTAGAATGGCTAAATTGAACAATTAATATATATACATTATCTCACTTCATTTTTTAATGGTGAGAATACATAAAATCTCTCTCACCAATTTTCAAGAATAGAATACATTGTTAACTGTAGTCATGCTCTACAATAGATCTCTTGAACGTATTTCTTCTTATTGAAATTTTTTATCCTTTGTTCGTCAAAGGATATTTTTTGGGTTTTCTGTCTATCCCATAGTGTGACAACTACACCTGGCAGGCCAAATCTGGCTACTTATCTGGTTTTGTAAATAAAGTTTTATTGAAACACAGACACACTCATTCATTTGCAGAGTTGAGTAATTGCAGCAGAGACCATAATGGCCCTTGAAGCCTAAGATATTGCTATGTGATCCTTTATAGAAAAGTTTGCCACTCCCTGATACCATCATAGCACTTTAGTAATGATTTTGTTATATTCTTTTTATGTGCATTTAATTCTTTCTACTTGTAGTCTTAAAAATTGTGCTAGGTATTCAATTTAGATAATATTTTGCCAATGTTTTCTTCTTTCAAAACTTGCTTTATATTATTCATATATTTTCCCTTGCTTCCACTATTGCACTTGAGAAATCTGTTGTTCAAATTGTTTCTTTCCAGGTGGTTTTCTCTGATTACTGTCTCTTATCTTTGGAGTTGTGCAGTAACACCACCAAGTTCTGGGTTTGGATTTGTTTTTATTTATCCTGCTTGGGTTATGTTGCTCATCCTGAATTTACAAATATTTTTGTTTCATTAATCTGGAAAGTTCACAGCTGTTATCTCTTGTTAAATATTACCTTTCTTCTGTTCTCTCCAGTGTATCTTTCAGGTACCCCAGTAGACATATGTTAATTAGATATTCTTATAATGTCCTTTGTATCTCTTTATGTCTTTCCATTTCCCTTTTTCTCTTTGCCACATTTTGGGGAATGTATTCAGGTGTATCTTCCAGCTCCCTAATTTGTTCTTAATAAATATATTTAATTAAAAAAAATTAAACTTGTATTATTCAGTTATTCAGGTTGTTTCATCCCCCCACTCCCAAGTTCATCTCTTCATTCCTAATGGCCTCTTGTTGATTCACCACCTTTGTGAGTCCATCCTTGATTTCTTTAAACGTATATATTCACATCTGTTCTGTAATCTGTATTGGACAATTCTAACATCAACAGTTATCAAATCGTTGTCTGCTCCCTGCGACTCTTGCCTTCTTGTATATTTGATCTTTTATTATTAACTCATTGCTTGAACTTAGTTGGTGGGAGTCCTTTGGGCTTACCAAAAACGTTCTTCCAGAGAAGATTTATTCCTGCTTGACACTGGGGAATCATCAGTCAGAACTCCGTCAGCCTCTTTTGTCTCAACTCAATAATTCTAGGTTACTCTGCCCCACGTGTTGGTTGGGGGCTTCAGTTTTGGATAGGATGAGCCAGAGAGTCACATTGTAGAAGGAGCCTATATTCAGAAATGAAAATCCAGGGGCTCTACAGATCTGGGACTCAGACCTCTAAGAAGAGAGTGGAGGCTGGTTGGTGCTGTGTGATGGCACAGTGAACCGATTCAGTGATTATTAGAAAAGCTGCAAACTGGAATCAGGTGCTGCTCCTAGAGTGAGAGGTCTACCAGAGTTGCTAGGATTCTACTGCAAAGAATGGAAAGCAGGAAGAAACCAGTCTCTTACTTTAGCTTCCAGTCTCTCCCCAACACCCCCTATTGCCAGAGTTTAAGAAGAAACATTAAAATCAACAGAGAGAAAAATGGTTTACTGAATTCTAGGTTCAACATCTCAAAGCAGAGTGTATATAGAAGAGCAGATTTGGAGCTGAAAGATAATAGCTTAATTATTGGCTCTTAAATAACTTCTGCCTACCAAGTTTGCTGTTTTATTACCAATGTGCAATAAAGGAAGATTTGCTTATGTGAATAAATTTAATTTCAAGACTCTCATTTCTTTCATGAATGCTTTCCTGACCAACCATACACAGATCCTTTGCATCACACTGTTATTTATTGACACTTAGTGTCATATTAAGTTGCTGTTCAACTTTTAGAATGTTTATTCTTACTTATGTTTCTGTGTGTTTGCCTAGTGCACTGAATGGGGAGGTGGGTTTCAGGGCTGTGTTCTTACAGTTTGAATATTACAACCAGCCTAGCCTCGTACCTTAGAGTTAATTGACTACTACAGAGTACCTTGACATTTCTGAAAGTTGGAGATTTTTTTAAATGCTTTTTTTTTCCCAAGAGAATTAAATCATTTATTGATTACACATGATAATGGATGATACACAAACTTCATTCCCATCTATAATTTTATCTGGTACCATTATTCAATTGAGATATATTGCATAGGATGTGCCAACAATCATCTTTATAACCAATAATTCCATGATTTTGCTTGGGTAATCCCTTTTAATCGTGAACTTCAGGTCACAACAGTAACTATTAGTTCAACTACACCAAGGTTTCTGAAGACATTGGCTTCTCCACCCAAGCATGTTGTATATAAATTCCAAATAGAACCTGGCATCACCCTGAAGAAATTCTAACTTCACACTTTTGGGGAAATTTACCAAGATGGATTCAGAGTAGACTAACTTTACACAGCACATTAAAAAAAAAGTCATTTATTCAGCGTCACGATCAGACTATTACATTTAGCAATCAACAGCATGGGTGCAAAAAAAAAAGAAAAAGAAAAAACCTACATTAAAACCCTTTGTTGGAATGCCTTACACTTTCCACAGAACAGAAACTAAAATAACCTGTTATACAATTAGTCACAAATACAGTCCTCGTGTTTTTTGCCCACACATATGAGTATTTGTCTAAATCATGTATTCTTTGTAGCAGCTAGGCCCCGCCACCACTGTGCTTGGCTTAGTTCACAAATCTGTTATAACCTGTAGCTTCCCTGTCACTTCTCTGGCTCTCCTCTCCTGTTAAGCTTTGTTTTCTAATTAAAATCTTCTGCCACTGCCATAGCTACTGCTGCTACTGGAACCGCCATAGCCACCTTGGTTTCGTGGTTTGGCAAAGTATTGACTGCCACCACCATAGGGACCAGAGCTTCTGCCTCCAAAGTTTCCTCCCTTCATGGGTCCAAAATTTGAAGACTGATTGTTGTAACTGCCAAAATCATTGTAGCTTCCACCACCTCCAAAATTGCCTCCATCATTACCAAATCCATTATAGCCATCCCCACTGCCACCATATTCACCACCACCATGGCTGCCAGCAAAGCCACCACGACCACTGAAGTTTCCTCCACAACCAAAGTTGTCATTCCCACCGAAACCACCTCCACGACCACCACCAAAGTTTCCAGAACCACTTGGACCTCTTTGGCTGGATGAAGCACCGTCCATCTCTTGCTTTGACAGGGCTTTCCTAACTTCACAGTTGTGGCCATTCACAGTGTGGTATTTCTGAATGACACTCTTATCCACGTAGTCATGGTTGTTGAAGGTTACAAAGGCAAAGCCCCTTTTCTTGCCACTGCCTCTCTCAGTCATGATTTCAATCACTTCAATTTTTCCATACTGTTCAAAATAATCTCTTAGATGATGTTCTTCAGTGTCTTCTTTAATGCTGCCAACGAATATTTTTTTCACAGTTAAGTGGGCACCTGGTCTTGAGAATCTTCTCTTGAGACAGCTCTCTGGTTCCACAACTCTTCCATCCACTTTGTGTGGCCTTGCATTCATGGCTGCATCCACCTCCTCCACAGTTGCATACATGATGAACCCAAAGCCCCTGGAGCGCTTGGTGTTTGGATCTCTCATGACCACACAGTCTGTGAGAGTTCCCCATTGCTCAAAATGGCTCCTCAGGCTCTCATCGGGTTGTTTCAAAGCTCAACCCTCCAATGAAGAGCTTCCTCAGCTCTTCCGGCTCTTTAGGAGACTGTGACTTAGACATGATCACAGGGAGAAGAGAGACTTTAACGATGCTGCTTCGGCGGCATCCACTGGCAGAAAAAAGCTAAATGCTTTTTTATAAATGGAATATTCCTCAAAATTATACTTTTCATTGTTAACAGAGTTTTATTTTTCATGTTATCATTAATGTTAAGATGCTTAAAAATAAACCTTAGGAAATTAATTTTCTTTTAATTAGCAGGTACTTCTAAGGAAGGAGGCGCTGGAGCAGTTGATGAAGATGATTTTATAAAAGCTTTTACAGATGTCCCTTCTATTCAGGTAAGGCTACCAGTGGCACTCCCCATGAATAGTGCCTGTGTGCCTTCTCCTATAATTAATTATTTGTCTCTGTCCCTTTTTAAGAATTCTTTTTTCCTTAAATAGCTTTATAAATGAAATATTTGAGTTATTATTACCAAACCATTATTTGTTGGTACAATTAGATTTTCAAGTGAATTTTCCATGAGGCTGAAATAAAATTGAATCATATTGTTGAATCACATTACATTGCAGTGTTCAGATTCTTTAATTAATGTGTTTGGAGCCCAGAGAATATTAGATTAGTTGACAATAGAAATTTGGAAGTCATTCATATAGACATAATTGAAGTAGTCAGAGTTGACACATGCATAAATAAGAGTATTATTTCCATGACTTAAAAAGATACATAAATGTTACGTTGTACATAATATTGTACAGCCTAACTCTTTACTCAATGTTGTTGTTTATATTTTTTCACAATGTAAAATTGTGATTCTAGTTCATTCATTTGGCTTGATAGATGGCATTCTATTGTATGAACAGAACATAATTCATTTATCTGCCTTGTTGATGGACATTTAGGTTGTTTCTAATTTTTGGTTATTTCATGTCATGCCACAATGAATTTTTTTTGATTTTTCTTTTTTTTTAAATGGAGTCTTGCTCTGTTGCCCAGATTGGAGTGCAGGGGCATAATCTTGGCTCACTGAAACCTCCGCCTCCCGGGTTCAAGCGATTCTCTTGCCTCAGCCACCTGACCAGCTGAGATTATAGGCGGCCCACCACCATGCCTGGCTAATGTTTTAGGAGAGACGGGGTTTCAGTATGTTAGTCAGGCAAGTGATCTACCCACCTCAGCCTCCCAAAGTACTGAATTACAAGCGTGAGCCACCATACCCAGCCTGCAATGAGTATTTTTGTACATATGTCCTTGATGATTTGTAGGTAGGAGTTTCTTTAGGGCATAAATATAGGAGGTGAATTACATGGTTATAATAAAGCTTACTTAGATGTTATTCTCTTGGGTTGTTGTACCAGTTAAAATTCCAGTGAGAAAGGTATGATAGTTCTAATTTTATCACATCCTTGCCAACGCTTGATGTTGTTATTCAAAATATTTTTACGAGTATGATGGCTGTGAGTGCTGAATATTATTTAGCATGTCTATTTGAAAATATTCTCGCGTTGCTTTACTTGCAAACTACCTTCCATTGCCTGTATTACCTATTTTAGCTCTGAAAGGAAAAGTCTTCCTTACAGTATTTAAGATCTTAAAAAGTTACAAGAAAGCTTTAAAAACTTTTCTGATTCAACTGTATTTTCTTCCTTTATTGAGATACCTGTTTTTTCTTCTTTTAAGATACTTTTTAAATAATAGGAAAAACAGGCTGGGCGCAGTGGCTCACGCCTGTAATCCCAGCACTTTGGGAGGCCGAGATGGGTGGATCACGAGGTGAGGAGATCGAGACCATCCTGGTCAACATGGTGAAACCCCGTCTCTACTAAAAATACAAAAACTTAGCTGGGCATGGTGGCGCATGCCTGTAATCCCAGCTACTCGGGAGGCTGAAGCAGGAGAATTGCCTGAACCCAGGAAGCGGAGGTTGCAGTGAGCTGAGATTGCACCATTACACTCCAGCCTGGGTAACAAGAGCAAAACTCCGTCTCAAAAAAAAAAAAAAAAAATAGGAAAAACATATGCCATCCTCCTTTTGTGTTTTACAGACTTTCATGTAAGGGAAAGATTAGTGTTGTAGGAACAATCAGTAAAACTTAGTTGAACTTGAATTTTTTTTTGTTCGGTATGTTGTTATCAGACTGGTAACATCATGGTATGGGCAGCCAAGGGCTACTCAGTTATATGGAGAGGAAAAAGCTATTTTACACTTACTCATTGGTTTCTTCCAGGTGACCCTATCGGCCACCCTCAACACCCTGTAAATGTTCCACACCTTCCATTGTTCCCTTGGAAACATGTTTTTCATAAACAGCAACTCCCCTAAGTATTTAACCCCATTTTTAAAGGATCCATTCAATGTCCTTGCCTTGATTAGAATCTGATTTTTTTTTTTTTGAGACAGTTTCAATCTGTCGCCAGGCTGGAGTGCAATGGCGCAATCTCAGCTCACCGCAATCTCCACTTCTCGTGTTCAAGCGATTCTCCTGCCTCAGCCTCCTGAGTAGCTGGAATTACAGGCGCGCACCACCACACCCAGCTAATTTTTTGTATTTTTGGTAGAGACGGGGTTTCACCATGTTGGCCCGGATGGTCTTGATTTCTTGACCTCATGATCCATCCGCCTCAGCCTCCCAAACTCCTGGGGTTACAGGCATGAGCCACCGTGCCCAGCCTGTCCTTTTTTTTGTTTTAATACTCTTTAAACACGAAGCTATTTATTATTCTTGGCTCTCATACTTAGTAATTGATAATAAGTTTATTGTGCTTGCACTCCTTATCATTTTGTGACCATTATTCCTATACCCGTTTGTATGAGGTTCATGTTCTCTGGCCAGCCTCCCTATTATTGGCATGTACTGATCTGGCCAACATTCCAGTGCTGTCTAGTTTGAATTCCAGCTCTCCCACATTAGCTGTGTAACCTTGGTTTATTACTTAACCCTCTCTACTTCAGTTATCTCATCTTAAAATATGAATTATTAGTGCATACACCACAGGTTATTGTAAGGATAGCTGTGATAGTACAGATTAAGTGCAAAAGGTATATGTCAGCTATTATTATTTTCCTAAATTTTCACACATTGATGAATTCAGTTTCTAGACCTCCTCCTTACCTTCACCTTAGCTACACAGTTCATAGTCACACATTGGATTTTGATGTCATCTGTGTGTTACCATTCTGTTTCCAAAATCATTAATTGAAGTATCTCATCACTGCCCAGGATCTCCTTGCTTTTTTAAGTACTCTAACCACTACTTCTCCACGACTTCAAGGATCTTTAGTCTATTGTTTTTTCTACTCACTCTCAATTAATCATCTCTCAATTATACTTTCCTTCTCATCTACACTTTGATTTTCTTCTTATCTAACCTTTAATATCATGGTTTCTTGCAGTAGGTCTATATATAATCTACTAAAACCCCTTTCATCTATTTTTTTCTTCATAACAAAGTATGAACCAGTGATTTCTTTTAATACACATTTTGCAAAACTACAAATGTGGATGATTCCCAACTTTTTGCTATCTCTACATCCTGAAACTGTGCTGCTAGAGAAAATCAGGTTAGAGCACATGATTTTTAGTGGAATTCACATAAAATGAGTCCTCAACAATCTGATATCCTTACTACGTTTCTGTGATCAAGTTGTTTCTCTGCTTAATATAGCTATGAAACATGTTTCTTTCCTTTCTATCCATCAGCCTGTCTCTGTCCTCCTCTCTTCTCTCAGTATATGACCTACTAGCCTTACTTTGGTAAATAAGTAGCCACCATCAAATGGGAACATGATCTTTCTGTTACATTCTTCTCTATTGTACATTCCTTCTGTCCTGTTGCTCCAGGAACAAGGTTCTTCTTCAAAGGTCAGCACCTCCACCAGTGCTCCAAAGCCTAGTATTTTCTGCTTCCTTAACACGTTTACAAAATCAGTAATCTCATGTGGGTTCAAGCTCTTTCTGTTTATCTCTTAATATGGCTGGATTCTTCATTTAAAAAAACAAGTCTCACTACACGCCATATCTTCCAGATATATTATTTTTTATTTTGGTCCTCACAGTCAGCTTTTCCAAAAGAGTTGTCTGTACTTGGTATTTCTGTAACTTTACTTGTTACTACATCCCACTTCTTTCCAGCCTATTCTTAAATTGAAACAGGTCTTGAGTAAATCACTGATCATCGTTGAGGCACCAAATCAACTGATTTAGGATATTTTATTTGATTTTTCTTGATGTTTTATCAGTATTTAGCACTGTTGATTATATCCACTGTTGTGTTGTTTCTTTGTAGGTGTTTTTGATATGATGTTCTTTCATTTTATTCCTTTTACATCTTTGTCCACTTCATCTCTGTTTTTTTTGAAATGGAGTCTCACTCTGTCACGAGGTTGGAGTGCAATGGCGTGATCTCGGCTTGTTGCAACCTCCGCCTCCCGGGTTCAAGCAATTCTCCTGCCTCAGCCTCCCAAATAGTTGGGACTACAGGCGTGTGCCACCATGCCTGGCTAATTTTTGTATGTTTATAGAGACGGAGTTTCACCGTGTTAGCCAGGCTGGTCTTGATCTCTTGACCTCATGATCTGCCCACCTCGGCCTCCCAAAGTGCTGGGATTACAGGCATGAGCTACTGTGCCCAACATTCATTGATTTTTAAAATCTGTCTGAGTAGATCGTAATCTCCATAAGGCAAAGACCATGTCTATTTTTGTTAACCATAGTCTCCCCATTGCCTAGCATAGTACCTCTGTGTTATGTAAATATTTGTTAAATGAATGAAAGATTAATGGTATATCACAGTTTGACAAACGATTGACTCCAGAGGAAACAAAACATGTAGCTGTCTTGACTATAGTTTATCATGACAGAGGAGAGAAAATCAAAACTAACTTAAAACATTTCCTTTTGGTAATACTGTATGATATGTATACGAATGCAATAAGATAAATTATATACTTTAAGTCATTTTGAGAAATTAGACTTAATTTTATTAATTCTTAGATATTTCACATCTTGCTTTTAAAATTACAAAGCATTTTAAGAGTATATTTGAAATTATTCATGAGGAAAGAAACAGCAAAAAGGGTACAAGGAAGAAAAATAAAGCATTTTGTCTTGTTGTCTATAATGTATTTCTAGTCTCCATTTAAAAATGGTGCTAGAAAGGGAAATAAACTTATTGGTTGAAAGATTATTTTAAACATCAGGGCATAATTTTGATATTGTTCCTGGCAAGAAACATTGTTATAATTATGAATTTTTTTTTTTTTTTAAGATTTATTCTAGTCGAGAACTTGAAGAAACATTAAATAAAATCAGGGAAATTTTGTCAGATGACAAACATGACTGGGATCAGCGTGCCAATGCAGTAAGTTTTTTATCTTTAATTGTCTTATTTTCTTTCTTTTTCGATGTTCCTTTTTAAAAATATGGAAATTCAATTGTAGTAGTATATAGTATTCACTTACAAAATAGAGTGTCTGATAGGTAACATTTCTTTCTGGAGAATATATTGATATAATAGTCATTTTCTGATTTAGGATCGATTTTTATTTTGGTTTGGCTAATCAGATGGTGCCTATTCTACACATTTGGTAACCTCACCACATGTGCTATTTTTGACGGATCACCAAAGTGTGAGATTCAGAGGGCTTTGGCTTTTCTGTGGACTTATACAGTTGCTTATTAGCACTGTCCTCAAGACACATAAGGCCTACCAGTAAAGCAGTTCACTTTACCTACCTGCATGCTTGGTATTTTCATAGCATCAACATAAATTCACAGCAGGATGTACATTTATCTGGCTTTTTTTCTTCTCATGTGAATGTGATGAATAGTTCTTCGGTGATTTCATTTTTAAAGGTCAGATATCTTTGAGTTAAGAATATTTTGAGCCTAAATTCCTTAAGGAAAATATTTGATAAAATTTAAAATAATATTAGCATTGACAGTAAGCAATATATTTTTTAAATTTGTGAACTTATTGTTTATATAACCAAATTACATATACCAAATGAATACCTCAGAGTTTTCAAGAAGCCAGAGAAAAGGGCTGTATTTAAAGACTGTTCTGCTCTGAAGGGCCCCAATCTGGCTGATCATGAAAATCTCCATTTGATTAACTAAATCAAAGGCAGGGCCTTTTGACAAATAAGGCTTTAATGACCCTGTGAACAATGGACCATGTTTTGTCTTTGTTAGGAAGTCTTCAGTTATTTGTGGTCAGTCATGGCCAGGAAATACAAAGATACCATAGCAAGGCTTTTTTTTTTTTTTTTTACATTTACAACTTTTTGCATCTGATTTAACTTTAAAGATATATTTTAAATTTTAGAAAACCTCTGAGTTAAATGTGAAATTATACACAATAATGGTAGGATAAGTAGACTTTTGGCTTCTGGGTTTGTATGAGCACAGATGTGCAAGTGTGTATATCTCTTTTGATCAATGTAATTTTATTAACGTATGTCTGGTTTTTATGTGGATAACAGCTGGCACTCAAATACTAAAAAAGTAATGCCTTTTCTTATGTAGTTGCTCTGGCTAGGCCTTCTAGTACTCTGCTGAATAGAGGTGTTGAAAGTGGGCATTCTTGTCTTATTCCAGACCTTGAAAGAAAGGCTTTCTGTTTTTCCCTATTCAGTATGATATTGGCTCTGTGTTTGTTTAATATAACTTTTATCATGTTAAGAAGCATGTACCTTCTATACCCAGTTTTTTTGAGCGTTTTTATCTTGATGCAATGTTGAATTTTATTGAATACTTTTTTGGCATCTATATTGTGTGGTTTTTGTCCTTCATTCTGTTGATTCAGTGTGTGACATTTATTAATTTGTGTATATTAAACCATCTTTGTGTCCTGGGATTTATCCTACTTGATCATGATGAATGATCTTTTAAATGTGTTGTTGAATTTGGCTTAATAATATTTCTTCTAGGATTTTTGCATCTACGTTCATCAGAAATACTGGCCTGTAGTTTTCTTTTTCTTTTCTCTTTTTTTTTTTTTGAGGTGGAGTCTCACTCTGTTGCCCAGGCTAGAGTGTAGTGGCGCAATCTCAGCTCACTGCAGCCTCTGCCTGCCGGGTTCAAACAATTCTTGGCCTCAGCCTCCTTAGTAGCTAGGATTACAGGCATGTGGCCTGTGGTTTTCTTTGTTTGTTATGTCTTTGCTTTTGGTATTAGGGTGATACTAGCCTCATAGAATGAGTTTGGAAGTATTCCCTCCTTCTTGATGTTTTTGAATAGTTTGAGTACAATTGGCATTAGTTCTACACTAAATGTTTGGTAGAATTTAGCAGTGAAATAGGTCTTGGGCTTTTCTTTATTGAGAGACTTACTATGAACTTTTAAATAATATTTAATTAAACAATATTTAATTACTACTTCTGTCTTGTTGTTGGTCTGTTCAGGTTTTGGATTTCTTCATGGTTCAATCATGGTAGGTTGTTTGTGTCTAGAAATGTATCCATTTCTTCTAAAGAAATACAGAACATCCAAATTGGAAAGGAAGTCAAATTATCCTTGTTTGCAGATGATATCTTATATTTAGAAAAAACTAAAAATGCCACCAAAAAAATTCGGTGAAGTTGCAGGATACAAAATCAATGTACAAAAAGTAGTAGCATTTCTATATACCAACAGTAAACAATTTGAAAAAGAAACTGTAAGTTTAGCCCCATTTACAATTGCTACAAATAAAATATCTATAAATAAACTTAACCAAAGAAGTAAAAGATCTCTACAATGAAAACTATAAAAGTATTGATGAAAGAAGTTAAAGAGGACACAAAAAACAAAAGATATGTTCCATGTTCATATTGATTGGAAGAATCAATATTGTTAAAAAGTTCATAGTAGCCAAAGCAATCTACGGATGCAGTGCAATCCCTGTGAAAATGCCAATGACATTCTTCATAAAAATAGAGAAAACAATCCTAAAATTCATATGGAACTACAAAAGACCAACAATAATGAGTGAAGGCAATCCTGAGCAAAAGGAACAAAGCTGGAGGCATCCCTCCTGACTTCAAATAATATTACAAAACTGTAGTAACCCAAACAGCATGGTACTAGTGTAAAAGCAGATAAATAGACCAGTGGAACAGAATAGAGAACCCAGAAATAAATCCACACATTTATAGTCAACTCATTTCAGCAAAGGTGCCAAGAGCATACAATAGAGAAGGACAGTTCATTAAATTCTACTAGGAAAACTAGATATCCACATTGCAGAAGAATAAAACTAGACCCCTACCTCTCACCACATACATACATCAAAATTGACCAAAGATTTAAATTTAAGACATCAAACTACTACAAGAAAACGTTGGAGAAACACTCCCTAGGATGTTGGTCTGGGCAAAGATTTATTAAGACCTCAAAGTATAGACAAGCAAAGCAAAAATGGACAAATGAGATCATGTCAAGCTAAAAAAGTTTCTGTACAATGGAAACAGTCAATGAAATGAAGAACCCAAAGAATAGGAGAAGATATTTGTAAACTACCCATCTAATAAAGGAGTAATAACCAAATTATAAGTCAGTCAAACAACTCTATAGGAAAAATGTAAGTAATCTGATTTAAAAGTGGGCAAAAGATCTAAATAGACATTACTCAAAAGAAGACATAAAAATGGCCAACAAAGTATGTGGGAAAATGCTCAACATCACTTGGTATCAGACAAATACAAATTAAAACTTCAGTGAGAAATTATCTCACCCCCATTAAAATAACTTTTATTTAAAAGACAGGCAGTAACAGACAAAAAACAACAATGCTGGCAAGGATCTTGAGAAAGAGGAACACTTGTACATTGTTGATAGAAATTTAAATTTTAGTTTAGTTTAATTAGTTTAGTTTTGTTCTTTATTTTAGCTTAGTTTATTTAATTTAATTGTTGTATTTTGAGACTGGGTTTCACTCTTTCCCAAGCTGGAGTACAGTGGTGCAGTCATGGCTTGCTATAGCTTTGACCTCCTGGGCTCAAGCAGTCCTCCCACCTCAGCCTCCCAAGTAGCTGGGACTATAGGTATGCCACCATGCCCAGCTAACTTTTTACCTTTATCTTTTTAAAATTTTTTGTGGAGATGGGGGTCTCCCTATATTGCTCACATAGGTCTCAGACTCCTGGGCTCAAGTGACCCACCTGTCTTGGCTTCCCAAAGTGCTAAGATTACAGGCGTGAGCCACCACATGCAGAGAGAACAGTATGGAAGTTTCTTTAAAAAAACAAACAAACAAAAAAAACACCTAAAAACCACCATATGATCCAGTAATCCCACTGCTGTGTATATATCAAAAGGAAGATAAATCAATATATCAAAAAGATATCTGCATTTTCATGTTTACTGCAACACTATTCACAAAAAGCCAGGAGGTGGAATATACCTAAGTGTCCGTCAGTGAATGAATGGATGAGGAAAATGTGGTACATATACACATCGGAATATTATTCCACCATAAAAAGGATGAGATCCTGTCGTTTGTGACAACATGGATGACACTGGAGGACATTATGTTTGGTGAAATAAGCCAGTCACAGAAAGAAAAAGATTGCGTGTTCTCACTAATACGTGGAAGTTAAAAAAAAATGAAACTTGAGATAGAGAATAGAATAATGGTTCTCATGGACTGAGAAAGGTAGTTGGGGGTTGCATGGGGATAATAAAGAGGAGATAGTTAAAGGGTACAAAAATAGAGTTAAACGAGAATAAGATCTAGTGTTAGGCAGCACAATAGGGTGACTGTAGTTAACAATAATTTATTGTATATTTCAAAATAACTAAAAGAGTGGAATTGCAATTTTCCTAACAAAAGGAAATGATTGATATTTGAGGTGATGGATACCCCAGTTACCCTGATTTGATTGTTATACATTGTGTGCTTTTATCAAAAAATCATGTGTACTTCATAAAAATGTACAAGTGTTATGTATCCATAATTTAAAATTTTAAAAATTAAAAATTCAGCAGCAGGCCAGATGAGGTGGCTCACTCCTGCTGGGGGGCGCTGAGGCCGGTGGGTCTGTTGAGGCCAAGAGTTTGAGACCAGCCTGGCCAACATAGCAAAATCCCATCTCTACTAAAAATACAAAAATTATCCAGGCATGGTGGTATGTACCTGTAATCCCAGCTACTGGGGAGGCTGAGGCATGAGAACCACTTGAACCCGGGAGGTACAGTTTGCAGTGTGCTGCAGTAGCACCACTGCACTCCAGCCTGGGCAACAGAGCAAGACTGTCTCAAAAAATATAGTAATGCTAAAGGTTTCCAAATTTGACATTTTAAAAAATAGGCTCCCTTAGTAGATAGTGACAGTAGTGGTCACACAACATTGTGAATGCACTTAATGCCACTGAATTCCATACTGTAAAATGGTTAAAATAGTAAATTTTGTTAATGTGTATTTTACCACAATTAAAAGAAAGACTCCCTATTATCACATTGGAGATTAAACTAAAAGACAAATTAATAAATAAATAAAATAGAAAGATTCCCTTAAAACTTTACAATTGATGTACTTATAGATTACATTTCTCCATTGTGCTCATAACAATCTATAATGTTATTTTTCAGACGGCTTTTTGTTGGCATATTTATATACAAGATATGTTTAATGCTACTAAAATGTCAGAATATAGTAATATAATGAAACATTAAATATGTTTTTTTTTTAAGAAAGTTTTTGTTTGAATAATGTAGTTTAGGTAGCTTTTTTTTTCTCACTTTCACCTTTTTTGTCAATAATGAAAATTCATTTTATTTCAGCTGAAGAAAATTCGATCACTGCTTGTTGCTGGAGCTGCACAGTATGATTGCTTTTTTCAACATTTACGCTTGTTGGATGGAGCACTTAAACTTTCAGCCAAGGATCTTAGATCCCAGGTGGTTAGAGAAGCTTGCATTACTGTAGCGTAAGTATCATAAAAGGGTAAGTGTTTTTTATGAATGAATTTAGTACTCACTGATTCAGTGCTCATTAAGTCAAGTAGTAGCAAGATAGCCAAAAAAGTATATGATCCCCAAATCATTTTTATTATACGTAAGGATTCAATTGGTATGATTTTTTTTAATTCCTTAAAAGCTCTTTATATCAACAATTTAAGGTTGGTATAAAGATATTTAAAGCATCTAAAGCCTGCTGGTAGATTTTTGATCATTAACTCTACAAGTATAAGATGAAAATGAATGGGTCTGGAAACTGGCTATATTCACTCTTCTCACTACTAGTTTGGATAGTAAACACTTAATTTCTGGTATTTTAGCAATTATCCTGGCATTACAACATGCATCATTAAATTAGCAAAATCTAAACTTGAAGTTTGTAGTCTTCTACAATACAAAGATGGTAGAACTTAAACTCTATTTGTTACTATTTCTGATCTAAGCAGTGTTGTTGCATGTGCATTCCTTTGAAGATAGGGAACACAACAGTGCCTACTACCAATATTTCTAATCAGGATTATATTAGATATTCTAGTCAGAAATGAAAAAAAGACAATATAAGGATTGCAAGAAAAGGAACAGAACTGCCATTATTAGCAGACAATATAACTATCTGCAGAAAACTGCGAGAGAATCTACAGATAAATTATTATAATAAAGGGACTTTGGCACAGTTGCAAGATACAAGTCTTAGTATATTAAAATGATCCAGTATCTCTAACTAACAAAGAAAACCCATTATCCATAAAACGTAACCATGAAAAATACACTTACAATATGACTAGCTCTCTTGCAGAAAACTGGACAATATATGTAAAACACCTGTTTCCAGATACTAGACAGCAGACAGGGCAGGAATGGAATTCTTAAAAGATACAAATAATGTTGAACAGTGTAAGTTTTGACCTGGAGGCACTATGGGGAAGGGAGGGGAACCTAAGCATAGCTAGGCAATCTCACTGAGGTGAGGAAACAAATACTACAGTTTTCAGAGGCTGACGTGGTCAAAATTGTCAGTGCAGAATACTGGAGGGAAGAGGGAGATTCACACACACACACAAACACAAAGAGCCACAGAGATCTATATATGGGAACTCATGAGTATAGATTGCACACTAACCTGTCCATGTGAAAGAAAGGAACTAATAATGCTTGGGAGCTATAAGATAAACAGTTCCCAGAGCTCATAGGAGAGGTTTAAGATCTGACCAACCAGAATGGAAAAACCTTGGGGATCATCCAAGGCAGTAAGTAGAAACCCCAGAAAGGCCATTGCATAGGAATAGTACTAAACCAGCTCTAAAGTAAGGCAACTCTAGACTCTGCCTCTCCCAACAAGCTTGTAAAGATCAAGCTGATTCCCAAGTACATTACCTGCCTACCGGAGTAAAATTCATGCCCTTTAAAGGAAGACAACATCTAAACATATCCATACCTCCTTGCTTTTCATTTGTGGTTCCTTTTTGCCTGTTAGTTCAGACATTGGAAAACTAACATAATAGCATTTGTAAATAGGTCTGAATCTGACCTCTTCGAATCAAGAACCTGAATTATTGGAGCTAACTCTATCCCAACCGTATATTTTCAATAACATATAAACATATGGAAATTAACCAGTATTGCAAGCATTGTCAACACTTTGAGTGATTACAATATCCCTCTTGTTTTAACTAAAATCATACAATTAAAGGCTAATTTAGTTGTCTACACAGTTGGAAAGAGAAGTCAGATGTCCTGAAGATTACCCAACTAAAATATGGTTCAGTTGTATTTTTGACTGCGGATTTGGAAATCCTACTCCAGAGAAGTTAGGGAGTATTTATGACTAAAAAGGGGTGATACTGTTAATAGAAATGGAGAATATTTTGAGGAGCATTGATTTAAGATTTCAAATTTGTTTGTAAAAATATGTTGAATTTAGGATTGATAATGGATCATCAAAATGGAAATATCTCATGGATAAAGACCAAAGGTCAGAACCATCAGAGCTGATTATTTCACCTGATGTGTCCTTACAGTTAATAAATTCTGAAATCAAATGGCTTCTTCAAGTGCTATTGCAAACAGATGAGAAAAATGCCAGACTTCAACTTTGGACTAGCCAGTTAAAAGATAGGGAAAAGAAGAGAATATGTAGTATCTAGGTTTCCCTTTCTCTCGTCTGTTTTTCTGCAATTACAACTGATTAAAATAAAAATTCCTAAGCTAATTCAGTAAAATCGTATTTAAAATTATATAGTTCTATCTGTACTTAATGTTAAACTATTAAAAAATACTTTTCATCTTCCTTTGTAGCCACCTTTCAACAGTTTTAGGAAACAAGTTTGATCATGGCGCTGAAGCCATTGTACCTACACTTTTTAATCTGGTCCCCAATAGTGCAAAAGTCATGGCAACTTCTGGATGTGCAGCAATCAGATTTATCATTCGGGTAGGTTTGTTCTCTCCTTTTCCACTGCTGCCTTCTCCCCACTTTCCCCACCCACTTTTTCTTTCTTCTTCCTCCTCTTTCTCTCCTTTCCCCATGCCACCCCACCCCCATCTCTCAATGTACCTAAACAAGTCATTGGGTTTCTTTTTGAACCCCAAAGGCAAAGTATTTTTGAATCATTTTTCTGAAAGTAAAAGCCGTAGATGGTCATTATAGAACCAGAAGATTACAAAGTAAACATGTTTGTATATGGAATATAATATATACATGCATGTACATATGAGTACATATATGTGTATATAGTTACATGTGTGTATAGTCACAGATATTACAGAAAAAAATTAAAAAGGCAAAGTTTTTATAGTCATGTGCCATCTTGCAAAGTTTCAGTCAGTGATGGGCTGTGTATATAACAGTGGGCCCATAAGAGTATACTGTATTTTTACTGTAGCTTTACTACTTTTGGATATGTTCAGATATACAATACTTAACAATGTGTTACTCTTACCTAGAGTATTCTGTACAGCCATATGCTGTACAGGTTTGTAGCCTAGGAGCAATAGGGTGTAACATACAGCCTAGGTGTAGAGTAGGTTATACCACATAGGCTTATGCAAGTACATTCTATGATGCCCATGCTATGATGAAATTGCCTAATGTATTTCTCAGAATATATCCCCATCATTAATTGAGGCATGACTGTATTTCTCTTCATTCATATCTTGAGGATGCCTAAAAGAGAAGATTTGAAAAAACAAATCTCTCCCCTTGAATTCTATTCCTTTGTTACTAATCACTCTAGCCATTTAATGTATACTTTTCTAAACTTCTATTCTGTGCCTATATAAATGTATTTGCTACACATATAGAAAATGTAAATATATATAATATATTCTTTAACATTTATTTATTTATTTAGAGATGAGGTCTTATCTGTCACCCAGACAGGAGTGCAGTAGAGCAAACTCAGTGCACCGTAACCCTGCCTCCCAGGTTTTAGCAGTTTTACCGCCTCAGCCTCCCGAGTAGCTGGGACTAGAGGCATCTACCACCATGCTCAGCAAATTTTTTGTATTTTTAGTAGAGACAGGATTTCACCAAATTGGCCTGGGCTGGTCTCGAATTCCTGGCCTCAAGTGATCTGCCTGGCTCAGCCTCCTAAAGTGCTGGGATTACAGGTGTGAGCAATCGTGCCCAACCTAGTTTCTTTTTTATTATTTTTTTATTTTTTATTTTTTAATTGAGACGGAGTTTTGTTCTTATTACCCAGGCTGGAGTGCAATGGCGCGATCTCGGCTCACCACAATCTCCACCTCCTGGGTTCAGGCAGTTCTCCTGCCTCAGCCTCCTGAGTAGCTGGGATTACAGGCACGCGCCACCATGTCCAGCTAATTTTTCGTATTTTTAGCGACGGGGTTTCACCATGTTGACCAGGATGGTCTCAATCTCTTGACCTCGTGATCCACCCACCTCGGCCTCCCAAAGTGCTGGGATTACAGGCGTGAGCCACCCCGCCCGGCCCTAGCTTCTTTTTAAAACTTCATGTGCTTGGGCAGCTCTCCTTATCCATATACATAATTCTTTTTAATGTCTAAATTAGTCTTCTTTTAAGGATGTCCCATCAAATTATCCTCACCAGGCCAGGTGAGGTGGTTCATGCCTGTAATCCTAGCACTTTGGGAGGCCAAAGCTGGTGGTGGATCATCTGAGGTCAGGAGTTCGAGACCAGCCTAACCAACATGGAGAAACCCTGTCTCTACTAAAAATACAAAATTAGCCAGGTGTGGTGACACATGCCTTTAATCCCCAGCTACTCAGGAGACTGAGCCAGGGGAATCACTTGAACCCGGGAGGTGGAGGTTGCTGTGAGCCAAGATTGCACCATTGCGCTCCAGCCTGGGTAACAAGAGTGAAACTCTGTCTCAAAAAAAAAATATTATCCATTATCCTCACTAGTCTCATTCCTGCAGTCTTCTTCCTGTAGTCCTTTTTCTCCATCCCTTTACCAATATTGTCTTTTATCAGTATCTTTAAGGTTTTATAATTTAATAAATTTTCATAGTTTACTTTGTATTTCCTGCATTATTAGGGATGTAAGCTTTTTTTTTCCTTCTATAATTCTTCTATGGGTTGTCAGTGTATACTCTACATTTTTTCTCACTTATTTCTAAGATCGTTTTATATATCATAAGGATATACTGTGTTGTATGTATTGTGGTATTTTCTACAGTCTGACATTTCTTCAGATATTATAGAAGCTCTTTTGTTATATATCAGAGTTTTACATTTTTATGTACTGAGACGTTCATTTTGTGGATTTTATTATAGTTAAAACATTACCTTTCCTATTTCACAGTTACACAAAAATATTCAATCATTTTAGAACTTCTGTGTTTTTTTTTCTTAGGTTTAGATTTAACTGGATTTTATTTTCGTGTGAAATAGAATTTCTAACTTGCTATTTCCCCCAATACAAAACCAATTGACCCAGTAGCATGTGGTGAATTACAGTGTAGCGTTTTCTTGAAATGCTGCCATTTTCATGTAATACGTTTCCATAAATATGTTGTCTGTTTCTTAAATTATTTTCAGGTTCTTTGATCAGTTTCGCCTTTCCTGTTAAAAAAATTAAGTTTATTCCTAATACTGCCTTACCAGGAAATATTCTTTTCCACCAATAAAATTAAAACTGCTTATTTAAAATCTTCAAAAATGATCCTTTTTTCTCCCGTTTTAGCTTTCTTTCTTTTTTTTTTAAGATTGTAGACAACCTTAATTCAGAACTTTTGTAACAATGTTAGGAAGTATAGTGGGAATCATTGAAATCATTGTTTTATCCCTGAGTTGGGTGGCATTATATTTAACTTTAAATATGATTTTTTAATGGGTTTCTATGAATATAGTATATTAGATTTTGGAAATTTTCTACTATTAACATTTTGCTAAATTTTGATTGGAAATCGATGTTGAATTTTATCAGGTAACCCTTTAATATCTTTATAAATGACTATTGTTTTTTCATTATCCATTATACATTCAGGAACTAAATTCTGCTTGGCCGTTGTGCATTAAGATACTGCTAGATTCAGGTGGTTAATAGTAAGATTTTGGCATTCATTTAAATGAATAACTATTCTGTGAATTTTTTTCCAGTTTTATATATTTTGTTAATATATTGTTCTGCTATTAGAATTTATTGGCCTTTAAGATTATCTAGTACCATTTCCAATGTTTTAGACTCTAGGCATCTTGAATCTTTAGTCTGAAATGCTGGCATTCCTCTCGCCTCAGCCTCCAAAGTAGCTGGGATTACAAGTGTGAGCTACTGTATCCAGCTGACTTTTTCTAATTAGAATGTTATACATTCTTTTATATATACTTGGCAGAAGCATTATTTTGGGTTCTTTATAAACTTCAGCTTATAATTTTATTGACTCTAGTAAGATTATTTAATTTTTCTAATTTTTTAGTTTATGTATATATTTTTCAACTTTGGCTCATTTTATCTTTTTAGATCTTTGTGGAATATCTTTAGACAGTTTGCATTGCCTTTTCTTTATTATTATAAGGCTTTGGGTTTTCTTCTGAGTTTGACTTTGGCAGCATCTCAATGATTTAAATTTACCACATTCTCTTTAATTTGTGTTCTCAATTATTTGTAATTTCCATTTCAACTTTGAATTGTATAATAATATTGTTTTCCTTTTTAGATGGTGCTTTTGTTCTTATTGTCATTATTTTCTAATTTCATGACATTCTGATCAGGGAATTTGGTTGTATGATTTATTTTTTGGTGAATGCCTTGAAATTTTGTGTTCTAGCATGTCATCAGTTTATATAGGTAGTCTATTAGCATTTACAAATGTAGAATTCTTTGGCAGAGAATTGAGTACTTCGCTCATCACTAAATCTAGCTTATGTTTTATTTATGTTATTCAAGTTTTTTATGGTCTTATTAAAAAATCTTTATGTGACAAATTCTGATTCTTGTCAAATTCATTTTTCTAACAGTTCTTGATATATGTACTTTATGTATGGTCAGGGTTTTTTACTATTATCATCTTGAAACAGTATTTTTTTTAATCTTATATGTTGTTTTCTGTTCATTGTGCTTTTTTTCCCCTATTTTTCTTTTATAATTTAGAAGTTCCTTATTGTCAAGAATAAAATCTTTGTTATGCTTCTTTTAAAAAGTATATGTATACATTTTATTTGATTCATGTCATTTTGTCCCTTACCCATTGAATTAAATTTAACAAAGATATTTTTATTTTTAGCAATTGTAATTAACTGTTTTTTTTTTAACTGCTTTTATTTCTGACCCATTGTTTATTGGTATACTCTCACTTCCTTTTTAAAAATTGATTCTGGGTCATTCTTGTTTTACTTTAGTGTTTTCTCACTTTTCAAATATATATGTTTATATTTTGAATTGATTCTTCCTTGCCAATTCAAAATATATGGACTGAAAATTTGACTGTTGAACTTCAGGTTCACTTTCCTTTTCTTTCACAATTGCTTTTTGTTGGTGGTGGTGTTGAGATGCAGTCTCGCTCTGTCACCCAGGCTGGAATTCAGTGGCGCCATTTCCCCTCACTGCAATCTCTGCCTCCCAGGTTCAAGCTGTTCTTCTGCCTCAGCCTCTCAAGTAGCTGGGATTTCAGGTACCTGCCACCACGCCTGGCTACTTTTTGTATTTTTAATAGAGGTGAGGTTTCACTATGTTGGTCAGGCTGGTCTTGAACTTCTGACCTCCTGGCTCACGCCTCACACCTTTAATCACTGCACTTTGGGAAGGTAAGGCAATCCTCCTGCCTCAGCCTTCCAAAGTGCTGGGATTACAGGCATGAACCATCACATCTGGCCTGTTTTCTTAACTTTTTATTGTTGTCTCTAAAAGTGAGACTATTTGATTATTTTATAGTAAAACCACCACCACCACCACCACCAAACAACCTTTAGGAAGTTTTATAAGTAGTCCCTTTGCATGAAGAGTTTCCCGACAGCAGGTCTAGGAGTCAATTGTCTTTTACTAATACTATTCTTAAACAGTAGACAAGGATTTTTGACTGAAATGGGTTTATCTTAAACTTATGTTAATTTTTATGAATCTTTATTTAATTCTTATTTGCTCAGATTTTTTCCTGCTCTTACTTTTGTTACACAAATTCTGAAATCCTCGATGTCATTTATCATTTTTTGAGTAACTTTTTGTCTCTTTGTCTTACATCTATGTGTATTCTCAGGAAAAATTCCTTTAAATTCTACTTGTTTTAAAGTACCCATTTTGTGATTCTCAGGCTTTACTCTTTATCCTTTGTTTTCAAATTGCTCATTTTTCACAAACTTTTTTATGTTATTATACTAGCCTGTCATCTCACCAATAATACAATGATTTTTAAATGTTACCCAAAGTTTTTCTGTTTTTTTTCCTAAGGGTCTGCTTCCTTAGATTGCTCTGCTTAATTTCTAATTCTCTTTTTAATTTTAGAGAAGCTTCCCCCCCCATTGTCAACTTGTATTAATAAAGTGTAAATCTTTCTGACTTAGTGTTTGATTAAATGCTTTTTCTATAATTGAAGTAATTTTTTACTTTCCTTTGGTACAGTTCCCCCTAAATGTGATGTAGCAATCATTAGGTCAGTTTATTTCCCCGTCCTTGCCACTGGTTAACCCAGCATTAGGCTTCTTGGGAGGTTAGAAAAGAAAGAGGAGGAGTGTGGTAAGTAAGACCTCCTTCATAGTTGTGGCTAGGGGATCTCCATGGGCTTTACCTCCACAATAATGTTTGGGAAATGGGCTCTTGTAGATGCTGTTGGGAGCAGGTCCACAGAGTCCTTCCATGCTGAATTGGACAGTTGACTAACAGGCGTGTCAGCACACTTTCTTGCATTCTCATCTTCAACAGCTTCAAGTCTGTAAATGGTTTCTCTCTGCAGTAGCTGATAAAAGGTTTTTTCTTTTATTTTGGTTGAGATAGCTGTGGCAAACACTGTTGTGCCATATCCTTCAACGAAAAACTTACTTCTCCAGTGCCAGGAGAACTGTTAGTAGACAGCCTTTAGCTGCCAGTCTTTTAAAGGATTATTTCAGCTAGAGAGCTGCCTTTCTCAAGGTCTTGCCCTTCCCAGTATTACCTGTATCCAATGACTGATGGATGTGGAAGTTTATATAAAGGTTTGGCCATGTAGGACCAATTCAAGAGTGTTCTGAGGGAGCATTTTAGTTCTAGAGCTTTCTAATGGCTTTGGGCAAAGATAGCCTTGGGTTGTATCAAAGTTCCATTTCTTCCTCTGCCCACTCCACTCCTGCTTCCTTCTTCTCACTTCCACAGGTGCTAATCTCAAGGGCACTTACAAAAAATTAATATATAATAGATGTACATATTTTGGGAGTACGTGTGATATTTTAATGCATTCATATGTTTAAAGGTCAAATTAGGGTAATTAGGAATTCATTACCTTAAATACTTTTCTTTATGCTAGGGACATTCTGATTATTCTCTTTTAGCTATTTTGAGTGTACAATAGATTGTTGTTAACCATAGTCACCCCACTGATCTATTGAACACTATATCTTATTTGTTCTAGCTCTATACCTATTAACCTCTTTTCATCCCCCACTCCCCACTATTCTTCCTAGTCTCTGATCATGACTAGCCTGTTTTCTATCTTCATGAGGTTCACCTTAGTTTATCTCCCACATGAGTGAGAACATGTGATATTTGTCTTTCAAGGGCATTTCCTAACAAATATCCTGCATGCTAAACTCCATCTCATAGCCTGCTTCCTAGATAACCCAGCCTGTACCATTAGCTCAGAAGGAATACAGGAGATTTAAGGAATTAAATGTATGTTTATGTTAATGTCTATTATGAACTTTTTAGTGTTTGCTTCACTGAAGAAGAGAATAGTAATTACCAATAGAAATCAGAAGATTATGTGTATTGAACTTCTACTTGAATTCTAGAGATATATGATTCAGCCAGAATAAAGTGAAAGTTCTATTAAAATCACCATTTCACAGTCCATTCCCAGTAGTTAGGGATATAGATTCACTTAACTACCTGCTTTGATGACATTGTAATTACGATTTTTTTTACCAGCAATAGCCGAGGTACTTCAGAAAATTTAGCTGCCTTAGTACTCCCCCTCCCCCAAAACTGTATTATCCAACAGTTCTTTGCAGTTACAGAGTTAAGTTTTCTTTGTTATGTAATATTACATCCACACCTGTCCTTTTGAAACTGTATCATCATTACTGTTACTTTAATTGGGGAAAACTTTTCAAGACTGGTCTTGATTTCTTTCTTTTCTGGTCTTTCTGTCTTCTTGTAACATAACTAAATACTTGAATGTAAGGCAAATAGAAGAAAGCACTATGTGAAGTGCATAGTATTTTCAACCTTTTCTAAAACATCTTTTTCAGCATACTCATGTACCCAGACTTATACCTTTAATAACAAGCAATTGCACATCAAAATCAGTTCCAGTGAGGAGGTAAGTTTAATTTTTTTTAATTAATATTATTATTTTTGACATAGCTCTGATACTGCATTGTTTAATTCTTGGTCTGGTGCAAGAATTGGTCATTAATTTCTTGCCTTCCAGAAAATCATTAAAAAAGTGGGTTTTTTAAAAAAATCATATTTCATGTAAGGGAGAAGGGATGAAGTGATTATTATGAGCACCCACTTTTCTCAGTTTTATCATATTAAGCTTTGGTTTATTTGGGCTGCTGGTTGCCTTGGTTTTCAGAGAACAAGGAGTAGAGAGTCAGGTCTGGGCTAGAGTCCTACAACTGCCACTGACAGTTCTACCTTAGGCAACTGATTAACTGCTCTGAATCGTAGTCCCTGCATAGTTAGTAGGGCTAATACTGTCAGCCCCATAGAACATAAGGATTAAATGAGATACATATTAGTAGAATATAACCTGGTATTTGGAACAAAGTAAATAGCCCTATCAGGCAGGTCTTTCAATTAGTGTCTGTCTCTGTCTCTGTGTCTCTCTCCTGTTTCTACAATTTTTAACATCATACCTGTCAACCTAAATATCAGAGAGGCCCTCTGAAAGAAAACGATATTAGTATTTATGCAGGAATGAGCATTGCAGTGGTAATATGCATGAAACAGTAAACTATGTGCATATTCAGGAAGATAAAGAAAAACAAAGGTTTTTAAAGGAAAGATGAGGAGGCTTACATAATTGTTTTGAGGTACTTATCCTTGGCTACAAGGATCGGTAACAAGGGTGAAGCCAGGTTGAGGTTGGACAGGCAGTTGCTGGGTAGATGTCCTTGCAAAGTTTTTTTTTTTTTTTTTTTTTTTTTGGTAAGGTTGTAGTAGCCTTTGTGAAAGGTTGTGTTTTTTTGGAGTCATTGATGATAGCTCTTGTTATCAGTCATTTATGCATGAGAGCGCTCCCTTAATGGCCTTCCTCAGCTCTGTTTGTGTGTGTGTGTGTGTGTGTGTGTTTTAACAAGAGTGACTTCATTTTGATTCTGACAAATTTCCACACCAGTGTAACCAACAATAATAAAGACAGGAGAAACAAGATTTGTATACTTGATGTTTATAAAGAATTCTACCTTTTTAATTAGATAAATATATTTAATTAAATACTTTATTAGGAAGAAGCTGAATAAGACATTGTTATTTTAAGTGGTTCAGAGTTTTGATAATAGTTGTTCAGTCACATGTCTTGTGTCAGGAGTCAGCAAACAACAGCTTGCAGGTAAAATGTGACCAACAGTCTGGTTTTGTACAGCCTACATACTAAGGGTGTTACTTGCATTTTTAAAGCGTGGTTTAAAACATGCGGGGTTGTGGAGGGAAGAATATGAGACAGAAACTGTATGTGGTCCACAAAGCTTAAAATATTTACTGTCCAACCCTTTACAGAACAGGTTAACCAACCTCTGTCTTAAACTGAGGAAAATAGTAATTGGAGAAATACGAATGTGACAGAAGACAAAATCAGAAAACATATTATAGAATTGCCTTAAAAATGAGGAGCAATCCTTTAACTGTAGGGAGAGTGAGTGGAGTACAGCCTAAGCAGAAGTAGAAAGCTATGCCATATGTTGCAGAGCCGTCAGAGTCCCCTGAGGCCAGAACATATGATAAGTGGAAGGTTTCAAAGGGAAAAGAGGCTGGTTGAAGGCTGGAGAGTAGCTTAGGTCATAGTGTGGAGGGCTTTGAATGTTATGAGGAGGAATTTTGACATTATTTCGTAGATAGTAGGAATCTTTGACGGTTGTAGGTTTTTAGTGAGGAATTTTTACTCCTCACTAGTTTTTACTCTAGCTATGAAAGTGATTGAAAAGAAACAATGAAAAGCATTGTTTAATTAGGTAGGAGTTGTTATAATTCATAGAAGAGAGGCAGAGTCTCTACCAGAACTGTGTTGATAATTGATTGAAGGCGGTTTTATTTAACAAATTCAAAAGATGTTTTTTGTGTAGAAATTGAATATAGATGAGGAGGGTGGTGTCAAGTGCTTCATACTGTGAGCTCTGGAGTCAGAATGCCAGGGTTTAAGTCCTAGCTCTATCACTTTGAGCAAGTTAATTTAACCTCTCCATTTCTCATTTCCTGATCTGTAATTCATAAGCTATAAGAGAAGATTTGAAAGGGTAAGAATTAATTCATTGTTTTCTATGAAGTGTTTGAGTTGACATTCACTGCCTATGTGGAGATATCCATAAACTAGTTTGAACTTCGATTTAACTGCTGAAGTGACAGACCAATGCTGGAGATGTAGGACTAGATGTGATAATGATATCTCATAGGCAGAACTCAGGGTACAGGTGATGTTGCCCCAGTAGAAAGACAATAAAAAGATAAGTGGGCTAATATTGGCACCAACCAGGTGAGCATCTGTTTAAGGAAAGTGGAGGAAAAAATGTTAATCAAAGGAGAAATACAAGACAGAGCTGTGTCATCAAATACCAAGGAAGGAGAGGAGCTCAAGTAGGAGAGAGTTGAAGAAACTGAGAAATAGAGGACTTAGGAGAAAATGTACACAAACTTTATATAAAGTCATATACATACATATTTAAGGACACACTATAAAAATGAAAGATTCAGATTACTGTGCCTTTCTTAATCACCACTGTATATCTTCAATGTCAAGTGTATAGATGTTTAATAAATATTTTTTAATTAATAAGTGAAACTTGTTAAATTTTTTTTATTTTTTATTCTTTGAGACAGGTTCTCACTCTGTTCCCTAGGCATTATCTTGGCTCACTGCGACCTCCACCTCCCGGTTTTAAGCGATTCTCCCACCTCAACCTCCCGAGTAGCTGGGAGTACAGGCACATGCCACACGCTCAGCTAATTTTTGTATTTTTAATAGAGACAGGGTTTCACCATGTTGGCCAGAGTGGTCTCGAACTCCTGGCCTCAAGTGGTCCACCCACCTCAGCCTTCCAAAGTGCTGAGATTACAGATATGAACCATCGTGCCCAGCCTTAAGTTTTATATTTGACAAACATTTTAAATTAAAATTATGAGGAACTCTTAAAACCTTTTTGAGCTGTTTAGCATAGCATTAATTGCATCCACTTGGGAGGCTGAGGCAGGAGAATTGATTGAACCCGGGAGGCAGAGGTTGTGGTGAGCTGAGATGGCGCCTTGTACTCCAGCCTGGTCAACAAGAGCGAAACTCAGTCTGAAAAAAAAAACAAGATATCTAAAAATCATGTCTTATGCTTAAATTTGGGGGCAACGTGTAGTAGTATAAAAGAAAGTGTTAATGTATTCCTCAATACAACATTTAGTTATTTAACTTTTATTTTTCAGACGTTCATTTGAATTTTTAGATTTATTGTTACAGGAGTGGCAGACTCATTCATTGGAAAGGTATGCATTGCCTCTTCCTTCCTCAGCTTCCCTCCCCATTGTCACTAGTTCTTTAGAAGTTGATGGTATTGGTTTTACATTACTTCTCATTTTCCTTCAAAGGTTATTTATACTGGTTTTCCTTTAAAGCTGTGGTAGTATTGTACCCCTCTTAATCATTAGAGCTATGAATTGTATGATTTTCTTCTTTGTGGAATGAGTAAGGGTTTCTCGAATAGAATGGATTATATAAGATACTCCAAGTTGAGTTGGGCAAATTTTAAAAATGTGTCTCTAGTCATATGATATAAGTTTCCTGAGATGCAGTCAATCATGTAATGAATGATTTAAGATGGAAGGAGCTTCCTTTCAGAGGAAAGAGATTTTTAAAAAGAGATATTTTGGGGTAAGTTTCTCCACACCAACTGTTAGATGTCATTGGTCAGGTATATACTGGGCAATGTCTAATGTAACTCTGAGATGAAGGAGAGGAAAATGTGGGCAACTGATTGGTTGCTGGCTGTTTGCCTGGCTATATTTCTCATTAGTTTCAAGTTTGAAGTTTGGGAGATACAGTGCTAATTTTGCATTTTCTTGAAAATTCTTGACTTCTTAAAGCTCGTTTTTAAAAAATTGAATTTGTTGTTTAATGTAGGCATAATATAATTTCAAGTTTTTTTGTGTTCTTTTGTGACAGCTATTATTCAGATTTGGTCAGATCGCAACTGATCACACTTAGCAAATAATTTCTACAATAGTGGATTAGTGAGGAACCACACAGAAAATTCTTTTTTCTCTAATTTATTAAAAGTTAAAAATTTAGGTACTGTATATTTATACACTATCTGGATTCCATATAAAATAATTACTTTTTGATTTATAGTGATTGGATTGTCAGAAGGAAACCATACATAAATAAAACATATGGGCCAGATAATTAGAAAACCTTATGGTCTTAGATTTATTATTGTGTACTAATTAATTTATTTTTATTTACCTCACCTACCCCCTTTGTGATTAATATGTAGCATATAGGCAGTAAGTATCATTTGTGGTGAAACATGAAGATTTATCATAACTCTAAAGATGTATTTATTTTATAGACATGCAGCCGTCTTGGTTGAAACTATTAAAAAGGGAATTCATGATGCCGATGCTGAGGCCAGAGTGGAGGCAAGAAAGTAAGTCGGTGTAGCATATTTTTGTGACAGGTTAATCTGTCTTTTTTTTTAAACAAAATGTATTGGGAAAATGAAAATAAAGTGCCTAAGTAAGTATTTTACTTGACTCGCTCTCCAGTAAAATTAAGATTGTTTTTTCTCCATTAAATCTGTACTAGACATCTAATAGCCTGCTACATATTGCCACTGATATGTAATCATTAGTATTATTTTTTTAATTACAACCTATTCACGTTCATCATGAATAAAAAGAAATATCATTTATTAGGTTTGTATTTTGTATCTGATATCGTATGAGGTACTTGTTGTATATTATTTTCTGATCCTTAGAATGATCCTCCAAAGATAGTGTTATCTCCATAGATGGCAACTGAAATTTAGACACTTAGGGGTTTACCCAAGACCATACAAACCCTAAGTGGCACAGCAGGTTTTGAACTGAGATCTGCTTTTCTCAAAAGCCTTCGGTCTTTCCATGGGAACTTGTTAAATTTAGAAAGTGTTCACCTGTTACAGAGCAGATAATGTTGAAAACCAATGGGGTTATCTTCATCCTTCTTGAATGTACACATTTTACTGTTAATGTCTAATTATGTAAAGCTATTATTTCATCTACTTTTCTTTTTTTTTTTTTTAACAGGACATATATGGGTCTTAGAAACCACTTTCCTGGTGAAGCTGAAACATTATATAATTCCCTTGAGCCATCTTATCAGAAGAGTCTTCAAACTTACTTAAAGAGTTCTGGCAGTGTAGCATCTCTTCCACAATCAGACAGGTCCTCATCTAGCTCACAGGAAAGTCTTAAGTAAGATCATATAAATGATGATTACTAGTCTCTTCCTCTCCTCAACTCCCTAAACTTTCTTAAGTTGCATACTTGAATATCCATCTGTTTGTTTTCACGTAAAGCCTTGAAGGAATGGTAACGCAAATATACTTATACTGATTTTGTCCTGTTGTTTCAAGGGTTGGATTACTTGCCAGCGTAACTCCTTCTCTTTGGGTAAAGAATTCGAGATTCACGTTTATATTCATGTCTGTGAAAGCTTGGAAAGCACTACATTTTTTTTTAATACCACAAAAATAGTACTTATTATAAATAGCCCATTTAATGGAGGAATTATAATGGAGATTCAGTAGTTTTCTTGAGAATTCTTGTGCAACACTGTATGACTGGTAGAAAAAACTCTACTGCTTTCCTTCTAACCTCTTGCACAGCTTAAAAATTCTGGAAATCCATCAAGGGACAACATGATCTAGTGTCTGACTTAGTTCTCTGTAACTCCATTCTCATCATAATGTCAGCTACCTCAAATCCTTGCTGCTTTGGCAGCCATAACCCTGTTTTTTGTCTCTCTAGCCCTATGAGGTTGCTAAAATTTCCAATGTCTTCTCTACTTCCTAGCACTGGCCCTGTCCATCTTTGTGAGCGCTTGCCCTGCTCCATGTATCTGCAGATTTCCCCAGGGAAGAGTAGCTCAGAGAATGTCAGCTTAGGCTGGGCATGGTGGCTCATGCCTGTAATCTCAGAATTTTGGGAGTCCAGGGTGAGCGGATCACCTGAGGTCAGGAGTTCGAGACCAGACTGGCCAACATGGTGAAACCTCACTTCTACTAAAAATACAAAAATTAGCCGAGTGCAGTGGCAGGTGCCTATAATCCCAGCTACTCAGGAGGCTGAGGCGGAAGACTCTCTTGAACCTGGGAGGCAGAGGATGCAGGGAGCTGAGATCATGCCACTGCACTCCAGCCTGGGCAACAGAGCAAGGCTCTTTCTCAAAAAAACAGAAGTAGAGAATGTCAGCTTACCTCTGTAATTCCTTACTTTTTGGGATCTTGACCACCACAAAGATTGCTGGTTGCCTTGGCAACTCGGATGGAGGACTGGGGGACCAGGGTGAGGCAAGTGAGGCACCTAGGGTGCTTAAAGAATTTAAGCAGGCACTCACTGGGTCATGCAAATACTGTACTACAGTTTAGTTTCTTACAGGTTTTTCAGAATAAAAGCAGATATGCTCTGATTTCGAAAATAATTATTGTAGGAATAATGACCTATCTAAACTTATTTAAATTTCTGTTTAAACTTCTATTTAAACCTCATCTGTAATGAGCTGTCTTTGTTGCTTTTGTTCTCTTTTTATTAACTATTCTCAAACTTTAAAGTATATCCGAATTACCTGAAGATCTTGTTAGAATCTAGAATCTGATTCAATAATTTTGGGGTTGAGGTCTGAGATTTTTCATTTTTTTTTGCAAGCTCCTAGGTGATGCTAAATGCCGTTTGTTCATGGACCATACTTTGAGGACAAAGGATCTAAAGCAAGATATTTTATATTGCTCTATTATAACATTTTTAAACATAAACAACTTTAGATTCTATGAACCTTGAAGTGATCTGCCTCAATCTAAGAGATTAAAAATTTTAGGAGATAGTTATAAAAATAATATGGTTATCTTAAACGTTACACAGACATAACCCCTGACAACTTAGGTGAGAGAGACTTTGGTTTATGTTGAGTTTCCTGTGTGCTAGTGATAACACTACCCCTTTCTTCTAAGTAAAATATCTCAGGATACAAGTGAATGATAATAGTGCTGTTATCGAGTCCTCTTCTGTGGTTATTATGATATATGTTGAGGAGCAGAGTGAATAAAGGCAACCTGATCCCTGTCTCTGCAGGGCTTACAGTCTATATTCATTGTCAGTTATTTTATTTTTGCTTCATAGCTAATTGAGGCACCATTGATATGTGATGATTTGGAGAAACTGTTCTAAAGTGATTTGTAAAGGGAAAGTTAAAATTAGAAGTAACAGCTAGGCACCATGGCTCACACATATAAATCTAGCACTTTGGGAGGCTGAGGTAGGAGGATAACACTTGAGCCCAGGAGTTTGAGACTAGCCTGGGAAACATAAGGAAACCCAATCCCTATCAAAAATTCAAAAATTAGCCACACTTGGTACCATGCACCTGTAGGCCCAGTTAACTTGAGAGGTTGAGGTGAGAGGATCACTTGAGTCTGGGTGGTCAAGGCTGCAGTGAGCCATGATTGTGGCACTATACTCTAGCCTGGGTAACAGAGCAAGACTCTGTCTCAAAAAAAAAAAAAAAAAAAAGAAGTACTTCTCAACTTTCCACAAAATTCAGTAGTATTTTATTGGTTTTTATCAGAGAAATGTTAAATTGTCTTCTTACTAAAAGCATTTCTTATACCTTGCAGTCGCCCTTTTTCATCCAAATGGTCTACAGCAAATCCATCAACCGTGGCTGGAAGAGGTAATTTTCTCTTAAAGAGTTATAGCCTATTTTATCTTTAAAACAGTAGCCTTCAAACTCTTTTGCTGTGCTCTTTAGTGAGAAGATCATTTTACATGGTAAGCCAGCACCACACATAGGCACTGTACCTTTATATGTGTACATGTATAACCTGAAGTTCCGGGAAGCAGTACTTACTCTTACTTGTGATGCCCTCTGTTTTCCATTCCGTTTCATTTCGTTACATTTCTTCATAATGCTTCTCATGGCGCACTCAGTTGATTTCACAACCTACTAATGGGTCATGACTGACAGTTTATAAAACTGACCAGCCTGGCCAACATGGGGAAACCCCGTCTCTACTAAAAATACAAAAATTAGCTGAACATGGTGGCGCACACCTATAATCCCAGCTCCTTGGGAGGCTGAGGCAGGAGAATCGCTTGAACCCAGGAAGCAGAGGTTGCAGTGAGTTGAGATCACGCCTCTGCACTCCAGGCTGGGTGACAGAGCGAGACTCTGTCTCAAAGAAATAAAAATAAATAAAAATTAAAAACTGAAAGACTAAAGACCAGAAATTGAATGACTTAATTTGCATTGCCATGGAGTGGCAGAACCTCCATTAATTTCTGAATATCTCTATTCCTGGACTAGTTGTTCTTGCATTTTTCTCATAGTAAAAAATAATACTGCTGCTTTCTATTCATCTTGTACAGTACTTCCTTTTCATAAATTAGTTCTAAACATCATCTCTTCATCTACAAAACAGTCCTGTGAGTTTTATGGTCAGAATGTCACCATTTTCCCCATTTTATGGGAGAGGAAACAAGGTAGAAAATACTGAGAAAATTGCTGAAGACTTCATTGTGATTGAAACTGAGACATTCTGACTTTAAATACTTGATGGTACTGTCTATTTGACCACTGCCTTTTTGTTGCCCATTTGTCGTCAGATTAGCTGATAATGGGCAGGTTTATATAATTTTCACGTTTTCAGTGATTTAAATGATAGAACTTACCTTTGCTTTGTCTTTCATAGTATCAGCTGGCAGCAGCAAAGCCAGTTCCCTTCCAGGAAGCCTGCAGCGTTCACGAAGTGACATTGATGTGAATGCTGCCGCTGGTGCCAAGGCACATCATGCTGCAGGACAGTCTGTGCGAAGCGGGCGGTTAGGTGCAGGTGCCCTGAATCCAGGTTCCTATGCATCTCTAGGTAAGACAACTGATTATGGAAAATTGTACAGTGTTATCTCCCTGGCCTCTGTGAAGACAGGTTCATATACTGCAATCATTTCTATTCATTCTTGTTATTTAAGGAAAGTTCCTATGTTTTAATGTGATTCTATATTTTGGACATGCTTCTGAGTAATCTGAGCTGCCTTGTTTCTCCTTTTCTCTTATCCTCATCATCATCTTGATCAAAGAAACAATTCTAGAGGCCATGATTGCCTGTAGAATTTTCATAACTGCACTTTTACCACATCTAGCCACTGGTTACTAACGGGGTTTGGGAAAGGAATTGGCCTTGTATCTAGCTTTCCTGTTCTCTTTCTCCTACTTCTTTTCTCTTAGAAAGAATGTGAAGCCCTTTGGAGATCTGGGAGAACTGCAAAGCTCTACTGTGTCTAATCAAACTCTAAACATATATTCTAAAACTCTTTTTAGTTTGGTTTTTTCATGTTTTTATGTCCATCATGTTAAAAAGTTGAGGTTGGTTATCCATATTGTATACCTCTTCTTCATGCTTCATTTTTTTCCTTTGGGTAGTACTGGTGGAACACTAAGCAGGCAAATTGCCAGAACACAATACAGGTTGAGCATACCTAATCTGAAAATCTGAAATTTGAAATGCTCCAAAATCTGAAACTTTTGAGTACCAGCATGACATTCAAAGGTATTTCGGACTGAGGTGGGTGGATCATTTGAGGTCAGGAGATCATGACCAGCCTGGCCAACTTGGCGAAACCCTGTCTCTACTAAAAATGTAAAAATTAGTTGGGTGTGGTGGCTGACCCCTGTAATCTCAGCTACTTGGGAAGGCTGAGGCAGGAGAATCACTTGAACCTGGGAGACTGAGGTTGCAGTGAGCTGAAATCACGCCACTGCACTCCACCTTGGGCGACAGAGTGAGACTCTATCAAAAAAAAAAGAAGGGATTTTGGATTTTTGAATTAGGGATGCTCAATCAGTTAAGTATAAATGCAAATATTTCGAAATTTGAAATCTAAAACTTTTTTGGCCCCAAACATTTTACATAAGGAGTACTCAACCTGTAAGAGTGCAGAGAATTTAGGTATGAATGTAGTACATGATAACGTTGGCACAGCTGCATTCAGAACTGTGAAGAGGAATAGACTATTCAGTAAATTGTGTTTAGACACATGATTTACAATCTGGTATAAAATTAATTTAGAATCATGTTATGCACCATGTGGAAATATATTCCAGATGATAAAAACATTGAACAAAAACATAAAGCAACTTGATGAAGACGTAACAGGTGAGCATTCATCAGATCTCAGATTGGGACAGGAATTCCTATAAAAGCAAATAAACCAGGAAGGAGAAAATCTTTTGAATTTAAATCTAAAGTATGAAAATGTGAAATCAAGTAAGCAAAAACTAAAAGGAGAAAAGATTTTGCCACATACTAGTAAAAAAGTTAAAATGTTGAGAAGTTTTTCAAGTCTATTAAAAAGGGATGAGTTAATTTTATAGAAAAAAATCCTACATATATCAGGAAAAGCATATATCAAAATTGCCAACAAATAACAATAAATTTTGAACCTCAGCTATAATCAAACAAATACAAATTGATAGACCTATAACTATAACAAGAAAGTTAAGGGTAGTGCCCACTGTTTTCAAGAATTTCATAAAAAGGGCCTTATCAAGCACACTGATGTGAATTAGTGATGGGACGCTTTTTCTAAGTTCTGATTTAGGAATTCCGTGAAGCGTTTTTAAGTCAGAATTTTTGCCCTAATAATTCAGTGTTTAGACAATTATGTTGAAAAAAAAGAATATTCATGTTTTTAATAACATGTTATTAGCATCAACCTTAACATGTAACAGAGGAGATGGTTGAGTTATATTGTATCTTTATGTATGCTGTGCAGCCATTAACGAGACATATTTTCAACAGAGATTGAATTATGCAGACTACCAAATAGCATGTAGTAATTTCATCATTTTGTGTAAAATTATACATAGATGAAGGGCTGGCATGATATATACAAAGGTGTTAACAGTGGGTTGATTACTGCTTTTAATTTTCAGAAAACTTTTTTGTTTCAAAGCATTACATTGCCAAGAATGTAAGGTTATTTCATTATGTGAAGATCAGTCAACAAATGTACCATATTAATAGAAGAAATGACAAAAACCACATGATCATCTCAGTAGCTGCAGAAAAAGCATTTGACAGAATTCAACACCCTTCTGTGATAAGCATACTCAGCAAACTAGGAACAGAAGTCATCTTTCTCAACCTGATAAAGAGTTTCTTTGAAAAATCCACAGCTAGCATCCTACCCGATGTTAAAAAAAAAAAAACTGGATATTTTCCCCTAAGGTCAGTAACAAGACAAGAATATCTAGTCTTACTCTATTTACATCACCTAGGAGTAATGTTAAATTGGAGGTGCTAGCCAGGGCAGTTAAGCAAGAAAAGAAATAGAAGGTATCCAAAATGGAAAGGAAAAACTTAAACTATCTCTATTTGCACAAAACACAATCTTGTGTGTTGAAAATCCTAAGGAATCCACCAAATATATATATATATATATATATAATATCAGATGATAATAATAGATATCAGATAAGATATTTTAGAAAGTTGGACATTAAGAAGAGTGTGATTGGGGAAGTTGCTGTGACTTTCTGCCTGAAGATTCAGAGTCAGGATCATGTGCTAAGAGGTGACTTGAAGTTTAGAATAGCCGTTTAGGGGGATTAGACACAAGAGGTGGGGCACTCATGGCTGACATTTATTAGAGCATTAACAAGTTCAGCAGGGTTGCAGGATATAAGATCAGTGTACAAAGGTCAGTTGTATTTCTAAGCACTAGCAGTGAACAATCCGAAAGGAAATTAAGACAATGATTATAATTACAGTACCAGTAAAAATAATAAAATATGTAGGAATAAATATATCAAAAGAAGTGTAAGACTTGTATACTGAAAACTGCAACACATGTTAAATGACGAAAATAGTTTGACAGTTTTTCAAAAAGTTAAATGTAAAGTCACCACAAGACTCAGCAGTTCTGCTCCTAGTTATATACTCAAGAGATCAGAAAACGTATGTTCTCACAAAAAGCTGTACATGAATGTTCGTAATATTATTCATAATAGCCAAAAGGACAATCCAAGTGTCTTTTTGCTGGCAAATGGATAATCAAAATGGGACATGTCTATGCAATGGAATGGAATATTATTGTCATAAAATTTAGAGTACATTGCATAAAAATGTCTGCCTCAAGATGGATCAAACTTTGAAATTACAAAGTCAAACACAAACACGCATGCATTGTATGATTCCAATTATATGAAATGGATATAATAGGCAAGTCTGCCAAATCAGAAAGTAAATCAGTTGTTGCTGAGAGATAGAAACGGAGGCAATAGGGAGTGATTGTTACTAGGTACATGATTTATTTTGGGGGCGATAAAAATGTTCTGGAATTAGTGCTGAGGGTTGCACAACGCTGAATATATTTAAAACACTGAATTATTTACTATAAAAGGGTAACTTTTGTGATACGTTTGAATTATATCTCAATTTTTTTCAAAGTGGGAAGAAAACTGGAAAAAAAACCCCTCTATTTGAGTTTTAAAAGTAAACACATTACATTTAATATGTATTATTTTTACCAGAAGGAGAATATTGTATTTAAAGTGCTTTAATATGCACTAGAAAGCCAATTTGCAACAATATATTTTTTGGTAAGAACCTATTGTTATTTAAGGTTTGAATCGCATGTTTCAATATAAAAAGTGCCACTCCTTTTTTCTTTTCTTCATCTGACCCAGGTTTCCTCTCAGGGACAATCAGCCACCTGCCTGTTGCTCTTTCCAGGGGTTAGATAAAGGATGTTCTCCTTTCCCCCTCTCCCTTCACCTCACCCTACCCCATGTGTCTCCTGTAGCCTTTTTTACACACATGAGACTGGTATTACCTCTGTTTTCTTCTACTTTGAGCCTCACTTATTATGGCTGTACATATATAGATTAGAGGGAGTGTTCTGTTATTTTTCAGTACACACTTACTTGAGTACTTAGTTTTTGCTAGGTACCAGGGATCCAGAAGTATATGCCTCTGTACTGAATCTCTCAGTCTGTTGTTGATAAGTTGCTGAAGGATGAGCAGCTAAAAATTTGTTGCGTTTTATACATTTTGAGTTTGAAGTCCCTGGGAGACTTCAAACTAGAAGTTGTCAGTGGACACTTGGTGTATGGTGGTATAGAACTTGGCAGAGAGGCCTAGCACAGTGACTCACACCTGTAAATCCAACATTTGGGAGATCGAGGTGGGTGGGTTGATTGAACCCAGGAATTCAACACCAGCCTGGGCAACATGGCAAAACCCCACCTCCAACAAACAAAAATTAACCAGGCCTGGTAGCACATGCCTGTGGTCTCATTTGCTAGGGAGGCTGAGGTGAGAGAATTGCTAGAGCCCGGGAAGTCGAGGCTACAGTGAGTGAGTGGTGATTACACCACTATACTCCAGCATGGGTGACAGAGCAAGACCCTGTCTCAAAAAAAAACACTTAGCAGACAGCTATGCTGATTAGATTCGGTAAGATTTAGAAGTCATTAGATATTTTTACTGTACTCAATATTAAACTCAGAGCATTCCTTAAAGCAGTTGCCACTGGCTGTTGTTATTTCTAAAGTACTGAACTTTTTTGGCAGCAGGGATATCATAAGTGTTTTGAAGTTCACCCTTTAACTTCAGCCCAAAAAGGAAAATTGGTGTGGTAGGAAATAGGAATTTAAGTTAAGGTAACCTTGATGTATGAGTGCATATTTGTGAATATTTATTCTAACAATTGAGTTTATGGAATTGCTTGAGTGGAAAATAAAATATAGTTTCAATGAGGTCATATGAGCAGAAGTCAGATTTTAGTTGGTTGATTGAGAAGTTGAAAAGAGAATCTTTACACATTATTCTTATGCTTGACGGTCAAGAAAAGGGGTGAAAGAATACTCTAGGAATTATCTGTGGTTGAAAGAATTTATTGTCTTACGAGATCGGAGAAGTTAATTATGTTTGTATTCTAAGGTGGCAAGTAGTAGAGATGGAAAAGTTAGAAGTGTAAGGATGAAAGAAGATAATTAGTAGCTAAGTTGCTGTGAAAGGCATGAGAAATGTGACATGGAGCATAGCCTGGGAGATAGTCTTGAATGTGGAAGGGTCAACCATTTCACTGATGTAGAAGGGAAGGAAGTGGAGGAGGTAATAGATAACAGATACGGTATTTTAGAAAATTGGGCATTTAGAAGAGTGTGATTGGGGAAGTTGTTTTGACTTTCTGCCTGAAGATTCAGAGTCAGGATCATGTGCTAAGAGGTGACTTGAAGTTTAGAATAGCCATTTAGGGGGAGTAGACACAAGAGGTGGGGCACTCATGGCTGACATTTATTAGAGCAAAAGGATGCAGAGGTCAAAAAAAGACTTGTGAGATAGTCTGAAGGAGTCTAGGCACAGGCTTTCAAAGTTTGTCTTCCAGAGCTGGTGGCTGAGGGGCTACTCCTTCCTCAAGCAATGAAATACAGCAATTCAGGCTGGGCACAGTGGCTCACACGTGTAATCCCAGCACTCTGGGAGGCTAAGATGGGCAGATCACTTGAGGTCAGGAGTCGAGACCAGCCTTGCCAACATGGTGAAAACTTGTCTCTACTAAAATTACAAAAATAAGCCACATGTGGTGGCAGGTGCCTATAGTCCCAGCTGCCCAGGAGGCTGAGGTCCAAGAATCGCTTGAACCTGGGAGGTGGAGGCTGTAGTGAGTCGAGATCACACCACTGTACTCCAGCTTGAGTGACAGAGCGAGACTGTCTCAAGAAACAAAAAGAAATGCAGCAGTGCAACATGTTCACAGTGGAATCTCGCTTAAGACTCATGCTTGGAGGTCAGTAGGGTATTGGGAGTAGTCACATAAGGTACTCTGCTTGCACAGCCAGCCACAATTATGAGAATCCCAGACTCCTAAAAAGAAAGGAGGTATTGACCACAAATCACACTGTTTGCAAAAACAGCTTAGGCACACTGGTGCAGAGTTTAGTGTCCCTAAAACTCCCTCACACACTCTGAAAATAACCTTATCATTAATATAGGGAGCATCCAAAACGATTGCCAGAGGCCAGCCCCATAAGCAGACACTTTTTAAGAGCAACATCAGTCCTGCTATGTTAAATCCTTTCAGCACAGGCACTAAATACCAAGTCAGATATTTATCCCAGTTTCTAGTAGTGCCAGTATGCATAACTTCATGGTTGTATAATTTTCTCTGTGTGGCATCTCAAGTAGTAGAATAGAGGAAGTGAGTTAGATTCATCCAGATGTGAAATTTTATAGGGGCAGAAAGTTCTAAGAAAGGATGTGGGTGGGGAAGCAACAAGGTAGTAAACAGAGGCTAATGTTGAGAAGGCCTAAGTTTGGAACGTGGAGGTATATTATAGGCAAGAGAGGAAAGAAACAAGGTACTGTGACTGGGAAAATAGACTAGAGCAGGGAATGGCATGATGGCAAAGTCTAAGGCTGGGACATGGGCCTCACTAACCTTTCTCTTTTTAGGCTGGTGAAAATAAGACTCATTGCCAACTTTTGAAAACATTCTCTACTTAGTACATCAGGAGAAGTCTTTATCTCACATCTTGTTTAATTTCCTAGTCTGTTTTAGTTGAAAACAAGCTTGATGTATATGTCTGTGCTATAAATTTTGTCGTCTTAAAGAAAATGTTTTCTAGGAATTATAAAAATAATTTCTTCTAATATACTAAGTTTTCCTCTGTTCTTTGCTTGCACTTTCATCAAAGAGGATACTTCTGAAAAGCTGGATGGTAAGAACTTCCTTTCCTAATTCTACTGAAGATTTTTATGGCTCCTAGGTTCGATGTAATATCCTTGTTCATTCTTCTCTTAATTTCTGAAAATATATTATTAATACTTATTTAGTAATAACCTTAATGTGAAAATAGCTACATAATTCTCCGAATAAATTTGGAGCTAGGCTTATCTGTTGGGCATACCATATCCCAGTCTACTCAAATACTAGGTAACTATTTGACTTTGTTTTAACTTTAATCAATTACTTAAAATGTTTTCCTGAGCTCTTAGAAGTATGCCTCTGAATTTTCTCTATTTGTTAAGTCCTCATGGAAAATATTGGGTTCAGAAGAATGGAAAAGAGTCTCCTAAGTCATTTCATTCACTTTTTTAGTCTACTAACTGATATGACAAATGACATATTTGATAAATTCATATGATCATTTTTGAAAATGAAATGCAAATTACAGAGGCTGACTTTTTAAGAGTGCATTGTAAACTAACATTTAGACAAAATTGAACTTTAAGCTTTGCCTTTTAAATTGCAATATTCAAATGATTATAGTTTATCTGTAGTGGCTTGGTTCAGTAACAACCCTGTATGATATTTTTGGTCTGATATTAGATAGTATATTATCCACACTCTCCCTTCACTTTGGCAGATACTATAATGTCACCTATGAGCTTGACCTTTTTAAAATAACTTACCATACTAAATCTGTAAGTCACATTATGAGATCTAGGAAAAACAGAGACACTATATATTTTTCTGTAAATTATTATGTAAATGTAAAATTGATCTAATCTTCTATTTTAATGAGATAGAACATTTATTAAACTTTGGGTTAAGGACATGACTGCTAGTTATATTAGACTCTGCTTTTCTATATGATTATAATAAAATATTGAGTGAAATGATAGCCCATGAAGAGAGTTTCTATGTATCAAACCCTTAGACATCCTAATATTGATACACTGGATCCTTTGAATACAAACTTCTATCACTTTGCAGTTCAAAATATTTTCTTGATTGGATAGGAAATATCAATCTATTTGAGGAGTCACTTCTGTTATATGATGTGTTATGCTTACTGATGTTCAATCCTATGTTTAAAAAAATACACAGACATGTATATTATTGCCCTTTAGTAGTGGTGAGTTATGATGTTTGTACTTAGTCATTTTTGATAGATTTCATTGACATCTTGAATGCACATAAATATTGTATAAATAGCTAATTGGATTAATAGGTTTTTGGCTTTGCAGATTCTTTGATGAAAATAGGCAAATGAGGCCTAGGTCATCGATTTTATTTCTGTGTTTCCCAGTTAGTTTTTTCTGATTCCTTTATGGACCTTTTGAAAATGCAGAGAAAACATTTTTACTTTGGAAAGATCTATAAAATTTCATTTTCAAAGAGTAATTACAGAGTTACATTTTCTCGAGTGATTAATTTCTCTAAGTTTTTATACCGTTTCAAATTTTAAGAATGAAATATAGCAGACAAAAAGTTTTTCCTATAGAATTTTGCTATTTTCATTTGTCTCATTTCAACCTATTTATCTCTGTGCTGTGAATCATTAGATTTCCTAAAATTTTGTTTTTCTCAAAATGAACCTTTCCACAGTTAATTTAAGGCTCTCAGACTAAAAGTTACTTTTTGTTTTTACCCTTTCATTATAGTGTTGGTTGGGGATTGTGAGGTAGGTCTTAATATCAACATTGGCAGAATCTGTTGAAATATTGTTTTATTTTTCTTATTTAGGAACAGCATCTGAAGATGGTAAGAATTATATACATTTTGTTAGTAACACAGATGCCTCTACCTTACTATTTTCATTGGTAGGAATTAAAACTAAAATAGGCTAATTTCTTTGCAAATCTTTATAATTTACCAGTGATAGTAACCTCTACATTTCATATTTGGTTGTCTTATTAATGTGTGGATTTTTTTTTTTTTTTTAATTCTTCATCCTGCTAGTTTGCCTTGTACTTTGGATCATCTCATGCTGGAAAAACATAATTGCTTAACATATTTAATAATATTTAGCATAAAGGAAGCATATAATTTCATTTTTTATAGTAGTGACATTAATGCTTTTCTTACGTGTTTGTGTTTTTGTTTTTTAATTTATGCCAATTCATTATACTTTGGGAGATCATGCACCATTGCTTTGTCATTGAAGTTCAAATGCATTTATTAGTCTGCTTTTAAATATATCTTCTACTTTTGAATTAGTAACTGGGGAATTGGTAACAGATTCAAATTAAAGTTGAGATTACACCAGAATTGCTATGCATATCTTACCGAGTCAGTTCACCTTAAAAATAATTTTTGTAGTTTTGAATTTGTAGAAAACAATTCAATGTTTGTATTTATTCTACCTCAAGTCTGCCTTTTTAAAGCCTCTAATTCAAAGTATATATTTTTTCCTCTTAGTTTTACATGGATTACTTTTACTTTTTTTCAATACAAAATCAAATAGATTAACTTTTTAATTTGTTCTCATATTTACTCTGATACATTTAAAATAATTTTCTATTTTAAGTTTTAAATTGTAATACTCTACAAAAACATGATTTCTGGCGAGACTCAGGGGTTCACGCCTAAAATCCCAGGATTTTGGGAGGCTGAGATAGGAGGATTGCTTGAGGCCAAGACTTTGAGACTAGCTTTGACAACATAGTGAGGACCCATCTCTACAAAAAATTTAAAAATTGGGTGGATGTGGTGGCACACAGCTATAGTCCCAGATATTCTGGAGGCTGAGGTGGGAGGACCACTTGCTAATCTGGGAAATTGAGGCTGCAGTGAGCCATGATCATGCCACGGCACTCTAGCCTGGGCAACAGAGCGAGACTGTGTCTCAAACCATAAACAAACAAACAAACATGATTTCTGGAACTATGGAATTGTAATTTCAAGTGTTAATATCAAAATACTTGGCATTCTCATTTCTCTGTCATATGCAGTGTAAATAAATTCCCCATTTCAAAAATAACAATTTGGTCATTTTGTTTTACTCTTTAGTCAACTTTGTGTCCTGCTCAAAATAGACATTAAACGGGTGAGAGACCTGAACCATGGACACATTAGGGGCCTTGAAGTTGATAGTATGCTGGTATTCTACCAATTACACTTGTAGTTTTGGTTCTGTTTTTTTCCTCATTCTTATTACTCTCTTATCTTTTCTCACTCATTTCTTAGTTTTGTATTATCTCCTGATTCTTTAAGGAGTTTTTATTTTTATTCTTTAGTATGTTTTTTCCTTACTAATATGGTCATGTTGAGTTAGCCAGTATTTCTTGTATACCCTACAAATTATATCTTTTAACTGAAAAGAATTCTGAGCCCTTGTTTTTGAATGACAAACCTTATAGTAGTTGAAAGTATTGTTTAAGAACACCAAAGTGCCTGCCAATAATATATTCTGTCATCACTTTTTTTTAATTAACTGCAGCTAACTTAAGCAGTTGACAAACCTCTCTCTTCTGGTTCAAGAGCCCTAGAAATAGGGTGAGGATGTTTGTGGCCTAGTTGTGTGGAGGGGAATAAGGCAGTGGTAGAGTAGAAAGCAGTGCAGTTTGGGAGGTGTAAAAGGAATATATTGAGAAAAATGCCAACTCTTACATGATATACATTTCCTCAAATCATTTTCTAAATGAAATGGTGATTGGAGGGGATCAGTAAACATGTCCATATACATCTGTAGTAATCTGATACAAAGAGATTAAATATTTTGCTTAATTATATCTCTTCTTCAAATCCCTTTGGAAGTACATTTTCAGTCAACAGGATGGTTTGAGTTGTTTCTAAGATTAGGCTAATATTTAAAACTGTAGGGTTGACTTGAGAATAATCCAAATTTCATGGAAACTGAAATTTCAGAATTGCAGCTGCCAGTTGAGAAATAAATGACATGCTTATGGTAATTATCTACTACTGGACTAATATATAAATTACGAACGTAGGTCTTTTAGTTTGATTCTTCTTATTCTTAAAGGAAAGTTAGCTTATGGTATAACACGTAAAAAAAAATACTGTTTATAAAATTTTTAAGAGAAATAGAACCCATAGTTGATGATTACATTATTACAGAATTTGACAATACCTAAAAATAGTGAGATTTTCTCCCCTCATTATTAAATGTTATTATAGAAAAATGTTTTTAACTATGTAAATAATCTATTTCTCAGGCCGGGTGAGAGCAAAACTTTCAGCACCGCTTGCTGGCATGGGAAATGCCAAGGCAGATTCTAGAGGAAGAAGTCGAACAAAAATGGTGTCTCAGTCACAGCGTATGTATTGCTTATCAGCCCTCCTGTATTTGTCACTATGTTAGGAGAAGGGTGTTGCTTGCATATTACTATATTAGAAGATTGACCAGTGGATAAAGACAAAGCTAATTAAAAAAAAGACAAGCCACATACTGAGTTCTTGTTCTGTGCTTTAGGTTCATCATCACCTGACAAAAATGAAGGTATTTTTTTCAATGTTTTGGATCAGTTGTTGTGCATGTTTTGGAATTTTTTGAGTGGGTGTTGTCTTGTCTTTGGTGTGTTATTAGGGCTGCATCATTGATAGCTGCCACTTAGAAAGAAAAACTTCATCTGCCGTAAAAACTTTTGCATGGAAATCTTTTAAATAGCACAAATCCTTAGCAATAAGGTATTCACATTCTACTCAGAAACTTGCTAATGTAGAAAATTGTGCTTTTTAGAGGCAAAATAATTGCCATATATTAGCATCAAAATCTAGTTGTATATTCAAGGACAGATACATGATACCTTATTCTCCCCAAAATCTATTAACTTATCTATTTCTTGATCATTTTTGGCAGGTATATACTAATTTATAGTGAGGAAACATAAGTTGAAATGACCAGTTCTGTTGCATTCATGTTAAATTTAAGATTTATATTTTTGCTATTTCACTGGAAGCTGTTTATCATAAGCACAATTAAAAAACACAGTTTTGAGGTCTAGCTAAATTAATCATTTATTTCTGTGTTTCAGAATAGTAAACATTTATGGTATTTTAAAATATTATTTATTTATTTATTTATTTATTAGATATGGGATCTTACTCTGTTGCCCAGGCTGGAATAGAGCAGTGTGATCATAGCTCATTGCAGCCTCCAACTCCTGGGCTCAAGCAGTCCTCCCACCTCAGCCTCCTGAGTAGCTGCTGCCACGGGCTTGCACCACCATGCCTGGCTAATTTTTTGTTTGTTTGTTTGTTTGTTTCTTTTAAGAGATGGGGTCTCACTATGTTGCCCAAACAATTCTTGATCTCCTGGCCTCAAGTGATCCTCCCACCTCGGCCTCCAGGAGTGCTGGAATTACAGGTGTGAGCCACCATTCCTGGTCTCATTTATGGCATTATTAACTTAAAATTATTTGTTCCTGTTCCTTCTTTACCAAGAGATTTTCATTAATGCTTACCACTAAAACCAGGACAGTTTTCTAGGGAAGTAATTGTGGGAGTTATTCATGTATTTCCCTATTTGTTTTTCTTTTTTTGAGTCAGGATCTCACTCTGTCACCCAGGCTGTAGTGCAGTGCCACAGTCATTGCCCACTGCAAGCCAGAAACTCTTGGACTCAAGGGATCCTCCTACCTCAGCCTCCCAAGCAGCTGGGACTACAGGTGCATTCCACCACTCTCAGCTAATTTTTTTATGAATAGAGGTGGGTTCCCACTGTGTTGCCCAGGCTGGTCTCAAACTCCTGGGCTCAAGCCATGTTCCTGCCTCTGCCTGCCAAAATTCTGGGATTACAGGTGTGAGCCACTGCACCCAGCCTACTTGGCTATTTTTGAAACAAATAAATTTAACTCTTTTCTACAATTGCTTAGGTGATTTATTAGGCTATGGGTGTCGTATTTGTTTGGTTTTTAACCTGATTTCTGAATTTTGAAATCAGGAAAGATAATGGGGCATTGAGGGGCAGAATAGTGATTGCGCAGGTCTTACCAAGCAGATCCTTCTCTCTTTCCAAAGTTAGAAAATCCACGCAGAGTAATGATTGGAGCACTCAAGAATATAAAAGTACCTAAAAATAAGCGGAAGTAAATTGGTTTGCAATTTGAGGATTATTTAAGAATAGGAAAACTGGCAAATGTCCTCTAGACCAGTCATTTTATCTCAACCAGATCAGTATATCATAACATATTCTTCCCTGATCTTGTGTATTTTTAAAGTAACTTAATCTTTAGCAGGGTAGCATAGTAGTTAGAAGACTTGTTCTTCTGTATGTGCTACCCAGACTAGCATTAGCATCATCTGGGAGCTAGTTAGAAATATGCAATCTCATGTGCCATTACAGATTTACTGAATCTAATCTTTAACAAGATTATCAAGTGATTTGTATCACAATAAAGTTTGAGAAGTAAATACTGGTTTAGATCATAGATACTGGAGATGTACTGCTCAGGTTTGAATACTGGCTCTTTGAGGTTATTTGAAATTACTGCACTTCTATAATTTCATTTGTAAAATGAAGAAGATAACATCTACATAGGATTGTTGTGAGGATTAAATGATGTAGTGTGTTTATTTAATATACATAAAATATTGCCTAGCCCAGAATAAGCACCATATATGTTGGCTAATAAAATTGTCTTCATTATTTTTTAATGTTTTTTCAATGTTTTAAATTTTTTTAGATATTGCAGATGATTCTCATTATTATTCTTAATCAAATGTCAGCTGAATTTTAGACTGCATTTGTGTACGTCTGTACCTTGTTATTCTTACTGCCTTCAGTAAGCAGAGAAATAAATAATGAAGTTAGGAAATTTAAAGCATAAAGATAACAACCAGGAATCGCTCATGTTCAGTATCTAAGGATAAAATTAATTGTGAGATATTAATTCTTTTCTGAAATAATACTGAGGCTGATCTCAGGGCAAAGATTCAAAGGGCTTTTTTTTTTTAAATACTTAAGAGACCTTTTCAGGTACATTGTAACTAAAATCATGTCGCTAAAAAATATAATAATTTTTTGCATTTGGTTTTTCACTTTGAAACTCATTCCATAATACTCCAAATCTTTTCCTAAATTGTGAAAACACAATAATTGGCTTCTTAGACCAAATAGGGCTTTAATATTAGAAGACTGTTCCTCTGTAAAATCATTTGGGTTTGAGTTATATTGGAGGGACTTTTGTTTGTTTGCTTGCTTATTTATTTGAATGACTATATGTTCCATTCCAAATTCCTTCGTAAAAAGGTATTATGTGATTTGTATGCAAGTTTCTTTATAATATATTTGCACAGAAATATTACTGTGATCATCATCCTTACTTTGTCATAAAGTAATTCATTAGGGCTTGCATGGTCTTACCATATTTTTGTATCACTACTTAGAAAAAAAAAGTCTCTCAGATCAAAGCAGGTGTGTTCTGATGGCTAACCAAAATAAATAAATAAATGGAGACTCAACGGAGAGACCACTAGATCTATATTTGTGACAGAATTGTGTCTCTTTTTCTGTTGGTAGTGACTGGTTGTATACAAATGGTTGTACAGCCTGTCAGAAACTTTGTCTCCTCTCCTCCCATCTTTTGTTTTTTTTCTTTGCATCTTAAGAAAGATGACATTTGTAGCTTTTTCATGTAATTCTTCTTCAGCTGTACGATGTTGTAGTTGTTCCTTATGAGTAGTTTTAAATTAAATGTTTAATGAAAACAAACATTTAATAATTTTGATTTTTGACTGTCAGTAGTAGAAAAGCTGAAGAATTTACATTTACTGTTGCAATTTCATTTCATCTGCTTTGTACATGAGTGTCTGATTTCAGTTGATTAGCTTTAAAATACTAAGTGTACTGCTTTTGTTAAAGACATCTGTGCTTTTGGGATTTTTTAAAGTTTGCTTCTTTTTGCTTTAGGGTTATTTTTATTTTCTGAGAACTGACTAAAGCTTTTTTATTTCCATCTGCCATCCATTTAAAACTGCTCCTTTCCTCTTCATGGATTATAATCCTTACCCTAATTCTGCCTTTACACTTGTTCAGGATCACAATCTGCTAATACCATTGGTGGTAAGAATCTATAGACTTTATGTGTGCATCTATTGTTTGATCACCTATTTTCATTATGAAGAATGGGTTCTATTCAGCAGAAATTAACATCATAGTCATATTGGAGCAAAAATTGCCAATTGCAGTTTTTCTTTGGCCTGTCTTATTACCAAAATCCTGATTTTTTTTTAAATGACACAAATTAATACCATGGATGTAAATGTTCAAAAGAAATAGGAACTTTTGTCATGCTTTGAAATACTATAAAATGTATAAAATGATAGTTTGAAATCTGTAGGTAGCACAAGAGAAAATAGGTGTTCGAAGTCAAGTTTTGCAAATATGGATATTTTCTGGTAGCATGCGATTCCCTGGATACATCATGACACTTTTCATCAACTCTGGTTTTCCTAAAAGAAATAATTAGCGTTGGTGGCTCTTTACTGGGGAAGGAGCCTTGGTATTTTTTTCTAAGTATAAATAATTCCAGAATGAGTCATAGGTACTAGAATTATCACACTCTGGGTAGGAATCAGGAGTATTGCAGAGGAGAGGGTAATGATTAAAGCAAAATGAACACTGACAATTTTATTTCCCAGGATAGGCCAGGAATGAATTTGAATGTATAGAGTACACTTGCATAATTCTGATAAATTCAATAAATCTAGAATAGAAAGGAAAGTTTACTCTGTTTCGGAACTGCAAGTTTCCTATCTGCTGAATAGACCCACATTTCAAGAAATTCTGCAGTCTCTCCTACCAACACTTCACCCCCTAAATTTATATTGGTTTAAATAGAATACCATATTGTATGTGCTCAGTTCATTATTTATACTTTTTATATTGTTGCAAGTTTTCCCATAAAATATTCCATTGGCCTATCTTGCATTGTGAGTTGTGGCATGTTGGGTGTTTGGATGTTTTTGGTGTGTATGTTTAGTTTAGACACTGCATGGAGAAAACAGGTGCCGTATATGAGTATCCTTAAGGTTATATTGAAAGAAACTGGATTTAAAGATTCTTCACTTGAAACATGGAACATACAAATGAGCTATTTTAAAGTTCACTTGAATAATTTCCCTACAATAATTCAGAATTCCTTTTGTACAGATACTAAATTGTTAATTCTATTGGAGACACTGCTTTGTTTTACAATATTGCTGTCACTAATAGGAAATAAGTTTCATTTTGTATGCTGGAAAAGTTTAAGAATTAAGCAGGAGAATAAATTGTGCTCAGCAGGACCATGCCAAGAAAACTGTAGTAAGAATCATAGATCAGCAGCCCATGGACCATGTCTAGTGTGTCTACATTTATGTATTATTTGGCCTATAGAATATGTTAAAAATCTGGAAATATCAAAGCTTTCATTTTTTAAAAATCCCATGACCTATCCACTATTACCTCAAGACAGAAGTGGCTAGAACTAAAAAGTCACCTCCCACTTTAGGAAAGGGCAGTGCCTGCACTTCCCTCTTGATCAGTCGTCTTACTACTCCCTGCTTTACACAGTGCCCTTCTCGTTTCTGACATCCTGTGCTTATCTCCATTGGCATTTGAGTCTTTGTGGAAATGAAGCCTGGTTGGGTAAGACTGTATAACATATAATTGTACAGCACTCTTACTGGGTAGAAGCAGTGTCCGTGAAGGGAAAAGGTTGCTTTCATGAAGATTTATTTAATTGCAAATTTAATTTTTCTTTTACTCCTCTTAATCTAGATTTAGATTATATCTTAAGAGTTCTTATCTAGTCCATTTTCTATTCAACATACACAGAAAGTGCTTTGATTGACACGGTGCTTATGTCCTTAATATTTAACCCTTGGCTTTCTAGTTTAAAACCATGTTTTTAAAACTTTTTTAAACCTCTGCTCAGTCTCTGAAAAGATTTTGCTAACTCTACCTGTGCTCCTGACCACATATCCACCTTCCAAGACTTAAAAATTACCCATTTGAAAAGAGGCCAGGTACAGTGGCTCATTCCTGTAATCCTAGCACTTTGGGAGGCGGAGGTGGCAGATCACGAGATCAGGAGTGCGAGAGCAGCCTGACCAACATGGTGAAACCCCATCTCTACTAAAAATACAAAAATTACCTGGGCGTGGTGATGGGCACCTGTAATCCTAGCTATTCAGGAGGCTGAGGCAGGAGAATCACTTGAACCTGGGAAGCAGAGATTGCAGTGCGCCGAGATCACGTTATTGCACTGCAGCCTGGGTGACAGAGTAAGACTCTTATCTCGTGGAAAGAAAAAAAAAAAAGAAAGAAAAGAATCTGACTTATTCGATGTTTGTCTTTACTCCTTTTCAACCGTTAGTACTTCTATAACCCAGAATGTCACCACCCAAGAGCTCATTGCTATTTGAAGACAAATAGCAAAAAGCAAGTTTCTTTTTCAGCTGGCCCAGTTTTCTCAGCATTTAAAATTTAACTTGGTGGCCAGGAGCAGTGGCTTAAGCCTGTAATCTCAGCACTTTGGGAGGCTGAGGTGGGTGGATTGCCTGAGGTCAGGAGTTCGAGACCAGCCTGGCCAACTTGGTGAAACCCTGTCTCTACTAAAAGTACAAAAATATTTAGCTGGGCATGATGGCGCATGCCTGTAATCCCAGCTACTCCGGAGGCTGAGGCAGGAGAATCGCTTGAACCCAGGAGGCAGAGGGTTCAGTGAAGCAAAATCACACCACTGCACTCCAGCCTGGGCAGCAAAGCAAGACTCAGTCTTGAGAAATAATAATAATAAATTAAATAAAATTTAATTTTGTTAAGTTAAAAATTATGTCCAACAGTAAGACAGATAGCTTTGCTGTACCCACTCAGAAAAATCTCAGCAGGTAAACTGCTTTAAAATGAAACAGATTATCATTATTATATACTTAACAAAAATAATAGTGATAGAATTACTGGGATTTTTCTTTAAATACAGTCATGTTCTGCATAACCACATTTAATCATGATCACATATGTGACACTGGTCCCATAAAATTATGATACTGGGAAGGAGGTAAGGGATAAAAGACTACATATTGGGTACAGTGTGCCTTGCTTGGGTGACAGGTGCACCAAAATCTTAGAAATAATTGCTAGCGAAGTTATCCTTGTAACCATACACCACCTCTACCCCAAAAACTATTGAAATAAAGTTTAAAAAATTTTTAATACTGTATTTTTACTGTACCTTTTCTATGTTTAGATATTTTTAGATACACAAGTATTTACCATTGTGTTAGTTACTTACAGTATAGTTAATGGCATACTTTATAGGGCTTGCAGCCTCTGAGCAATAAGCTATATACACCATATGAACTGGGTCTGCAGTAGGCTATACCATCTAGATTTGTGAAAGTACACTCTCTGATGTTCACACAATGATAAAATCTCCCAACAACACATTTCTCAGAATGTATCCCATTGTGAAGTGACACATGACTGTATATGGCTTATTCACATTGAACATGATAGCCATGTATAGTCAGATAAGTGACTCCTTTGGAAATCTTGTATACCATTTGTGTTCTAAAAATTAGAATAATGTTGTCCTTATTAAACATAGTGTCTTATACTCCCCAAACTAAAAGATATTTTAGGTGATTTACCATTCAGTGCTCATATATGTAGTATACCTTTTTTTTTCCAGGTTATAATTATATTTAAATCTTCTTTGGTCTATTTCCTTTGAACTTAGAACCTGCCATACTATCACAGTTTTCTCTTTATTATCAGTATTTCTTGAATTTTTATCCTTTCAGCAAATTCTCTTGGAGTTCACATCTTAACATTTGTATTTGTGTTTGGTGTTCAGCTGGTAGCCGGTCCGGGTCTCCAGGAAGAGTTCTGACCACAACAGCCCTGTCCACTGTGAGCTCTGGTGTTCAAAGAGTCCTGGTCAATTCAGCCTCAGCACAAAAAAGAAGCAAGATACCACGGAGCCAGGGCTGTAGCAGAGAGGCTAGTCCATCTAGGCTTTCAGTGGGTAAGATTTTTTCATGTGAGACATGTGACTTTTTTTTTTCCTTAGGCTTTGGCAGCATTGAAAACTTTGGAATAAGGTGGTTATAAATTAGAAGAAAATAACTTAAAAATTCAACAATTGAAGAATAGGTTATGAGTTGAGTTAGGTATCTTAAACGTATAATTCAGGGCCTGGTGTGGTGGCTCATGCCTGTAATCCCAGCACTTTGGGAGGCTAAGGCGGGGCGGATCACTTGAGGTCAGAAGTTTGAGACCAGTCTGGCCAACGTGGTCAAACCCTATGTCTACTAAAAATAGAAAAATTAGCCAGGTGTGGTGGTACCTGCCTGTAATACCAGCTCTTGGGTGGCTGAGGCAGGAGAATCACTTGAACCCAGGGGTAGGAGGCTGCAATGAGTCAAGATCGCACCACTGTACTCCAGCCTGGGCAATAGAGACTCAGTCTTTAAAAAAAAAAAAAAAAGCCCTGAAACAAAACAAACAAACAGAAAAACCCTATAACTTAACAGGAGCTTTGAAAAATATCGCTAACATTTTAAAGGAAAAGGTTATTATGGAATTTATAACATATTTATTACATATACACATATATACCCAGTTGCTTGTATATTTGACATTCATGAATATTCTTCTCTGTGTATTGATTAGGATACTTCTCTGTGTATTGATTAGGATACTTACAATTTCAGGTAATAGAAATGACAGTAGGCCGGCTTAAACAGTAAAAGTGGACTTATTGGTTCTTCTAACTAACTGTATGAAGATTGTACAGCCTTGAGGATTGATTAACATTGCTACCATGAACCCTGAATCTGTCCTTTTTCCCTTTCTCCCACTCTCCCTTCTTTCTTTTTTGCTTTATCAGCCATGTTACTGACTTTGTCCTTAGGATAGCTGCTACTTGATCCATCATTTCCAGAGCAAAAAGCCCCTAATTATTTCAATTTATTTTTAATAACTTTTTTACTGTTTTAAAAGATTACCTGTGTAACTTTAAAAATTATTCTCATATTTAAAGAAAATACTCATATTTCTATTTCTTGTTTCATCAACCTCGATCGGAAGCTCAACTTCCATACTTTTCCCTTCACCTTCCACTCTCTAAGAGTTATCAACTTTTACGTTATTAAAGTTTACACATACATTTTCTTCTATATCCACAAGCAAGTCTTATGTCCTTGTTCCATAAGTTGGCTTTAAAAGATAAAAAGCTGTAAGTAACATATACTGAGTTGTGAGTAAATGAATGTTGTTTGCAGCCAAGACACATAGTGTACTATGAACCCATTTCTTCCCAAAGGTACACTGAGTGTTAAGTATTAGGGACCACTTGAAGGAGAATGTTCCTGTAATAAAGAGATGAATTCTCTTTTCTTGCAGTCTCCTACCAGTTATTTACAGTTTTGCCACATTTTCATTTGCTGTGTATATAGAAAGTGACTAAGAATAATGTGCACTTCTCATATCCTTTAGTATTGCTTTCCCTTCAGTATTGCTGAAGCGAAATATGCAGTTCCTTACTTTTTCCAGATTTTCTTTTCAGTACTCTCTGGTTTAGTTGCTGTCCAAGCCTCCTTCTTGAGATTCTCATTTGCTGCTTTCCTGGTTTGAATGCACTCCCTCCTGGATCCTCTTTCTCTTCCTTTGCTCTTTTGCTTTGCTCGTACACATTCTCAAATAAATTCCTTAGAAATTGTGTGTAGGAGTCAAGCTTTTTGAAACCTTACTTGTCTCAGAATGTCTTTATTCAGTAGATGGCACAGATTTCTTTTAAGCCTACAGACTTTGAATTACTGTTCCGAGCACTTCTCATTTATGCTGAGCCTGGTATTTGGCCAATAAGCCTTTGAAGTTTTTATCTAATTCACTTCTTTTGGTTTTCCAGACATTATTTTAAATTTCTCTACTTTACCTTTAGTCAGTCTTCACCCTGTTTATTTTCTTTCTTTCTTTCTTTCTTTCTTTCTTTCTTTCTTTCTTTCTTTCTTTCTTTGTTTCTTTCTTTGTTTCTCTCTTTCTTTCTTTCTTTCTTTCTTTCTTTCTTTCTCTCTCTCTTTCTTTCTTCTTTCTTTCTTTCTTTCTTTGTGGGTTTTTCATTTGTGAGGAGGCAAGAAAAAGAATGGGAATTGAAAGCATTGGCTTCTTTTTTCCTCTTTTGTTTCTGTTTGTTTTAGAGACAGGGTCTCACTCTGTTACCCAGTCTGGAGTGCAGTGAATGCTCATAGTTTGCTGTGGTCTTGACCTCCTGGACTCAAGCAATTCTCCTACCTCATCTTCCTAAGTAGCTAGGACTTCAGGCATGTGCCAGTAGGCACGTGCCACCATGCCCAGCTAGTTTTTGTATTTTTTTATAGTGAGACGGTCTCACTATGTTGCCCAGACTGATCTTGATTTCCTGGCCTCAAGCAGTCCTCCCTTCTCACCCACCCAAGTTGCTGGAATTAGAGGAATGAGCCACTGCACCTGGCGTTTCTTCCTCTTTATCTTGAACTAAGAACTTAAGAACGGGTATTTTACTTTAGATTAATATTTGATAAGTATACAGTTTTCTATTAAAAATAAGATTTTAACCTAAGATACCAAAAGTGATAGAAGCCTCTATAGTTCAGTGAACAAAGAGAAAAATTGAGTTTTACACTACTGTACATACAGTATGTTAAATCTTTTTATTTGCAGACTTTTTAGTTTAGTAAAATACTATTTGCATTTCTAATTTCATACAGGCTAGAGGACCATATTTAAGAATTTAACTGTATTCCTGGTAATGCTTCAGCAAAAGTAATTTTTTTCTCAACCTTACAAAAAATTAAGTTACGGATCAGTTTTTAAGAAAGAAAAAAAAATTTTTAAGATGCAAACTCTGTTTTGTTTTCTCCCTTACTATGCTGCTGTGGCTTCACACCAGCCCGAAGCAGTCGTATTCCTCGACCAAGTGTGAGTCAAGGATGCAGCCGGGAAGCTAGTCGGGAGAGCAGCAGGGACACAAGTCCTGTTCGCTCTTTTCAGCCCCTCGGTATGTATTTGGGCAGGTGTTGTGTGCATTGCTTATCCCTTATTGTCACTATCTGATAACTTCAGCTTACCTGAGATTTAGCTCTCTTTGTCAACAGATCTTTCTCCCTACCCCTTTTCTGTCATTTTGAGGAAAGGAAATTATATGTTTGGGAAATTCCTTTGACTTGATTTACATGTCTGAAATGAATACGTTAGTCATTGTCTTAACAGATTACCTTCATAATCAAGTAATGTCACACAGATTTAAACTTCAGAATATTGAAGTCTAGATTTTTCTTAACAAATAAACCTGCAAATTTAAAGATATTTAAATATATAATCTCGAGTGAAATGTGGACTTGTTTGCTAAATACTTTTGTCTTTTTCATTGGAAATGTTAACATTTCAGCTTAGATCATTTAACTTAGGTTACTAAAAAGAATGCCACAAAATAATATACGAACTACTTATTAATGGGAGGGATTAACATTTTTATAGTATTTTATAGTTTAATAGTCATTTCCTATGAGCTAATGCTTTTGTCATATCACTGCTGTAAAACTTGTTCCAATTATATTGTATTGTAGCTGATAGTAATACCATATTTACTTCAATTACAAAATCTTAAATGATTTTTTAAAACTTCAGTATTATAAGGATAACTGGAGAAGTACAGTTTTGTATGTACCTTGAGAATCCTTAGAATTTCTGCATGGTCCTTCAGCATTTTAACCAGTACTTTGTTTATATGCACAAGCCTGTAACCATTTCATATTTTTTGCTTTAACACAATACAGTTTACTGTAACACTTAGAAGGTTGCTCTTCAGACTCTGGAATACTCAGGGAGAACGTAGTTCTACTTGTCCATTGGAATTCCTATTTCCTCAGATATATATAGTAGTACAGAATTTCTTTTTCTTTTTTTTTCTTTTTTCTTTTTTTGAGATGGAGTCTTGCTCTGTTGCCCAGCCTGGAGTGCAGTGGCACAATCTCAGCTCATTGCAGCCTCTGCCTCCCAGGGTCAAGGGATTCTCCTGCCTCGGCCTCCCAAGTAGCTGGGATTATAGGCATCCTCCACCATGCCTAGCTAATTTTTTTTATTTTTAGTAGAGACAGGGTTTCACCATGTTGGACCAGGCTGATCTTGAACTCCTGACCTCAGGTGATCCACCTGCCTCGGTCTCCCAAAGTGCCAGGATTACAGGCGTGAGCCATCGCACCCGGCCAAGAATTTCTAGTGGTTAATTTCTCGTTCTCTGGACCATTTGGCTCAAATAAACTAGACTTTCCTATACTGACTTAGAAAACCCCATTAAAGCTAGAGCCACAGGAATATGCTCAACCCTTATTTATGTTCCAGCCCCAGTTGCCAGAGAGTTTCCCTCTTTCTTTTCCCTCTGTGGGGAGGTGCCAGAGTAAAAAGAACTGTTCCGTATCACTAAGGCTGTGTGACAGGTACTTTTGTCAGAGATATTTTTAGGTCATGTGCAATAGTTTGTCTGTAGAATATCTGCGTATGTGTGTGAGCACCCATGTATACATGGTGCATCCTCATGGTTACACATTTAAAGAAATCCTACATGTGTATAAAATAATTATGCCACTTTTAGGAGCTGAGGGAATTGGAGTGGGTGTGTGGTGGTTTAAGAATGTATGTTGTAGGCAGGATGCGGTGGCTCACGCCTGTAATCACAGCACTTTGGGAGGCTGAGGTAGATGGATCACCTGAGGTCAGGAGTTTGAGACCAGCATCACCAACGTGGAGAAATCCTGTCACTACTAAAAATATAAAATGAGCCTGGCCTGGTGGTGCATGCCTGTAATCCCAGCTACTCAGGAACCTGAGGCAGGAGAATCACTTGAACCCAAGAGGCGGAGGTTGCAGTGAGCCGAGATGGCGCCATTGCATTCCAGCCTGACCAACAAGAGTGAAACTTGGTCTCAAAAAAAAAAAAAGTATGTTGTCGGATCACATGGCCTGGGTTCATTCCCCAGCTATATGACCTTTCTATGCCTGAGTTTCCTTATCTGTAAAACAAGGAATTGTTTTGGAGACTCATAAATGAAAAATACCACTGCTGCCATGACCACTCTGCCTCTTCCTGCTGAAGCTCTAATCACCTACTCTAGAAACCATTAAATTACACTTCAGTGGCAAGGATCTCAGATTTCTTAATTTATGTAATGTTGCATTTGTATAATGTTGATATTGCAGGTTATTCAAAAACATACCAAGAAGAAACCAACATGTGTTTCTGTACTTTGTAAACCTGTACAGTAGTTAGAGATTAGAGGGAATTCATAATATACTACTAATTACTCTAAAAGTAAACATTGTTTAATATGCTAGTTCTTAAAAAAATATTTTATCTAGTCATTAATATTCTAGATTCATCTCAAAGCTTCCATTTGACAATTTAAAATTACATAAATTTTATTATTAAAGGAAAGAGTTTTCCTGATTCTCATGGAAGTTCCTGTTTGCACTGAAGATGACTGTTGTCATCTGTGCAGGCTACTGCAAAATACCATTGATTATGTACTTTGAAATGACAGAAATGTATTCCTCATGGTTTGGGAGACTAGGAAGTCTAAGATTAAAGAAGCAGCAAATTTGGTGTCTGGTGAGGACCTATTCCTTTGTTCATAGATGATGACTTCTTGTTGTGTTCTTTAAATGCTAGAAGGAGCTAGCTAGCTTTCTCGGGTCTTTTAGTCATAGGTTTAGTATAATTAGGTTTTTGATAGCCTTTTTATTTACGTATGGGTACTGCATAGCAAAGGCAGCAGATTAGCCCTGTTTATTTTGCAGGGATGAAAGGTAGCATTCCCAGAGATTAAGTTGTTCTTGCTACTCCCATTCTCTGCTACGTTTGCCTACATTCTTCTTTTTTTTTTTTTTTCTGATGGGGTTTCACCATGTTGGTCAGGCTGGTCTCGAACTCCCGACCTCAGGTGATCTACCCGTCTCGACCTCCCAAAGTGCTGGGATTACAAGTGTGAGCCACCACACCTGGCCTTAATTTTGTTTTTTTTTTGTGTGTGTGACGGAGTTTCGCTCTTGTTACCCAGGCCCCAGGTTCAAGTGATTCTCCTCCCTCAATCTCCTGAATGGCTGAGATTACATTCAAAAATTAGCCACTGTGCCTGGCTAATTTTTGTGTTATTAGTAGAGACAGAGCTTCACTATCTTGGCCAGGCTGGTCTCGAACTCCTGACCTCATGATCTACCCACCGCAGCCTCCAAAAGTGCTGGGATTACAGACATGAGCCACCGCACCTGGCCTGCGTACATTCTTTGGTCTTTTCTGTTACTTGTTTCTTTGGTGGAATCTTATTGTTGCTTATGCCTGGCTATTGTTATTCAGCAGATGAATCACATAGTTTATTACGTATTTATTTGTATCACAAGTTTAGTGTGAGGACCCTAAAGCATCAGAAATAAATCATAGCTGAGCAAAGCTTAGCTTCTCTGGAACTTGCATCTTTAGTTTCTATTTATTTCTGGAACCAAGATTTCTTTAAAGGCTTACTTTATTTCAAACACAGTGATGCCTCTTACCTGTTATTGTCATTCACAGATAACTATTGATTCCATAAAGTGTTTAAATGATTTTTGTCCACTAGACATTTCTAAACTTGTTCAACTCCTCCTCATAATTTTAGAAATTATTTCTGTTAGGTAAAATTAAAACTAACGATGTATTTTAGTTTATATTACTAATTAGACCAGTCACCTTTCAGGGCTAACTAAACATTTTGTGCAGTATTGTCTTGGCTTAATCTTTCTTTCTTTCATGCTTTTTGATAATTTTCCTGTTTATTAAGGCTGTCCTGTAACAAACAAAGGAGTGACTCATGTTAAAAGTATTTTAACTGCTCTAATATATCTGAGGAAGAATAACTTTTTAAATTAAAGTAATATATTTTATTAAATATTAAAATACATTTTTTGCCTATTCATTTCTGTATATAAGAGAAAAGTTGACTTTATGGTATTATGCAAAATATGCTAAATTTAGATTTTAGAGCAATATGTCACAAATTTCTACATTTTGGTTAAATTAATATTTTTATATTAAAATGTGCCTTGATATTTCAATAATCTACTGAATGCAGAATTTATATTCTGTGAACCATTATGGAAAATGTTAATGTTAACAAAACGAGGTGTATTAAGTTTTGAACAATGTTAAGGCGGTACATCTACTGTTTAAGGGCAGAGGAATTGAAAGAGCACAAGATACTGAAGTGTATCACTTACTAGTGTGGCTGTAATCAAATTAATTAATCCCTCTATAGGCTTTAGCTTCCCCAGCTGTCTTATTTTGTTCAGGCTACTGTAACAAAATAACAAAGATTGTGTACTTTTAAATGACAGAAATTTATTCGTCATGGTTTGGGAGACTAGGAAGTCTAATGTCAAAGAACCAGCAAATTTGGTGTCTCTCAGATGAGGACCCATTCCTTTGCTCACAGATGATGGCTTCTCATTGTGTTCTCATATGTTACTAGGAGCTAGCTAGCTTTCTGGGGTCTCTTTTATAAGGACACTAATCCCAGTTATGAGGGCAAATTGCCTCTTAAAGGCCTCACCTATGACCTAATATCATCACCTCGAGGATTAAAATTTCTATATGTGAATGAAGGGAGTGTTGGGGAGGGTCAGTCAGTTAGACCTTAGCGCTATCTGTAAAATTGAATACTAATTTACTACCTCATTGGATGTCAGAATTAAAGGAGATAAGATTTTATTAGTTACTAGTTACCATAGTGGTTTTTTTTTTAAACTATAATGTTTGTTTTTTTTTTTTGTTTCATGCTTGTACTTTCAACATTTCCTTCCATTTGAATACTTCTTTTGTCTCCTGTAGGCCTGTCTGTCCACTTAGGTGTAAGATGTGTTTTTGTGTCAGGAATGATGGTGCAATGCTAATGTTCCATTGCCCTATTTGGCAATACTCTGATCATTAACTATAAAGAATAACACCAGTGTTAACTAACTCTCCTTGCCTGACAGTAGTGCTGCCACTATTCCTTGTTTCTGTGGTAATAGATGAGGTTTGTATGGTCCTGTTATTCCAGCCTCCAGACACCATTCCAGATCAACTGGTGCCCTCTACGCCCCCGATGTGTATGGGGCCTCAGGTGAAGGATGAGTACATTTTCACTATCATCTGGCATTCATCTCAGATTTCATCCTTTTCAGTTTCCATTAAATAATATTCATGTTTTAAAATTGATTTGTTTTTATTGTTTAAATTTAATTTGTTGGAGGATAAACCTTTTTTTTTTTTTTCTTTTCTCCCAAGTAACATTTTCCCCATTAGCAACTGTATTGAGCATTTTTCTCACTGGTATATGGACATTTTTATTTATAACCTGTTATGTCATTTTTAAATATAGAATTGTTTTATGTTCTCATCTTTGTATATATGTTAAAAAAAAAAAACCAAAATGGTGGATGAAGTGTTTTAATTGTAAATGATGGTATAGAAAGCAGTTGAGGGGGATAGAATTCATCTCTGGTTTGTCTCTGTATACCTCAGAATATCGGGCACATAGTAGACACTTAACAGCTATCAAATGGAGTTCTCTTAGTTGTAGAATAAAACCAACTTATCTTGAAGTAGAGGAGATCATAATTAGAGCTTATTTTCCTTGTAAATTCCTAGTGTGGCTTCACTGATCTCCCTAACCACTATTGGTTGAGGACTGATCTTTGTTCCTGGTTACTCTGTGGTTCAGCCATGTGGATGAGATTTGCCTGAACTGATAGAACTGGATTACAGGGCTATAGACTTGCAAGCCCTTAATCTGCAAGCCGTGTTTTCTTCTACCTTGTGGTCATAAATAAATAACGACTGTTCTTTATTTTTCACACATTGTCATTAATTTTAATTGCCCTTACCCTTTTATTTTGCCAAAAACTAAATGTGCCCAGAAAATACAATATTGCTTTTAAAATGCTTTGCCCCATTGGTTTTTTTTCCTTCCCCCATAAGGGTCTTAAAGCTTCCCAACCTGACCCTATTATATTTATGACTCCTTCAAAGCTATTTTCCTTCTTTTGATTAATTAGGTCCAGGTTATGGGATCAGCCAATCGAGTCGACTGTCGTCTTCTGTTAGTGCCATGCGAGTCTTGAACACAGGTTCTGATGTGGAGGAGGCGGTAGCAGATGCCTTGGTACTCTTCTCCATTTTCTTATCATTACAAATGTCCAATTATGAAACTATTGAATGAGTAAGCCAGTCCACCCATGTGGGAAAGGGGATGGGGAAAAGTCAGTGATTAAATCTAAATGATAAAATGTGGGCAGTGTATAAAGCAGAACAATATAATTAATTCTTGATCTTTATTAATCAGAATTTTATACCAGGGCCAGTATTACTGATGAGTTGTCAGAAGTATAAATATAGGTGTCTTTAATATGATAATGTGCTTTATACACTATAGTATATTTAAGGTAAGGGTAGATAAATTAGTATATAAATATGTAAACTTAAAAGCATGTAATTTTAAGGCTAGCTGAAGCATTGGTGTTTAGGGATTATTTTAGTTTGGGGTGGGATTTTGTTTAGTCTTTTAATTGTGTTTTTTGAACTAAAAGTACAACCTCAAGGCAAATTATGATTAAGACATAATGATATCTTACAGTTAGATACAATTCATGATTCTTTATGTCTGACTCATTAAACAGTGAGATTTAAAAACATTCTATAGATCTGTGATAGCTTGTCAGGATTGCTATACATATATCAGTGTTGTTTTTCTCACTTAAAATTATGTAAAAAGTAGCATTTTAAAAAATGTATGTAATTGGCTTTGGCTAATTTCCCACGTCAATTCAGTATCACTTCCTCTTTCCAGTTATGATATTAATCCTATGTTTGAGAAACATTTACTCAGTTTCTTGCCTAGAACTTATAAAAGGCCTCATCTTTGTTTTGAAAAAAAAAAAAAGAATATATGCTTTTTAAAACTGAAAAATCCCATCTTAACTAGTTTTGATATAGTACAGTGTTTGCCACAGATTTGAAAAAGCAAGTTTTTAAGAATATTTGTTGGTAATAGCTATAATTTATTGACTATCACATGTGTAGTTCTGCTTTAACCATTTCATTGTGCCAAATTTTTCCCATTACCTCAACACTGGATTATTTTTTATAAATTAATATAATTGAGTAGGGACTTTATTCTCCTTAGCATGGGATATATTGATTGAATCTTGTTCTCATGATATTAAATTAATCAGATGTTTTAGATTTACTATTCCTCATCCCTGTATCTCAAATCATGTTTTCTGGGTCTTTTTAATTAGATAATTTACCAGTTAAATTCTGCTTACATAAATGTTATAAATTGATTGGGTTATTCTTGAACTATTACTTAGAACACTGAGATGGTGTGTTTAAACTATATGAGGAATGTTTAACTATCAAGGCTAAAGTTTGACTCCCAATAATCTGATTCTGAATACCTCAATTACTTACAGAGCACGGAAGTTCCAGTTACAACTACCAGTTTTTAGGAAAAAAATTTCCAGCTCATAAGGCTAATTTGTGCTGGAGAAAATTATAGAAATAAATTTAACGTTGGAAGTGACAAAAGGATCCAACTAGGAAGAACATTTAGGTTTCTTTGAGAAAACCAGTTATGGGAATATTTTTGTAGCATCAATATTTCTCTTTGAACTAAAGAATATTGACAGGATTAAAGATACAGCCTGCTAATAAGCAGTTCTTTGTACCTATGTGTTTAAAAAACGTAATGTTTCTGATCATAGGCATTGTTAATGCCTACTTCACTGTGCTGTTTAGCAAAATGTTCTTCATTATTTTCAATTTTTCTCTTTAAAAATTTACTGCTCTCAGCTCTTAGGAGACATACGGACTAAGGTATAGACATTGCTATTTTCTGACATCTTATGATACCATAACTTTTTTTTTCTTTCATCAATTTAACAAATGATGGTCTTCTATTAAAAATTAAAGTAGAAATAATAAACTCCTTAGACATCTATTTTTCTATAAATATGGTTATCAAGAAAGAGAGACTGCTTGAATAATGTCCTCTGGAGGTGCTGGTTCTTTCAGCTTGACTACTTCATCCAAATGAAATGAGGTCACTCAGACTGACACCTGTAACAAAAGTGATCCTAGAGCCCAATACAGGAAACATTACCATTCAAAATTAAGTTGGCGTCTCCAAATCAATATGAGGGTTTTGGTGATGGAAACATCTCTTAACACTATATTGAATTAACTTTAAATAATTTTTTTTAGATTTTAGATTTTGGAGAACTTATTGCCACCTGAAACTATTGTGTTTAATCTGTTTTATAGATCTCTTCACCACTAATCAGCCAACATTCAAGTGTCAGATAATATAAAGATTTGTTTCCAACTCCTTTAAGGAACTATTAAATAAATTATTTATTCTCTCTCATTTCACTTGAAATATGCAAGGTATAACTGCTAGTTACATATATTGAACAAATAAGAGATGTAAAGAAATCAAAGGAATCTGAGTATGATTTCTTATATTTATTGAAGTAAACAATATAGATACATTGAGAAAAGCATGGAGGGCTCTCAAGGAGTTTGCCTCCTTAAAATAGTAGCAGACGAAGTCGTTTTTCATCATTCTTTGTATTTTATTTCTCTAGGAGACGTGAGGGCTGGGTATAAGGGAAGGAATAGTGGCAAGAAGTGGTAGTGGAGGTAAAAGGAAAATATAGAAAAGGTAGAAAGAAAAAAAATGGAACTTTGTACATGGAAAATGTTTTTCTGATCCATTATTATACTTTCTTTAAAAAGATGTAATACTTTCTTTTTACCAACTCGGATTTCTAGTGTAGTTTCTATTCATTTACATTCTAGTAGTTCTTGGTTTTCCATGAAAGGCGGAAAGGAAAAACCCACATTTTTTAGCACTTTCCACTTTACATATCTGAACTTCCATATAATCTTATTCTGCTTCTACCACTTGCCATAGTTAAAGAGTACGTCACCTTCTACTAACTTCTAAAACTTGTTTTCTGAAGAAAAACTAAATACTGACATTTTGTTATTACAATGATTAGGAGCATGCTTTGCACTGATTTTAAGACAAAAATCAGTCCTTTCATGGTCAGTAGAAATTGTGAAATACCAGTATATTCTTTTGGCTATTGCTAATGAGATTCTTTATGTATAACAGAAAAAACCAGCTCGAAGAAGATATGAATCATATGGAATGCATTCCGATGATGATGCCAACAGCGATGCATCTAGCGCTTGTTCAGAACGCTCCTATAGTTCTCGAAATGGTAGTATTCCTACATATATGAGGCAGACGGAAGATGTGGCAGAAGTCCTCAACAGATGTGCTAGTTCCAATTGGTCAGAAAGGAAGGAAGGTCTCCTAGGTCTGCAGAACTTACTGAAAAATCAGAGAACACTAAGGTAAGATGTGTTGTCTTAAAATGATTTTACTATCAGATTAGCATTTTCTGATTTTACTTTGTTTCTATAACACTTTAGAGATACTGGTATAGAAACAGACTTGTCCTGAATTCTTATGGTTGCATCCAAGTGTCTTTCCAAAGGTTCAGTCTCTTAGGACCATCTACACTTTCATTTACATAGAAAAAAACAATGTATTTGTTCTATTTAACAGAACATTTTAAAAGGAAACTTTTTATTCACACATGGAAATTAAGTTTAAAATGTTACTTTTTTACTTAATAATTTAATTAAAATTATTAAGATAATTTAAAATGTTATTTAATATTAAGTAACATTTTAAATTATCTTAATAATTTTAATTAAATTATTTTAAAAATTAATAATTACTTTTATTAAAATAAGTAACATTTTAAATTTAATTTCCATGTGTGAATAAATAGCAATACAACTGACTGGTTTATTAAAATTTATTCCTGGTAAGTTTTTCAGTGAGAGGAAGAATGTTTTTGTTTATTTGGAAATGAAGATATATTCTTAGTGTGCATGTAATATGTGAATTTTAGTGTAATACAAAGTTGAATTGGAATGAATTTCTCTAAGAACAGATACTTGTTAATATTTTGGATTTGGGATTTTGTTTTCTTTATTAGTGGCATTAGCTTTCTTCCCCCTACTTTCTTCATTGTCCTTGTCTGTGTAATGTTTTAAACCTTTATAGTTGACCCTTTGAGAAGCTAGCTTCAGATATTTCATAGGTCTGAGCACAGTGGAATGTACAAGGTTACTTCCTGACTTGATACCTGTGAAATGAGAATTTGATGTACTTAATTGCTGTGTATTTATTTTAGAAAGTATTAGAACTATATACTTTAAAATAAATATTTCTGTATTACCTAAATATATTTTCAAGTGTGCATATCACACTTCATGAATCACTGCGATCCATATCATAATATTGTTCCCAGCCCGTCAAGATTAAGCTAATATTAGATTTCGTGTATCATTTTAAATGGCAAAGGAGTAGGCATAGTTTAGAATGCTTTTAGCCTGTAAGTAGCAACATTTAAGAAAACGTCTGAACATTTAAAAGGATAAAATTCACGTACTGAGGATGCCATATGTAAAATTTCCCGTCATACTCTGTTAATGAAGGATAATTGTATTTCTCTTCATAACTTTTAACCTTTAAGATAGTGTGGGTTACAGCAGAACAATTTTGATATTTGGTAACTTTGTATTTAGCCCTGACTAGTAAATCCCACAAATTTCTGAATTTTTAGGGCTGATTTTCTTTTAACGATTTCATTGTTGTTGTTGTTGTTGTTGTTAACTGTTTTTTAAGAGATGAGATCTCTTTGTCACTCAGGATGGAGTGCAGTGGCACAATCATAGTTCACTGCTGCCTTGAATTCCTGAGCTCAAAAAATCCTCCCACTTCAGCCTCCCAAGTAGCTGGGACTACAGGCGCACACCACCACACCCAGCTGATTTGTTTTTTTTTTTTTGAGATGGAGTCTTACCCTGTTGCCCAAGCTGGTGCACAGTGGGACAATCACAACTCACTGCAACCTCTGCCTCCTGGGTTCAAGCAGTTGCCTCAGCCTCCCGAGTAGCTGGGATTATAGGCGTGGACTACCATGCCCAGCTAATTTTTTTTTTTTTTGAGAAGGAGTCTCGCTCTGTCTCCAGGCTGAAGTGCAGTGGTGCAATCTTGGCTTACTGCAACGTCCCCCTCCCAGAGTGATTCTCCTGCCTCAGCCTCCCAAGTAGCTGGGACTAAGGCGCACACCACCATGCCCAGCTAATTTTTGTAGAGACAGGGTTTCACTATGTTGACCGGGATGGTCTCAATCTCCTGACCTTGTGATTTGCCTGCCTTGGCCTCCAAAAGTGCTGGGATTACTGGCGTGAGCCACCATGCCCAGCATTTTTTATGTTTTTAGTAGAGACAGGGTTTCACCGTGTTAGCCAGGCTGATCTTGAACTCCCGACCTCCAGTGATGCACCCACCTTGACCTTCCAAATGCTGGGATTTCAGGCATGAGCCACAATGCTTGGCCGTTCCCAGCTGATTAAAAAAAAAAAAAAAAAAAAATTTATAGAGACAGGGTCTAGCCATCTTGCCCAGGCTGGTCTCGAACTCCTGGGCTCAAGCGATCTCACCTTAGCCACCCAGAATGCTAGGATTGTAGGCATGAGCCACTGTGCCCAACCTAACCTTTTTTTTTTTTTTTTTTTAAAGAAACTGAATTATATGTAAAATTACTTTTATATGACTTCTTGCTATAGCAAGATATTAATTAACTGCTGTATTATTTTGGCAGTCGAGTTGAACTGAAAAGATTATGTGAAATTTTCACAAGAATGTTTGCTGATCCCCATGGCAAGGTATGTTTTAGTATTTAAGATTACCTATTTCTATAGGGTGTCATTTGTCTATCGTCAAAGCAGAAAACTGTAAGCCATTTTTATTTTATTGTCCCAAAATGGCAGTAATATTTTCAAACATAATTAAAATTAAGTGTTTGGTATCATACATAATTTAGAAATTAATATTTGGTAACCATTTGAGCTTCTCCAATGATAGATGGTCTAATACTGAAAATTAAAGAGGATACAGTTTCAACTTTTATAATTCAGTCAAGATGTGTATTTTGTGTTTCTGTGAATGTTTTAGTGTTTGTAAAAGACATAATTGGGGTAAATTGAAAAAGTTTCTAACATTTTATTCTGTTTTCTTCTGTGATTAATTACAGCATTAATGTAAATATATTCCTATTTTGAAATAATAACTTTTTAGAAAAGAATTGTCATTAGTTAACACAAAGGCACAAAATGTGGTTCTAGCCATAGTTTGGTAGTAATACGGGACATTTCATACATTGAAATAGTCCATAAAAGTTTTCAGAACTTTGTTCATTTTTTAATGTTGATTAAAACATATTAAGTACTTGTATGTAATCTGCATGTGTACTGTGAAATTTTGGTTTACCTTGATGCATAGTACTGTTATAAAACTGTGGTCACATATTCCATTTCCAGCAATGTGTTTGACAATGGTAAAATCTTCCCTTAGGATGCCAAATGTCTACAGGAAGCTTTCTAACTCAGTGAGAGGGAAATGTGGCAAGGAAATGATAAGAAAACTATCAATGAATTTCACTTTACTGTTTCTTTTTATTGTCTTCACTTTATTGTTGAACATCTCATTTCCTCCCCATTTTTTTCTATTTTTAGTATTTTCACTACTTACAACACTCCTTAAAGATACTGAAATCCTACTTCATATATAAACTAAAATGCAGCTAAAGATTTAAATCCAGTGGGGGGATATACTTAATTATTTAAATAAATTGCTTATATGTTATAACAATGTTTTCAAATACTATTCTATCAGAAGTTATATTTATTTGAGGATTTAACATCCCATTAAAGGACAGAGAAGAAAACACATTTGGTAATCAGTTTACTAAAATCTTTTAAAGTTTGTAACTTAAAATTGCACATATAGATAACTAAACCATTCTATATTGATATTGCTATCACTGATTACAGCTGTAAGTCTTGCTTTAACATAAAAATTTCTATAAATCCTTAACAAATTAACTTTTGATATTTTTAGTTGGCAATATAAGCCAAAGGACAAGAAAGTTATTTGGGTGAACTTGTTTTATTAAACATTTAAATTAATAATCTATTTAACTTTGAAAAATAAAGTTATTAAGCATCTTCAATAATTCCTGCTACTAGAAGATATAAGACCAAAACTAGATTATTTCTTGAAGTCAGTTTTTGACTTTTTGTTAAGGCAATAATGCAGCTTGGTTGGCTACCATGATATATAGTAATAAAGAGAAACATTTTTTTTTAAAGATCAAATAGGAAGAGCTGAGTTTAACATTGGTATGGGAACTTAACCGAACACAAATGTTTAACCTCTCTTAGTAGTTGTGGAGAACCAGCTGCTATTTTCCCTAGGATTTCTCTTCTTAGGGCTTTATAGCAACATAAAATTCTTATTAACCATCTGGTTTGTTTGTTTGGTTTTGGTTTTTCTTTTTTAGTCAGTTCTGCAAAGACAAATGTAATGGGAAGATTTTCATGTTTTTGTTTGGCTATTGATTGTCCATCAGCGGCTCTGTCAATAATGTAATTCATTAAGACTAGACTAGACATGTCACCATCCTGTGTTGAGTTAAAAATGTTAGAGTTTTTGCATTGTATTCTGATATTTTAAAAATAGCAGCTGTGCCCCTCTCTTTTTAAAATGTATTTTTAGACCAGCAGTTCCATCTTCAGAAGCAACTTTTTTTTTAATATCTTCTTTCTGAATGCAACTTTGTTCTATATCAGAGTCAGCCACTATTTTCTATAAATAATGTGGCTTTGCAGACCATAATAGTCACAGTCCCAGCTACTCAGTTATGCCATTATAGCACGAAGGCACCCATAACAGGCAATAAGTAAACAAATGTGTGTGCTGGGTTGCAGTAAAACTTTATGAACATTAAAATGTGAGGGGTGTGTGTGTGTGTTTGTTTGTGTTTGTGTCTATCTATGTCTATACCCTTTTTTTTTTTTTTTTTTTTGGACACAGGGTCTCTCTCTGTCACCCAGGCTGAGTGATGGAATGGCATGATCTTGGCTTACTGCAACTTCCACCTTCTGGGTTCAAGCAATTCTCATTCCTCAGCCTCCTAAGTAGCTGGATTACAGTCATGTGCCACCACACTCTGCTAATTTTTTGTATTTTTAGTAGAGACAGGTTCTCACCATGTTGGCCAAGCTGGTCTTGAACTCCTGGCCTCAAGTGATCTGTTCATCTTGGCCCCCCAAAGTGCTGTGATAACAGTCATGAGCCACCGTGCCTGGCCATGTGTTTATATAATTTTCGTGTGTCACTGAATAGCCTTTTGATTGCTTTTAAAGTCATTTTTTAAAGTGTAAGAACTAGAAATAGCTTGCAAATCATAGTTTGTCGTATATGATCGACCCTTTGTTATTGACACTAAAATAGAACCATATGTTCAGGAACTTACACCCTTGGAAGCTGAAATTATTTGATGTCTGTAATTTGATAAATGAAATATTTTTACTTCATATACCCATATAGAAGTAAGTAATTAACCCACAACATATCAAAGACAATAATTTAGACCATAAATCAGCAAATGTATAATGTAAAGCGTTTTTATATTTTTATAAGTGAAGCAGTACAACAAATGTTGTACTGTACAATGGTAGGCTTTGTTTGGACATTATCTTGAGGACACTATCTTGACCAGTCACTGAGGGTTTTAAACTGGTAGAGAAGATGTACCTTTTGGAAGGATTACTTAAGCAACGTGAGGGAGAATTTAAAATAACAAGTATGGATAGTGGAGCTAGATTGCTTGGGTTCAGATTCTACCTCCAATTTGTTAGCGATATGTGCCTTAATTATTATTAGTCTGTAAAACAATTAATAGTAGTATCTACCTCATAAGATTGCAATGAAGAGTAAATGAGTTAATATATGTAAACCCTTAGAACATACCAAGTATCATATAAGTTTTGAAAAATCAAATAAGTTTTTTAAATTAAGGAGTTTGAGGCAAATTTTTGTTTTGACTGCTCTGGACCCATTTTTTTCCCCCTCAAATACAAGCAGCATCAGTTGCCAAAAGCTATCCCATATATTTCTGGCATTTGACTCTGGAAAGAACTACCTTCACTGTGGTGCATGCTTTGAATTGGCATGTTAATGGTGTTTGTAACACTACCTCTTGAATCATACTCTGGAGACTTGGACAGCTAGGATAGGAATTCAATCTGTGGCTACTAAAATGAGGCACAGTTGACTCTCCTGGAAAGCATTCTAGACAGCTCACCTGTCTGCAGTCTTTGGATTAGGAGACCATAACACACATCTTACCTAGGGAAAATAAAAAGTATAGTATAATTACTTTTACTTCCAAACAATAGTTATTGTTTCAAGCCTTCACAGAAATATTTTAAGTGTGAAAGTGTTGCTTCTGAGTGGACGAAAAGAAGAGAAAAGAAAAGAAAAAAAGTTCTAGATACTATGCTTTGGAATGAAATGTTGGCCCTGTTCAGAAGTGGGAGTGTGTGTCTATTATTCTTCGATTTTTATCAGATGTTTGGCCTCAAAGGTTGGTAGGGTCTGGAAAAGAAGAGTTTTTGTCTTTAGTTTTCTTAATTTTGCTGGCAAGGAGGTGCAACAGAAACAAAATCATGTTCTTCTCCCATACAATTCATTTAAGTCTTGTTTTAAAAACTATTTTAAGTTTATCATAAAACTTTGAAAAACATTTGTCACTTTTATTTTCTAAGTGTTTTTCTTCCATACAGGAACTTTGCATTGATGGCGACTAATTTGTGTGTTTTTCTTTTTTTTCTTTTTTTCTTTTTGCATGCTGTCCCCTGTGTTGGAACTCTCAATAGAGAGTAAGTTGGTTCAATATTTGTTGGAAAGCTAACTTTACTGCATGACTGTGAAATTAACCCTTTTTCTCTATTTTCTCTCCCAAAGAGTTCATGCAGTGTTGGAACCTTTGCAATCCACGAAATGCTATTTGCAGTTATGCAAACTATCATTCTGTTTGGAGATGTGCTTTTTAATCTACTAATTAATCTAATTTGATTATGTTCTTCTGTTCTATATTTGATGACTGGCACACCTAAGATATAAGGGAGTTTAAGAAAAGTCTGCCTCAATTGTAATGGTTCGAATATGTAATCTTTTTCCAACAAATTATATTCATGAGATATGTGGGGTAATAAAATGATTCTGTTGAAAATTACTTCCATTGAATTATTTTAAAATGATTCCGAAGTTTCACAATTAAAAAAAAATTTAGCCCCCATCTTCCCAGAAATGACATTTTATTAATGTCATGCCATTAAAGCAAACAGAGTAGATTATAGAGTGGTAATTCCCATCTTTGTCTTCCAAAAGAAAATGTGTATCACTAGTGTTATATTAGCATAGCCACTTTCTACTTCGTTCTTTAATCATAGATAAGGAAATGGGAGCATATTAACATCTGACAAGAGCCCTTTTTTGTAGGGTAATCAAGTAAGAATTTTTGTATATAATTTTCAATAAATTTTGGATGTGGATGATGAATGAAGATAGATATGTATATATGTATGTATATGTAAGTACAGTTGACCCTTGAACAATGAGGAGGTTAGGGAGGGACACAGACTCCTGTGCAACCGGAAACCTGTATATAATTTTTAACTCCCCAGAACATAACTACTAATAGCCTAGTGTTGACCAGAAACCTTGCCAATAACATAAACAGTCAATTAACATGTATTTTTTATTATATGTATTATATACTATATTCTTAGAGAAAATAAAGTGTTATTAGCCAAGTGTGGTTGCTCACAATCTGTAATCCCAGCACTTTGGGAGCTGAGATGGGTGAACACCTGAGGTCAGGAGTTCAAGACCAGCCTGGCCAACATGGTGAAACCTCATCTTTACTAAAAATACAAAAAAATTAGTTGGGCGTGGTGGCTCCAGCCTGTAATTCCAGCTACACAGAAGGCTCTGAGGCAGGAGAATCACTTAACCTGGGAGGCAGAGGTTGCAGTGAGTTGAGATTGCACCAGTGTGCTCCAGCCTGGGTGATAGAGTGAGACTCCATCTCAGAAAGAAAATAAAATGTTACTAAAATCATAAGGAAGAAAAAATATATTTGCTTACTAATTATTAGGGGGAATGGATCACCATAGAGATCTTCATTATTGTCATCTTCACCTTCAGTAGGCTAAGAAGGAAGAGGAGGGATTGGTCTTGCTGTCTCAGGGGTGGCAGAGGTGGAAGAAAATCCACGTATAAATGAACCCACACAGTTTAGAAGCATGTAGTTAAAGGGACAGCTGTGTGTGTGTGTGTGTGTGTGTGTGTGTGTGTGTGCGCGCGCGCGCGCGCGCGCACGCTTATGATCATTCAGTAAGTACCATTGATAGGATATAAGCATTTTTGAAAAATAATAGTACAGGCCAGATACATGGCTCATGTCTGTAATCCTGGCACTTTGGGAGACAGGTTGGAGGATTGCTTGAGGCCAGGAGTCCAAGACCAACCTGGGCAACAAAGGTAGACTCCATCTCTACAAAACTAAAAAAAATTAACTGGACATAATGGTGCATGCCTGTGGTTCTACCTACTCAGGAAGCTGAGGTGGGAAGATTGCTTGAGCCCAGAAGTTTGAGGCTGTGATGAGCCATGATTGTGCCACTGCACTACAGACTGGGTGATAGAGCAAAACTTTGTCTTGTCTCAAAAACAATAACATTAAAAATTAGTTTAAACATTTAAAATTTAATAATATTAAAAAATAGTACAGTTCCTTATGTAGGGTACAGCAAATAACATGTCCACATTTTTATTCAGTTACTCACACTTTATATAACAAAACAAAATTTCCACTTAGGAAACTCAGAGAAATCTTCTTGAAGAAAATGGCATCTCAGATCTTGACAGAAATAAGCTTTGCATCTGTCAGTGTGAGAATAAAGGGCTTGTTGAAAGTAGCTAGCCTGAGTCCAGAAAAAGAAGTGGGAGTTACTAGAAAGTTTATAGGAAATAAAAAAGTTAATGTTGGCTGGGATAAGGGGAAGGTCTTTCCTTGTGTTGAAGAAAAAGGGTTGGCTACCAATTAGAGGATAAATTTCACTTGACTTTATTAATCAACTTTTTATTGGGTTCTCAGCCTTTGATACCTTTTAAGCTTGGTCTAGTTCTAATTGGTGCACACAAGACTATAAAAATATAGTCTTTATTTTCAAATGGTATGTGTTGGAAATGGGAAGATAACATAAATACAGAAAAGCTAAATAGCACCATAAATAGCTAGTCCCTCTGTGAGTTCTAAGCCAGGAAGATCGGTGGCCCTGACTTGCAGTCCAAGAAGCTTCTTGACCAGGACTTGAGTGGTAAATTCTATAGGGAGTCACATACAGTGCGTAAATGAATGGAGTGGGGATGTGTTAGAAAATCAGGGTGAGTGTATGAGATGTGTTCAAGGATAAGGAGTTTATGTTGACAGATAACCCAAGATCAGTTTAGAGTTAGAAATTTGTCTAAATATTTTAGACATTATAGACAGTGCAGGGACATTAAATGACTTTATTTCCATCCAGAGTGATATCACAGTCTGATGGTGACAAAGAAACATGAGTTGACAAACCACAGCCTGCAGACCACATCTTCCCTGCTGCCTATTTTTTGAATAAAGTTATATTGGCACACAGCTGTGCTTATTTGTTTATGTGGTATCTATGGCTGTGCTAAATAGCAAAGTTGAGTAGTTGCAATAGGGACCACATGGCTTGCAAAGCCCTAGAATATTTACTATCTGGCACATTACAGAAATGGTTTACTGACCCCTGGTATACAGGAAATAGAAAACTAACGTCAGGCTACTACAGAAATCCAGACATGAGGTCAGAAAGACTCGGTGCTTTCCGTAATGGTATGGTAAACAGATTTGGAGAAGGCCAGGAAAAAGCTGTTCTAGAGGTTCTGAGGCCTCATGGGATAGATCAGAGAGACTTTGTCAAATAGGCCATACTTGTAATGAAAACAGAATCATGATGAAGACCTGCAAAAGGAGAATTCCTGGCCACTAGAAAGAAGGGAAATAAAAGGAAAGCAGTGTCAAGTTACAGAATGGCCAAATATACTAAACTTAATGAAGAAGCTATTATACATCACGATTAAAAAGTAATTGGTGGGAGCAATAGGAGGAAAGCAGAAAGAGAATTTCTTGGGATGACATCTGCAACTGTAAGCAAAGGATTTAAGTAGAGAATAAAAGAATAAAGATGATAGAGGAGACCATGTTTTAAGAGAGCAAGAATATAAAATAGATTAGCCTTAAAATGAATCAGATCACTTCTTTCTTGGAGAGATGACGATTAGAAGGATAGGTACAGAGGAAATCAAATTGAGGGAAGAGTCAATGGAGAATTTCATGTTGAATGACAGTAAAGTAGATGAGGTAAGTCCTCTGGCAATAGAGTGAATAGAGCACAGCTGAAAACCAAGTGACCTAGCCTTAAGTCCTGGCCTAGCTATTAACCATCTGTGAAACATTGGGCAAGTCATATTATTCTCTGATTCCCTGTTTCCTCATCCATAAAATAGGGTTCACCTAGGCATTCTAATGTCTGTGATTTTCAGAATGGATTTTCATGTAGGAAAGCTTGAAGTTGGAATCTTCAGGAGCATAGACAAGTGTTGAAACAAGGGTAAAAGTGAACCAAAGAATAGGATAATGGTGTCCAGGTAAATGAACTTTAGAGGAGAGGCAGGAAGCCCTGATTTGTAGCATTTGCCAATTTCTGAGATGTGAATACTCCTATCCCATCGTAGATGTCAAGCTACCAACCACTTCACAAAATTCCTGAATATTTAACAGTTAACTCTAGATAGGTACAAACTGATGCCAGCACATCACTGGACAGATTTGCCAGGTAACAGTAAGAATCAGGATCAGATTAGTTACATGCATTTGTCATAGACTAGGTCTAGTGAAGTTCCTTCACAATATTCTTGGCCCTCAGGATAGGGCCAGAGACAGTTTAATGAAGCAGTTGGCCAAGTATGGAATCTAAGAGAAGCCAAGTTCTTGGGGAGTTGTTGGGGTAGGGGTGGGATGAGAGTTAAAGGAATCCACACTGAGTAAGAACAGTGTTGAAGCATACATTTCTGGGGAACAGAGAATACTCAAACATTTAATTATAGTTTCTGCTGTTACAGGTATAGAGCATCTTAAGCAAATGGCTAAAGTATATTTTTATTTTTAACTCGGTTTAAATGTTAAAGCTTAATTACAATTTTGATAAAGAAAATCCTTCATTTCTAACAAGAAAAAACAAGAGTTTATCTGTAACTGTATAAAGGGAATTCAAGAAATATTCATTTAGAGCAAAACCCTTAATTCTCAAATTAACATAATTACTTTTTTAGAGTAGCTCGAAAAGTTAATGATTTTAAGATTTCTTTAACCCATAGTTAAAAGTATTTTTATGAGCTACATTACTTATAAACATTAGCTTCCCTTCACTATAATAATTTTTTCAACCTTATGAAAAATTTTAAACAAATAAATTAATATTGGAAATAAGTAAAAAAAAAACCCATAAATGGTTATGGAGACTAATAGTATGCCATCTAGGACTTTTTAAAAATCGCTAAAGTTTAGATGTAGACATTCATCTTGAATTTATTTTATTTTAGATGCAATTACAGTTATCTCAAATTATTTAAAATTACCATTGAGGCAGTTTTAATAAATGACATATTCCATACCAAATTATTTATGACAATTGTCATTTTGAGAAATCTGAGAATTCTCTAACTATTAAGCCAGATAAATTTTACACTTTAAGGTCATTATAGTCATCTTTTTATTTATGCAGTGCCATTCTTTAGAAAAGCCGAGAGTTAATGAAACTATATTTTCTTTCCCTATATTTTATATAAAACGGATTTCACTTTAACCAGTTTAAGCTGTGGCATCATTGATAACATTAGGTGTGCCAGCCATTATGGCCAAACTTTCTTTACCAAGTGACGCTGCATGGAATAGCTAACTGTCAAACTTCTGCAGAAGTTGGATAACAGTTCAAATGTACTCTTGTATCACAGTGTCCAATGAAAAGCAAGAGAGATTGTTTTTTCCGCTTGGCTGCCAATCGCTGTGCCTCTGATTCCTGTGTTCCTTTCTATATTCGTTTTGAATTGAACATAGAGGTCAATATTTCCTCTTTTTTTCTCCCTACCTCTCCCCTTTATCAACTGTAGGTATTCAGCATGTTTTTGGAGACTCTAGTGGATTTCATACAAGTCCACAAAGATGATCTTCAAGATTGGTTGTTTGTGCTGCTGACACAGCTACTGAAAAAAATGGGTGCTGATTTGCTTGGATCTGTTCAGGCAAAAGTTCAGAAAGCCCTTGATGTTACAAGGTAATTTTTTTTTCATATATTTCAAGTTAACCAGATAATAACTAGGAATATTTAACTCATATATTAATAGTTCAGATTTCTGAGTCCCTTTGAACAATTTAGACTGCATGGCTCCATTAGAAGATTGTTAATTATGCCCATTCACATTGTATATTTAATGCAATATTTTTTTTTTAGGTCGAACCCTGAATTTCTTTTATAAAAATTATATTAATATTGGTTGAGTAATTCAAGGTGTTATTTTATCTTAATTGATATATCAGCAGCTGGACACAGTGGCTCACACCTATAATCCCAGCAGTTTGGGAGGCTAAGGCAGGCGGATCACTTGAGGTCAGGAGTTTGAGACCAGACTGGTCAACATAGCAAAAAACCTGTCTCTACTAAAAATAATACAGATTAGCCAGGTGTGGTGCCAGGCACTTCTAATCGCAGCTACTTGGAAGGCTGAGGCCAGAGAATCACTTGAACCTGGGAGGTGGAGGTGCAGTGAGCTGAGATTGTACCACTGCACTCAAGCCTGGGCAATAGAGCGAGACTCTGTCTACACAAAAAAAAAAAAAAGAAAGAGAAAAGTATCAGCAAAGTAAGATTGAAGATTTTATTTAATCTACTGTAAAAAATATTTATATTTATTTAAACATGTTTTATTATGCATTTCAGTATTCTGAATCTCTTTTCAGAGATTTTGAACCAATGATATAATTCTATTTCTTGTGTAGATTGTTGAAGTCACTTATTTCAATATCCATTTACTGTGTTGAGGTGAGTCAGAATTCAGATTTTAGGTGTAAAGAAACATTTCTGAGAATGTTAAACTTTTTACTGAATGCATTTTTCTGATTATAGTTGAGGCAAGATAGGCTGTTATTTACTGTAGTGTTGCTTTTTAACCCTGTACTGAGTACCAATTCAAATGTTTATATTCTTCTGAGGATACGTTTATTTTATACTATACCAGCTAGGTTATACCACATGCAGATACCACTTTATGCATGCCTTTTGGGTGACAATTGGTATTAAGCATAGTCTTTGCTGTTACATACGTACTTACTTAATTTTTGTTTTGTTTTGCTTTGTTCTTATTTCAGAGAATCTTTTCCAAATGATCTTCAGTTCAATATTTTAATGAGATTTACGGTTGATCAGACCCAAACACCAAGCTTAAAGGTAAAAATTTGAGGTCTTTTAAAGACATTATAAGGAATTGAAGTATTTTTTAATAAAGTGATATTGATATTTGTATTTCCGTCACATGAGAAGCTGTTCAATCAGTGGGTTTTGTTTTTTATAAACTTTCAGACAGTCAAGCCAGCACTTCGGGACCAGCTTCACTCTTTTTGGAGCTCCAAGGTTTTTTTGTTTTTGTTTTCATCTGCATTATTTCTTTTCTTAACTCTCTGCAGTGTTTGCATCTATATTCAACTACTAACCTTTGTAAGCCTTCTACGCATGCACATATTTGATTTCAAATGTTATTTAAATGTCAGACTCTAAGTCTTTTGGAGAAACTTAATGATGACACATATTTAGAAGGCATCACAGTATGGCCATCTAACCCTAAACTGGTTATGCAAACTCACTCTTAACTAATTTTATGTTTGTGATTTCCCAATACTTTTTTAAGTGTTAGGCGTTTTAACAGGTATTTTAAGCAAAATCTCCATTTTGCCTATGTACTAACTAAGCAAAAATTTTTAAATTTAATCACAGTGCCTTTCTTCAGTTATCCTTAACTGAAATAGTAACTTTTTTTCCTGATGTATGCATAACGTTTGCAGTTATAGTTAACTTTCTCATTTGTTATATGCACACATTTTGCAGTTAATGTAAAAACTAGATGGATTCCAATTTGTGATTTTAAATGATTATTAAATTTTACATAAAATTTTAAAAAGTTAATGTAAAAGAATAGCCCCTGAATTCTTTACTAAAGTTTTTTTTAGTGAGTTTTATTAACGGAGATTAAAGTCAGGGAAATAACAAGCATATAATGAGTCCTATATTTTTCTGCTCTATCCTGCACGAAATATATTTCTACAAGCATTACAGCATTACTGCCCAAGATTGGTTTTTCCCTTTTGTTTCTGAATGCAGTTGTCCCTTAGAATCACAATTATGTTTCTTACCAGGGTTGACTTTGTTAAACCAAAAAGTGTCTGAGACGAGTCTCAATCAATTTAGAGGTTTAGTTTGCCAAGATCGAGGATGCATCCAGGAGGAATAGACACAAGTAGGATCTGTGACATGTGCTTTTTTTTCAGAGAGGGTTTTGAGGAGTTTAATATTTAAAAGAGAAACAGCCAGCGGGGGGGAAAGAGGAACAGTCAGTTTTGTATGCATTCATCTCATGCTCAATAAATCTGCATCTTACATAAGAGAAAGTAAACATAGAGTAGAGGAAGAAGTCAAATATGTATTTGTCTCTGGATGAGTGGAGGGAAGATTTCTAGTCTCATCTCTGTCCTCTACCTGTGAAAATAAACTGCTAATTCACATTGTCTGCATGAGGGAGACCATCTGAAGAGATATGTGGCCTTCTGTCTTGGAGCTGTCTGTTTATGAACAAATGGGAGGTGGTTTTTGGATGACTAAGTTCCCAAGCTTAACTCTTCCTTTTCGTATAGGCCATTTTATTTTCCTTTCACAACTTACACTCAATATAATGTTGTTTTCTTAGCACTTCTTGGGGAAAGAGGTTTCATCTTTTGCTTTTAAAAAGTGACCTGTTCAGGGCAGGGCGTGGTGGCTCAAGCCTGTAATCCCAGCACTTTGGGAGGCCAAGGCGGGTGGATCACGAGGTCAAGAGATTGAGACCATCCTGGTCAAACAAGGTGAAACCCCGTCTCTACTAAAAATACAAATAATTAGCTGGGCGTGGTGGCGCGTGCCTATAATCCCAGCTACTCAGGAGGCTGAGGCAGGAGAATTGCCTGAACCCAGGAGGCGGAGGTTGTGGTGAGCCGAGATCGCGCCATTGCACTGCAACCTGGGTAACAAGAGTGAAACTCCATCTCAAAAAATAAAAAGTGACCTGTTCTCACTCATAGGAGGGTGTTGAACAATGAGAACACATGGACACAGGGAGGGGAGCATCACACACTGGGATGTGTCAGGGGGAACTAGGGGAGGGACAATGAGGGGTGGGGAGTTGGGGAGGGATAACATGGGGAGAAATGCTAGATACAGGTGGTGGGGAGGAAGGCAGCAAACCACATCGCCGTGTATGTACCTATGCAACAATCTTGCATGTTCTTCACGTGCACCCCAAAACCAAAAAGGCAATAAAAAATATATATGTATATATATAAATTTTTTTTAAAGTGACCTGCAGAAGAAGAATTTACTTGATATTTTTGAACTCATTTTATTACTAAGGCATTGTGCTAGGTATTTCTGGGAATATCAAGTCTATAATTTTATCATTAAACATAATATCTAATAAACTCTAAATGGTAATAAAAGTTATGATACAGGTACCTGTAGTGGTGTTCAAGTGCTACTAAAATATATGTAGAGTTAGCTCAGTGTGGTAGTGCATGCCTTTTATAGTCCTAGTTCCTCAGGAGGTGAGGCAAGAGGATTGCATGCACCCAGGAGTTGAGATTACAGTGAGCTCTGATCACACCACTGCACTCCAAACTGGGAGCCTCTTTTTGTTAGAGACAGAGTGAGACTCTGTCTCAAAAAATAAAAATTAAAAAGGAGGGAAGGGAGAGAGGGTGGGATGTAGGAGGGAGAGAGAGAGGGAAGAAAGGAGGATAGAAAATGCATATAGAGATGTTTCACAGGCCAGTGCAAATGAAAGTCTAAACCAGCTTAAGAAATAAGGGTGAGGCTGGGTACAGTGGCTTACACCTGTAATCCCAGCAGTACTTTGGGAGGCCGAGGCAGGCAGATCAGGAGTTCAAGACCAGCCTGGCCAACATGGAGAAATCCCATATCTACTGAAAATACAAAAATTAGCCAGGCGTGGTGGTGGGGACCTGTAGTTCCAGCTACTCAGGGGGCTGAGGCAAGAGAATTGCTTGAACCCAGGAGGCAGAGGTTGCAGTGAGTCATAATTGTGCCACTGTATTTTAGTCTGGGAGACAGAACGAGACTCCAAATCGTGCCACTGCACTCCAGTCTGGGAGAGAGAGTGAGACTCGGTCTCAAAAACAAAAAAACAAGGGGTTGATAGTTGAGTTTAGAGAGAATAAGTTGCTGGAGATTCGAAGAGAAAGACAAAGCGAAGATTTGAAATGAGACATGCACAAATTAAAACTAGCTTTCCTATTGGAAAACAGTATACTGGAAACTGGAATCACAGATCGTTTCTCTAAGAGCCTAAATTATTTATAAATATGTATTTAATATAGATATATTAGCAAATCCATGAGGGAAAATAACTTTTCGGCTGGGCACAGTGGCTCACGCCTGTGATCCCCGCACTTTGGGAGGCTGAGGCAGGGGATTATCTGAGGTCAGGAGTTTCAGACCAGCATGTCCAACTTGGTGAAACGCTGTCTCTACTGAAAATACAAAAAAATTAGCTGGGTATGGTAGTGGGTGCCTATAATCCCAACCGCCAGGGAGGCTGAGGCAGGAGAATTGCTTGAACCCAGGAGGTGGAGGTTGCTGTGAGCCAAGTCTGTGCCACTGCCCTCTGGCCTAGGCAACAGAGTAACACTCCGTCTCACACACAAAAAAAAGAAAATAACTTTTTAATTCTTAAATCAGTGTTTTAGAATAGCAGAGAAGAGTTATATTGGAGCCATATCTTATGTCAAAAATAAAAGCAGTTTTCAAGTGGGTAACAGGGTTAAGTATAAAAAATTTTGCAGATTATAGAAAACCACAAATAACTTGAGTATCAGATCTAAAAAAATTTTTAGTGATTTTCAGATAAATGATGAATGTTTATATAAAATTTTACATCTCTTTCTGAGTGTCATGTGATTACATGTCAAGCGGAAGCAATGGGGGAAATGCCAATACAAAGTGGTTTTATTTGAATTAATAATACTTTAAAGATAAATGTAATTTTTGCTGACCTCTTTTTTCTGGGTTTCACAAACAAGTTAAAGAATTTCACATCCCTAGCAGCTAGATTGTTTTTTCTTCTCTGAAAAAGAATGCGTGTTTGCTGCATTAAAATTATAAACTGGGGGCTGGGCATGGTGGCTCACGCCTGTATTCCCAGCACTTTGGGAGGCCGAGGTGGGTGGATCACGAGGTCAAGACATCAAGACCATCCTGGTCAACATGGTGAAACCCCGTCTTTACTAAAAATACAAAAAATTAGCTGGGCACGGTGGCGTGTGCCTGTAATTTCAGCTACTCAGGAGGCTGAGGCAGGAGAATTGCCTGAACCCAGGAGGCGGAGGTTGCAGTGAGCCGAGATCGCGCCATTGCACTCCAGCCTGGGTAACAAGAGCGAAACTCCGTCTCAAAAAAAAAAATTATAAACTGGGTACAACCTTGTAAAATATCCTAATAAATGTACATGTTCAAATGATTATATGTGTATTGTGGTTATGTTGCCTATCAGTATAGTAAACACATACATTCTGTGAAACCCTTTTAAAATTTTGCATGACAATAAATTGCCAAGCAACTGTACTAATTGAACTTCACATAGTATAATTAAATATATTCAGTTATTGATGATGGCAAATTATAAACAAAATACATTGATGTTCATTTTTTGATTTAACATAGTCACCTTCCAGCTATTCACACTGAGTGAGGATGGCATTGCTTCAACAATTCACAATATTGGCCGGGGAATGTTGGCTTATCCCTATAATCCCATCACTTTGGGAGGCCAAGATGGGCAGATCGCTAGAGCCCAGGAGTTCAAGACTAGCCTGGGAAACATGACCAAACCCTGTCTCTACAAAAAAAAGTTTTTAAAATTAGCTGGGTGTGGTGGTGCACGCCTGTAATCTTAGCTACTCGGGAAGCTGAGGTGGGAGAATCACTTCAGTTGGGATGTCGAGGCTACAGTGAGCCAAGATCACAACACTGCACTCCATCCAGCCTGTGTGACAGAGTGAGACCTTATCTCCAAAAAAAAATTTAGTTGTGCCTGGTACTTTAAAACTAACCATAAGTCTCTCTTCCTGTCTACTATGCATTTCTGATGGCTAGTAGGTTAACTTTTGGTTTTTGCAATAAATTTATTTAAAATTATAAATGTGTCTTTTAATTGACAAGTAAAAATTCTGTATATGCTTTGATATATGTATGCATTGTGGAATGGCTAAATCAAGGTACATAACATTTGTGTTACCTCATAGGTGTATTGTGTATCTTTTTTTTTTGTGGTAAGAACACATAAAATTCACTCTTATCAGTTTTCATATAGACAATATATTGTTCTTAACTGTAGTCACCATGATGTACAGGTGTCTTTTTGTTGTTGTTGTTTATTAAGAGAAACTGTTTCTTAGCCCACATATTTATATTTCATAGTTCAGAAATACAAGTCAGTTACAAACTTCTAGCTCATTCAACTTAAAGAAATCGTTTATATTCATAATTTGTTTGCACTCTGAAAGATACCAGCCTTCTCTCATGTCCTCAAAATCTTTCTTGGAATTGTAATTTCCATAGAAATCTTCATGTGTCTTCTTTCTTGGTTTAGCTACAGAAAACTTACAAACATAAGCATTCATTGCTACCCACAGGAATACAATGATGCTCCTACAATATGAAATTGCAGACACTTGGCCAGAAGGCCACACATCTAAGATTTCATCATAGCACTGGGAGTCATGGTAGTTACTGTACTTGGTAGCTTCGTTAACCTCTACACCAACATCCTTCCTGGCTGATGGAGAAATCAAATCTCTTGAACTTATTGTCTTTCTATGTCTGGCTTATTTCACCTGTTGTCCCCCAGGTTCGCCCGCATTATTGCAAATGACAGGATTTCCTCCTTTGTAAAGCTGAATAGTATTCCATTGTGTATATACACCACATTTTCTTTATTTTTCCAATCTTTGATAGACTGTTAGGTTTATTCTATATCTTGGTATTATGAGTAATGCTGCAGTGAACGTGGGAGTGCAGATGTCACTTCTACATTCTGATTTCATATCCTTTGGGTATATACCCACTAGTGGAATGCTGGATCATATGGCAGTTCTATTTTTAATTCCTCAAGGAATTAAATAGGAATCCATATTATTTTCCATAATGCCAGTACTAATTTACATTTCCACCAGCAGTGTGGAAGAGTTTCGTTTTCTACACATCATCACCTACACTTATCTTTCATCTTTTTGATAACAGCCGTTCTACCAGGTGTGAGGTGAGGTTTTAGTTTGCCTTTCCCTGAAGAATGCTGGTATTGATCATTTTTCCATATACCTGTTGGCCATTTATATGACTTCTTTTGAGAAACGTCTATTCAGATCTTTTGCCCATTTTCTAAACAGTTTGTTTTCTTGCTATTGAGTCATGTGAGTTTCTTATATATTTTGGATATTAGCCACTTATCAGATGTATGGTTTGCAGTACAGTATTTTCTCTCATTTCTAGTTGTCTCTTCACTCTGTTGATTGTATTGTTTGCTATGCAGAAGCTTTTTAGTTTATGTAATCTCATTTGTCTATTTTTGCTTTTGTTGCTTGTGTAAAGTTATAAATACTTTTTAAAATTCATTCATTAGGAAAGAAAAATGTAATTTGATCTCTTTAACTGGAATTAGGAAGGGAAAATTGTATAAGTGTCAGAACCTTATTTAAATATTTTACTTCCTGCTAATTTATTCAGTATCGCACTTCCCAGAGTCCATATTTGGCCTGAGTAACAAAAATGACATTAAAATCAATAGTAAGGGAAGAAAAAACATACTACTTTAAAATTAGACAATTTTTTCTCAAGTTTCAATGATACATTTAAACCTTCTTTACTCTACGTCAGCAAATTAGCATTTAATATATGTTTAGTATCCTTGCTGTATCCCAGGACTATGTCAAGTGCTGTTTCTTAAGTGCACAGGTACAACATGGTGACTATAGTTAATAACAATGTATTGTATACTTGAAAATTGCTAATGGGAGATGTAGGTCAAAGTATGCGAAGTGGCAAATCTATAGTAGGATTAAGTCTAAAGATCTAGTGGACAACATGAAGACCGTAGTTCATAATATTGGTTATATCTGGGGTTTTTGCTGGAAGAGCAGGTTTTAGGTGTTCTTGGTACATGCACAGAATGGGTAACCGAGATGATGGATTCATCGACATGCTTGACTGTAGGAAACATTTCACTGTGTATATGTGTATCAAAACATCATGTTATACATATTAAATATATAAAACTTTAAAACTGAATTTATAAAAAGAATAGCCAGGAGAATAGATTTTAAGTGTTCTCATCACACAAAAAATTAAGTATATGAGGTAATGTATATGTTAATTAGCTTAATTATAGCCCTTCCACAAATAAATATATTTCAAACATCTGCCTTCCGTGCATGTATACATCAAGTTTACTGGGAGAATATCGAGACCTTTAAACTGACACATAACATTTCTATACACGTAGGTGTTGTCTTTTCTTCAGTGGTACTTGTATAACCCATTTTTGTGACAGTTCTTTTGGAAGGCAGTTCTGACAACTGATGGACTCATTAAGGAACCTCATCTCGTCGTGAGAGTCTATGTCTGACCAAAAAAAAAAAACCTATATCGTCCACCTTGATTGCCACCTTGATTTGCCATGTCTTATTTCCAAAATACTTTTGTTCATTTTCCCAAAAACGAAATTTTACTGGGTTAAGAAGACTAGCTCTCTGTAAGGCTAGCTAAGGGTCAGCCGTAAGCTCTGAAGGCTGATTTAAGGAAATGTTTATAATCTTGTCAAGATAGTCTTCAGCAGTTGTTCAAACTTGGGGAATGAAACACCCGGGACCTCAAAGTTCTGATTATGTGTGAAAAAAATCATCAACACTGTCATATACTTGTACCTCAGGAAGGTAGGTGATTGTATTTGTTGTTGTTGTTGTTGTTGTTGTTGTTGTTGCTGATATTTGTTCATTTTCTATTTGTCAAAAAATAATCACCTGGCTGGACATGGTGACTTACGCCTGTAGTCCCAGCACTTTGGGAGACTGAGGTGGGAGGACTGTTTGAAGCCAGGAGTTCAAGACCAATCTGGCCAACATAATGAGACCCTATCTGTATATAAAAAATAATAAAAATAATCACCTGATTACTTTTGAAATATTCTCTAGTGTCTCACAATAACCATCTTACTGTTCTTTTTCTTTGTGCTTTCCTTTGCAGGTGAAAGTTGCTATCCTTAAATACATAGAAACTCTGGCCAAACAGATGGATCCAGCAGATTTTATAAATTCTAGTGAAACTCGCTTAGCAGTATCTCGGGTCATCACTTGGACAACAGAACCCAAAAGTTCTGATGTTCGGAAGGTATGTTTTAGTACAAGGTTGAGAAGATAAATTGGGAAAGCAAGTCAGTCATTATGGATTGACAGTGAACGAAGCTAATATTTTCAGGACCATACCAATTAGTAGTGAGTTATAAAGAACTTTTTAAAAAATATTTTAAGTTGTTTTAAATTGTATCCAATTAATATAAGCATAATTTTCAAACTTTGAATAAAAAATACCTACCCTTACAACAGTCCTCCCTCTAATTTTATAACCATTCAAAATATTCCAAATCATTCCCCCTGCGTTTACCTATACTTTTCAAATAAGAGCTTACACTATTGTTTGATTTATCCATTTTTAGACATTTTTTAAAATCTATTGATAAATGTAGATATTATCCATCTATCTTGGTAAGTGAGAACTTAGTTTTCTCAAACTTTCTGTATCCTTTCTAAGGTATTTATACAATACTTATGAATCAATTACTAGTTATTAGTAGAAAAGATTTACATTTGACTGTGCAGGTATTCACTTCTATATCAAGTGATTTGCGACTGCTTGCTTTCTTATAGATACATTATTTGTCCTGGAGTTGATCATTTGCCTTGCTTTTTCATTTGCCTAGTATTTTTTTTTTTAAGTATAGTATTTTCAACATCTCTGCTCTATGTGTATGGCTATTATTTTCCATATGCTCAAAAACATAGATTATTATTTTATTTTCTAGAGAGCTCCTTCCTGGACACTTTGTTCTTTTCTCCAGTTTTGACATTTTTCTCCTCAGGCCTGCTGTACACACATCTGCCTGCAATTTCTATTGAGTGTCTTCCTGAAACTTATCTTTATCCCTGTTTACATCTTGTTTTGTTTTGTTTTGAGACAGAGTTTCATTTTTTCACCCAGGCTGCAGTGCAGAGGCATGATCTTGGCTCACTGCAGCCTCCACCTTCTGATAAAAGTGATTCTCATGGCTTAGCCTCCCTGGTAGCTGGGATTACTAATGTGCACCGCCACACTTGGCTAAGTTTTGTATTTTTAAGAGAGACATGATTTCATTATGTTGTCCAGGCTGGTCTTGAACTCCTGTTCTCAAGTGATCTGCCCACCTGGGCCTCCCAAAGTGCTGGAATTATAGACATGAGCCACTGCGCCTGGCCTATTTTTTGCATCTTATATCTACTTCTATTTACTTTCTTTTCTGGTGAATCATTTCCATCAACATTTGCTGGAAAAGGAGTACACATAGGCTGGACGCAGTGGCTCACGCCTATAATCTCAACACTGGTAGGCCGAGGCAGACAAATTGCCTGAGCCCAGGAGTTTGAGACCAGTCTGGGCAACATGGTGAAACCCTGGCTCTACTGAATATATAAAAAGTTGGGTGCAGTGGCATGCACCTGTAGCCCTAGCTTCCTGGGAGGCTAAGGTGGGAGGATTGCTTTAGCCCAGAATGTCGAGGATGCAGTGAGACAAGGTTGTGCCACTACACTCCAGCCTGTATGACAGAGTGAGACCCTATCTCAAAAAAAAAAAAAAAAAGAGTACACAGAATATACATTTTTGTGATCTTTATTTCCAGTGATGAGCACTATACCCAACAGCAGAATATATATTCTCAAGTACACATGGAACATTCTGCATGTTAGGCCATGAAACAAACCTCAGTAGATTAAAATGATAGAACTAATACACAGTATGTTCTCTGACCACAATAGAATGAAATTAGAGTCAATAACAGAAAGGAATTTGGAAAACCCACAAACAGCTCACTCTAATCAGTGAGCCAAAGAGGAAATCAAAAGAGAAATAAGAAAATAGGCTGAGAAATACATTGAGGTTAGTGAAAACGAAGACCAAAATGTATCAGATAAAGCTAAAGCAGTGCTTCGAGGGAAATTTATAGCTGTTAAGCCTACAATAAAAAGAGGAAGGCTCTCAAATCAGTCATCCAAGTTACCACCATAAGACATTGCATAAAGAAAAGCAAACTAAACCTGAAGACAGCAGAAGGAAGGATATAATCAAGATTAAAGCAAAAGTTAATGAAACAAAGAGTGGGAAAGCCAGTGAAACCAAAAGCTTGTTCTTAAGAAAGATCAACAAAATTGACAAACCTTTAGCTAAATGTATCAGGTTAAAAAGAGAGAACATTCAAATTACTAGAATTACAAATGTGGCTGGGTGTGGTGGCTCATGCCTGTAATCCCAACACTTTGGGAGGATCACATGAGGCTGGGAGTCTGAGACCAGCCTGGGCAATATGACAAGACCTCATCTATACAAAAGAAAAATTCAAAATTAGGTGAGTATGGTAGTGTATGCCTCTAGTCCCAGTGACTCAAGAGACTGAAGCAGGAAGATCACTTAAGCCAAGGAGTTCAAGGGTGCAGTGAGCTATGATTATGCTGCTGCACTCCAGCCTGGATGATAGTTAACTCCCAACTCAAAAGAAAAAAAGAAATGAAAAGAAACATAAATCATTATTCTAGTAGGAAATCACTAGAAAATGTCTCAAGCTACTAATGAAGAAATAATTGTATAAGTCTGTCAATCCTATCATTAAAAACAAGCATTGCAAAAGGGAACTCTGGAGAGCTGAAAAAGGGAATTAAGATTTATAAAACGTTTCCTAAAACTGTTTTTAAAAATCTGTATGTATGTATTTGATTTATAGACTTAAAAATTATTTTAACGTAACTACTGAGCTTATACAAAAGGATTATAGAGAAATACTATGCATAATTATATGCCAGTAAATTAGGTAACTTAGATGAAATGGACAATTTCTAGAAAGATACAAACTACCAAAACCGACTCAAGAAGAAATAAACAGTATAAATAGAAATACAACAGGAATTTGATTTAGTAATCAAAAACTATGCACAAGCCAGGCACAGTGGTTCACACCTATAATCCTAGCACTTTGGGAGGCTAAGACAGGTAGGTTGTCTGAGCCCATGAGAAACCAGCCTGGGTAACATGGTGAAACCCTGTTTATACAAAAATGAGTGTGGTGGCACACGTCTGTAGTCCCAGCTATTTAAGAGGCAGAGGTAGAAAGATCACTTAAGTCCTAGAAGTTGAGGTTGCAGTGAACTGTGATCATGCCACTGTACTCCAGCCTGTGTGACAGAGCAACACCCCATCTCAAAAAAATACATACATAAAATAAAACTACACAATGAAAAGCCCAGGCTCAGATGGCTTCATTGGTGGTAAATCTCATCAAACATTAATATCAATTCTTCACATATTCTTCCAAACAAACAGAAGAGGAAAGAATACTTCCCAATTTATTCTGTGAGAGCAGTTTTATCCTGGTACCAAAAATAGACAGAGATATCAGACATCAAAAAAACACCACAGATCAGCATCTCTTTATAAATACCTTAATCCTCAACAAAATGCTGGCCAGCCAAATTTAGCAACGTATATAAAAGAATTACATACCATGACTGTATTAGTTCATTTTTATGCTGCTGATAAAGACATACCTGAGATTGGGCAATTTGCAAAGAAAGAGGTTTAATTGGTCTTACAGTTTCATGTGGCTCAGGAAGCCTCACAATCATGGCAGAAGGCAAGGAGGAGCAAGTCACGTCTTACATGGATGGCAGCAGGCAGAGAGAGAGAGAATGAGCCAAGTAAAACAGGTTTCCCTTTATTAAACCATCAGATCTCATGATACTTATTCACTACCACAAGAACAATGTGGCGAAACCACCCCTGTGATTCAGTTATCTCCCATGGGTCCCTCCAACACTTGGGAATTATGGGAGTATAATTCAAGATGAGACTTGGGTGGGGACACAGAGCCAAGCCATATCAATGACCAATTGGGATATTTCCCAGGAATGCAAGGTTAGATTAACATCCAAAAATGTTAATATAATACACTATATCAATAGAAAAAATAAAAAAACCACATAATTATCTCAAAAGACACAGGAAAATAAAACACTTAAAAGAAAACAGGAATATTCATGACCTCGGATTTGGCAGTGGATTGTTAGATATGGTATCAGAAGCATAGGCAACAAATGGAAAAACAGGTAAGTTGGAGTTCATCAAAATTTAAATTTTGCAATATTCCAAGAACAAGAATACTGATGTGACTGTGGAAATCATAGGCACATTTTTAAGTCACGGAGTAATTATGTTTTTAAAGATTATGCTGTCTGATATGACACAAATGGACTAGTGTAAGGGAGAAGAAAGAGGAAAAGGTAAAGCTGATGTTGAAAGGAACCTAAGTCGTCATCTGTTTTAGGAAATCACTAGAAAATGTCTCAAGCTGATAAATGAAGAAATTAGTATAGAAATAGACAAATAGACCTATTTGAAGGAAGGTCCAGAGACACTTAGGTTTATATAGGAGATTAGACGTGTCACTTCACGAGGAAAGGATCATTGGTATATGGTTTGGGAGCAATTGAGATGTCTGTCCCTATGGGAGAAATAAAGCTGAATCTCTAAACTAGATGAACTAAAGTACATATTCTAGCACTCTTTTTTTTTTTTTTTTTTTTTTTTGAGACTGAGCCTTACTCTGTTGCCCAGGCTGGAGTGCAGTAGCACGGTCTCCGCTCACTGCAACTTCTGCCTCCCAGGTTGAAGAAATCCTCCCGCCTCAGCCTCCCAAGTAGCTGGATTACAAGCACACACCACCACACCCAGCTAATTTTTGTATTTTTAGTAGAGACAGGATTTCACCATGTTGGCCAGGCTGGTCTCGAACTCCTGACCTCAGGTGATTCACCTGCCTCGGCCTCCCAAGGTGCTGTGATTACAGGTGTGAGCCACCGTGCCTGGCCTGTTATAGAGGTAATCCTATAGTTTTGTCTTCAGCAGTATGTAATAGATGTTTCTCAATTTCTACATTGAGAGCTGTGCCATCTTCCAAGACTGTGTTGTATAGTAATCCATTGTTCCAGTATAACATAATTTATTCCCCTCGTGTTGTATATTCAGATGTATTTTTCATAGAGTGAGTTCAGCAAGGTCCAAAATGAAGTGTGCAGATTTGGATACTTGTGTCATGTGATTATAAATGATTTGAGTTTCTCTCTTCCTTAATTCTCTATATAATTTGAATTTCAAAGTAATGTAGTTGATTACTTCATAAGCAGAAAAGAATTGTATAACTTTTCTTAACGTAAGCTTTACGTTGTTCCCATTTCCACAGAACAAACTTCCTTTAACTTCAAATTGTAGACTTGTTAGGTTAACTGCTTTTGAGAAATATATATATCCCTTCTCCTTGTAATTGCTTACTAGGAAAACTAAAGTACTGTACTAGTATGTAACAGAGTAACCCTGGAAACTGTCATGGTTACCTTTTGCCATTGTCTGTTAGGTTATAGTTATTATACTTTTCATATTCCCTTCTTACCTTCAAAAAAATAGTAGGTCAGTATTTTTTTATCTTTCCAACAAAGCAGTTTGAAAGCACATAAGAGTCTCTTCCTTTGCCCTGGAAAAGATGCTCAAGCTTCATGCTATTGAACAGAAATGTGGGGGTAGAAAATGGTCTCATTTGAGTAACAAAACTGCATTCATCTACTTCTTATATGCCTTTGTTTTTTAGGCAGCACAGTCAGTGCTGATATCATTATTTGAACTCAATACCCCAGAGTTTACAATGTTATTAGGAGCTTTACCAAAAACTTTTCAGGATGGTGCTACCAAGCTTCTTCATAATCACCTTCGAAACACTGGCAATGGAACCCAGGTAATTCTTACTTACTTTCTTGGCTATTCTATAATGTGGTGGTTGATTTAACAATAATTGCTTTGTTTTATATGACGTAAACTTGATCCTTACTGTATAATTTTTGCATCTTTATTTGGCATTTCCTGAGCAGAATTAAATATTGTCTTGGAAAGAATAGAGTCCCTATGCCTGTCCTGTTTATATTGTATTATAATTTGTATAGATTAGGATGGTGGTAAACGGTGGTTAGGGCATGAACAAGAAAAGCAAAACATGAGCAAAACATAGATGAGAGCACCAGCTGGAAGCCATTAGAATCAGGACATGCTCTTTAATTGAACCAATTCTTATTTGAGGACTAATGGGGATGACTCAAGAAATAAGTTCTGAGTAAATGGAACCTTGAAATGATATATGTATATATGTGTGTTTGTATATACATGTATGTATTTTTTACTGGTATGAAGTAATTTACGTAATATGCCTAAAGAATTGAACTAAAGAATTAAAGAGAGACATTTGATAGCAAACAAAGGAAATGCACTGATGACAGGCTTAAGGTAAAGTCTGAGGAGGGTTACAAGTAATCCTAAAACAATTTCTTGTGAACCAGAGTCAGTCATCTTTTGAAAAGGAGTAAGGATTATGTCATTATATCTTAAAAATAGACATATTAATAATATGACCAGATTTAACTCCCTTGGTGTAAAGCAAAGTCAAGGAGGAATAAAATTTGAGTATTAGTAATGGTTAGAAGAAGGAAATTAGCTCAGAACAGAAAGCTAATTTAAAAGTACTAGTTTAGGATATCATTGAATCCTTAAGGGAAAGGATGTTGATAATATTTGAGAGCAGGAAGTAGGTGAGAACAGAAAAAGACTAAAGAGTTATGTAACTAAGTAGGAAGAAATTTTTTCCCGTGGAAACCAGACATAAGTACATGAATATTTAAAATATTGACCTGGAAATATGGCCTTTAATTGTGGTTCAACCTAATGTTTGTGTGGCTTAAGAATTTTTTTAAGTGAACTTATTTGTAATATGTTAATATTTCTTTGACTCCCTTCATCAGAGTTCCATGGGGAGTCCTTTGACAAGACCAACACCACGATCACCAGCTAACTGGTCCAGTCCTCTTACTTCTCCTACCAATACATCACAGAATACTTTATCTCCAAGGTAATAAAAGGATGATTTTTCATGATAGTTTGTGTTTGTAAATTCCTATTCTTTTTTTTTTTTTTTTGAAACAGAGTCTCACTCTGTCGCTCATGCTGGAGTGCAGTGGTGTGATCTCAGCTCACTGCAACCTCCACCTCCTGGGATCAAGTAATTCTCCAGCCTCAGTCTCCCAAGTAGCTGGAATTACAGGCACACGCCACCACACCTGGCTGATTGTTTGTATTTTTTAGAGAAACGGGGTTTTACCATGTTTGCCAGGCCAGTCTCAAATTCCTGACCCAGGTGATCCGCCTGGCTCAGCCTCCCAAAGTGCTGGGATTACAGGCATGAAGCACCACACCCAGCTGTAAATTCCCATTATTAAAAAGCAAGCGTTAATATAATTCCAGTCAATTCCCACTTGACTTGAAAGGTCTTAGAAAAGTAGAAACTTAGCAAATTAAAAAATTTTGAAGTTTATTTGAAAATTACTTAAATGATAATACATAGGATATGGAATTTTTTTAATAAGTGGAAAGAAAATGTGACAACTTTTTAAAATAAATTACTGTTTATATTAAATGGCATAATTATATTTCTCAGAAATGCTATATAAATCCAGTAAATTGTAAATTATGCCTTTCAGTTACATTATACTACTCAGTATGAGTGCTGATGAGGTCAATTATAATGATGAATTTGAAAAATTAAGTTTACAGACAAAACATGAAAATATATAACAAATAAGAAAAGGTGAAATATATAATGAATATATGACATTTATTATATATGTAAATAAATATAAATTTATTATGATATATATTATCATTAATTACATATATAACTATATTTAATGAATTACATATATAACTATATTTAATGAATTACATATGTAATATGTCATATATTCATTATATATTTAACCCGTCCCTATTTATTTTTTATGTTTTATCTGTAAGCTTAATATTTTCATTATATATGTAATGAATTATGTCTATATAGATATATATCATATTAATATATAAATCATAATATCTATATAAATTATAGATATATAAACATTTTATATATATATAATCCATTACATATTATATAGATATAATTCATTCTGTATATAATATCTGTGTAGTTCATTGTGTGTATAATATAAAATGTCATATTATATTTATATATGAATTTTATGTATAAACATATACATAATAAATAGTGAATATATACCTCTGAGGAAAAAATATGACCGAGAGATTGGGCCTTAATACAAAATAAAAGATGTGTATAATTTTCACACACTTGTGTGATTCAAGCATGAGCTGAATTTTAAATGACATTCTTGACTCCTTAGTAGACTAAAATTTTACTTTCTTTTCCTGGCCTTTTGAAAAATTGTTTGCATAGACCTTCAGCATTACTGATCAATAGAGAAATGCAAATCAACCCCACAAAGAGATACTATTTCACACCAGTCAGAATGGTTATCATTGAAAAGTCAAAAAATAACAGATGCTGGCAAGGTTGTGGAGAACTTTTACACTATTGTTGGGAGTGTAAATTAGTTGATCTATTGTGGAAGATAGTGTAGCAATTCCTCAAAGACCTAGAGACAGAACTATCATTTGAGCCAGCAATCCCACTACTAGGTATATACCCAAAGGAATATAAATCATTCTGTTGTAAAGACACATGCACATGTATGTTCACTGTAGCACTATTCATAATAGCAAAGACATGGAATCAATCTAAATGCCCATCAGTGATAGACTGGATAAAGAAAATGTGGTATGTATACACCATGGAATACTAAGCAACCATAAAAAAAAATAAGATCATGTCTTTTGCAGAGACATGGATAGAGCTGGAGACCATTATCCTTAGCAAACTAATACAAGAACAAATAAATACTTTGTATTCTCATTTGCAAGTAGGAGCTAAATGATGAAGACACATGAACACATAAAGGGGAACTACACACCCTGGGGCCTACTAGAGTGCAGAGGGTAGGAGGAGGGAGAGAATCAGGAAAAATAAACGGACATTAGGCCTAATACTTGGGTGATAAAATAATCTGTACAACAAACCCCCATGACACACGTTTACCTAGATAACAAATCTGTACATTCTGAACAAATATCCCTGAACTTAAAAGTTTTTTTTAAAAAAAGGAGTTGGGCTGAGTGCGATGGCTCACACCTGTAATCCCAGCTCTTTGCTAGGCTGAGACGTGCAGATCACTTGAGGTCAGGAGTTCAAGACCAGCCTGATCAACATGGCAAAACCTCATCTCTACTAATAATACAAAAATAGCCGGGCACGGTGGCATATGTCCATAGTTTCAGCTACTCAGGAGGCTGAGGCAGGAGAATCACTTGAACCCAGGAGGCGGAGGTTGCAGTGAACCAGTATCATGCCACCACACTCCAGCCTAAGTCACAGAGCAAGACTCAGTCTCGAAAAAAAAAAAGGAGTTTGGTATTTATATTTAATAGCTTGATTTTTGTCATTAGCCATGTAGTATAGTGTGCTTCATCAAGTTATTCATTAAAATTATTGGATAATAATACATCAACATCTAAGAAAGGAAAATATATTATAAACATTTTCTAGCCTATGTTTTCCATTCTACATATATGATAAATTTGGTAGCTAAATTCCAGCTTCAGTTGAGTTTTAGCATTTGATTATAGAGTTCATGTTAATAACATTTATGGATCAGGAACAATGGCTTATACTTGAAACCCCAGCATTTTAGGAGGCTGATGCAGGAGGATCACTTGAGGCCAGGAATTTGGTATAAACCTAGGCAACATATGGAGACGCCATCTCTACAAAAGAATTTTTAAAAATCAGCCAAGCATGATGGTATGTGTTTGTAGTCCTAGCAACTTGGTAGTCTGAGGCAGGAGAATTGCTTAAGCCTAGGAGTTTCAAGGCTGCAGTAAGCTATGGTCATACTACTGCACTCCATTCTAGGCAGCAGCAAGACCCTGTCCCTTAAAAAAAATAAATTGGCCAGGCATAGTGGTTCACACCTGTAATCCCAGCACTCTGGGAGCCCGAGGTGGGCAGATCACCTGAGGTCAGGAGTTCGAGACCAGCCTGCCATATACATGGTGAAACCCCATCTCTACTAAAAATACAAAAAATTAGCTGGACATGGTGGCAGGAGCCTCTACTTGAGAGGCAGAGGCAGGAGAATCGCTTGAGCCTGGGAGACAGGTTGCAGTGAGCTGAGATTGTGCCACTGCACTCCAGCCTGGGCAACCAGACTGAAATTCTGTCTAAAAAAAATTATGTTCAATGTTAAAAATCCTCTCACTTCTTACAAATTTGTTTTAAAATATATTTATTTCTTCTTCAAGCAGTACCATTATTGAGAGTTAATCAAAGAGATTGGCAAACTTTCTGTAAAGGGTCAGGTGGTAAATATTTTAGGCCTTTTGAGTCATGGTCTTGGAGTCTCTACTCAACTCTGCTATTGTATGAAAACAACCATCAACAATAGAAATAAAAAATAACCATAGACAATACCTAAATAAATAGGCATGACCATGTTAAATAAAGTTTTATTTATAGACACTGAAATTTAAATTTTATCTAATTTTTATATATATATATAAATTCATTATATTTATATATGAATGTATGTATAAACATATATATCATAAGTACATAGTGAATATATACCTCTGAGGAAAAAATATGACTGAGAGATTGGTCCTTAATACAAAATAAAAGATGTGTATAATTTTCACACACTTGTGTGATTCAAGCATGAGCTGAATTTCAAATGACATTCTTGACTCCTTAGTAGACTAAAATTTTATTTCCTTTTCCTGGCCTTTTGAAAAACTGTAGAAAATTAGATAAAATTTAAATTTTAGTGTCCATGAATAAAATTTAAAACCATTTGAAAATGTAAGAAACATTCTTGGCTTGCAAGCCATCCATAGTTTTCTGACCTATGGTTAATCAGAACATTTTTGAAGGTGGAAACACAAACCAGTTATTAAGGTTTGTGCATTCTAGAGTAATTGTAAGGTGTCCTTGGTGGAAGGACAAAGGGACGTGTACTTTAACTATATATAGCTGCTATTTTTTGTTTTGCTAATTATGCTCTGGAGAATATACATTCTCTAATCTTGTCTTTGTAAATATCCTTATATAATTTCCTCAAATGTGTTTGTATTTTAAAACTACACCTAAATGAAAATTACTATCATCTTTTTCATAGTGCATTTGATTATGACACAGAAAATATGAACTCTGAAGATATTTATAGCTCTCTTAGAGGTGTTACTGAAGCAATCCAGAATTTCAGCTTCCGTAGCCAAGAAGATATGAATGAGCCATTGAAAAGGGATTCTAAAAAAGATGATGGCGATTCAGTGAGTATTTTAGTAACCTTACTTTGTAGATTATTTCATTATTCATTAAGAATTTTTTAAATTAAAAGTTGCTTTCTGTCATTTTTGAATGTACTTATTTGGGGATCAGTCACTCTGCAAGTATTTACTGAGTATCTACCACATAGCAGGCACTGTTTGAGGCATTAGATTTATATGACAAAATCACTGCCTTCAAATTCCTTTTAGATTGTCATATAGAGATGAGTATTATAGAGTTTTAAGATGGAACGTGCTTTGGAGGAAAGTGAGTCTATTTTAGATTTTGTGGTCCGAGAAGACCTCTTTCTAAAGGTAGCATTTGCATTGAAATCTAATTAAGCCACATAAAATCCAGAGAATTCCGTGAAAGAATTAGCAAATCTTAAGTCATTTAGATGGGAACAAGCTTTGTACAATTGAGGACTAGGAAGAAAACCAGTGTAGTTGGAGCATTATGAGAGGAAAAGGGGAGTGGAACATGGGCCAGATCACAGTGAGTCTTGTAAGAATACCTAAGGAGTTGAGAATTTTTTTTTTCTCATTAGGTGTAGTGATAGTAATTTGTATCATCAGTTTATGTGGCTCCAGATAACAATGTGTTTTATTTCGTTTTTTTAGTTAATGTGCCAAATGTTTTATTTTTTTAACATGCAAGTAACTGACTCTCAAAGTATTTTTTAAATCACAAGACATTACACTGAAGTAAGAATGTTATAACCTACAAATTCTTATATATTTAATATTATTCACATTTGAATATTGTTTAGTTTATTGCTTCTGCTATTATACACAAAGTGGGTTTTTACTTTGCTGCTTCTTAGACTTTTCTCTAACAGCTGAGACTTTTCACAAAATGAGACATCCCACCAGTTCCTGTGGAATTAATTGTTTCTCGGTGTTCGCAAAGTTGCAGAACATTGTAGTGCTTCAGCACATCTCTAAAGGGCCCCTTCCTCTGCCTTCCTGCCATCTTTCCTGCTGCTGTTTTTCTCACAGTGCCTATCTGGCAGAGCTGAATTGTGGTGGGCCTAGTAAACTGGCTGCCAAAACCTAGCTTGTCACTGATATTTGAGCTTCCCTACCCTTAAAGGCTGCATGTGGTAACAATAACAGATTAGTAAGAATCACTGCTTCATTGAGACTCAGTTTGGTTTTGTTTTTTTCAGACACAGCATGGTACAGGGTAGGGAACTCAAATTGTGAATTTTGACAGAGTGAGTTCAAATCCCAGTTCCGGGTAGTTATTAGCTAATGAGGTTATCATCTTTAAGTTTCAATGTCTTCATTAAGAAAATAGGGATATCACTGCTTACCTTGAAAGTTCTTGTGAGTGTAGTAAATCATATGACTCTTTTCAGCTCAGACCTCTTTTCCTGAGTTCCACATTCACATTCAGCTGCCTGTTTGAATTCCTGGTCTTCTCACCTAAAGCCGATTTTCCCTGTCTCAGTTGATAGCAACACTAGTTGCCTAGCCAAAAACCATGGACAAGAGTTGTTGAGTCCTCTATTTTTCTCATCCTCCATACCAAATCTGTCAGGAAATCTGTTGGCCCCCCCCTGCAGAATGTATCCAGAATTCAACCTATTCTCACCACTGCCTTTCAGGTTTGAACCATCATCTTCGCCAATTCTCTCACCTGGATTATTAAAATTTGGCCCCTTGATTATGCCTTTGACCTCCTACTAGTCTCACTCTCACTCAACTCTATAGGAGGTCCTTGTCTCAGTCAAAACCAGAGTCTACACAATAGGCTTTTTTTCTGTTACCTCTCTGGCCTCATCTCCTACTAGTTTCCTCCTGTTCACTCTGCTTCTGCCGCACTGGCTTCCTTGCTGTTCCTTGAACTTACTAGGCATGTTCCTTCCTCAGGATCTGTGTATTGGCTGTTTTCTCTACCTGAAACATTCTACCTCCAGATAGCCCCTTGGCTAATTCCATTACTTCCTTCAAGTGTTTACTCAAATGGCTTCGCAGTGAACCCTACTCACCCTGTTTAATGTGTGAACCCCATCCTCCCCCCTCAGCACTTATGATTCCTTCTTCTAACATACCATATACTTTATTCATTTATTAAGTTTTTTAATTGTCTGTCCCTCCATTAAATATAAACTCCATTGGAGTAGACATCTTTCTCTCTCTTGTTCACTAATGTATTTCCCAGTGCCATGAACAATGCCAAGCATAGAATAGGTACATAGTAAATATTTTAAGAATATTTGTAAGGTGCCTAGCAAATGGCTTGGCACATAGTTGCCCAGTGGCAGGTGGTAATGCTGATGCTCATGGCAGTAATTACTTTGATACCAGTATTTGTATCATTATATATATTCATATTTTGGTAAGTTTAGTAATGTGCCCAAATTCTTTTGTCATTCTTCCAAAAGTTATTCAGGTCTTTTAAGCCTTTCTTTTCCCCCCGCCCCCCCCCCTTAAAGCAAGCCTTTTTAAATGTGATTTTATTATGCTTTGTTGACATACCATCGTATGATATACCATTACCTTATTAATGGAATCTGACCATTTGTAGTGCTGTGTTGCTTATAAAAGTTCTTTGTATCTTTAACTGACATGGAAAAGCTGCTTGTAATCACACTGTATATATTGTCTGATCAAGTCATTGGCAAGGGAACTCTAATAATCATTAGAGGCAGCATTCTTTTACAGTTCTTATTTGCCTTCACAGCTGTAGTTTAGGCTTTGACATCTGGAATATGTTTTAACTCATAATGTTGATTGCCATTACTTAAATTTTTTAGCTGGTTATTGTTATCTTTTTAAAATTTTCTTTTAAGCAGTAGAGAAATATCTTTTTAGAATGTTAAATAGATATAAATAGATACTTAAAATAAGTTAATTTGCTGTACCTTCCCCTTCCCATTGATAGATATGTGGTGGTCCTGGGATGTCTGACCCAAGAGCAGGAGGTGATGCTACTGACTCAAGCCAAACAGCTCTTGATAATAAAGCTTCATTGCTCCATTCGATGCCTACTCACTCCTCTCCACGCTCTCGAGACTATAATCCATATAACTATTCAGATAGCATCAGTCCCTTCAACAAGTCAGCCCTCAAGGAAGCCATGTTTGATGATGATGCTGACCAGTTTCCTGACGGTATGTTCTGGGTCACTCTGCTACTGTCTGTTTTGGAGAACCTGGTAATCAATGAAGTAAAAGAAATGCATATCCTCTTTTATTATCACTCCCAACAAGTAAGGATTTTCAGAATAAGAATGTTTTCTCCCATATTCTAGGAGCTCATCTCTAATGGTTTGGTTGTTTTCCTCTGAATGAGAAACAGGGTAGTCATCTTGACGATCATGCCGAAAATCAAGAAAACCTCAGTTACCTCCCAGAAATAACTAAAATCAGTTGTAGCTTATAAATGTACTTCATCTCTAGAAACAATTTATTTGGTCATTTATATTAATACAATACATTTCAAGAACAAAATATGAAGAAAGTTACCATAAGGATTTGGATTTGGGTGAAATAGTCTTAGTTCAAAGCTCTAACGCATACTAAGCTGCATAGCCTGGCAAGATGGTTAACTTTCCCAAATCTCAGTTATCACCTCCAAAAGAGGATGATGACGATTATTCTACCTGCCCTAATCCCAGTGTAGAGTAAGATGCAGGTAAGTCATATAAAAACTGATGATAAAGCACAAAACACGACAAATGTTTTAGTGTTTTGTTTAAGAGACTGGTATCACTGTCACCTACTCTGGAGTGCAGTTGCTCAATCATAGCTCACTGCAGCCTTGTTCTCCTAGGCTCAAGCAGTCCTGCCACCTCAGCCTCCTGAGTAGCTGGGACTACGGACCACCATACTCAGCTAATTTTACTTTATTTAATAAATTTTCTATAGAGATATTGCCTCCCTATGTTGCCTAGGCTGGTTTCAAACTCCTGACCACAAGTGATCCTCCCACCTCAGCCTCTCAAAGTGCTGAAATTATAGGTATGAGCCACTGGGCCCGACATAGTTATTTTTAATAGTAAGAAAATATACATTTTCTTTTCTTAATTAATTAATACTTTTGTGTTTTTCAGATTCTAGTACTATATAGTAATATATAACCATATATAAATAAACTTGAAAGCCTTTCTCTCAACACTATCCCATGATGCTGTATTCAAGTTTTTCTTTATTCTCATAATGTTGCTGTCAATGAGCATATTTCTGCATGAACCTTTATGCCCATAAGTAATTCTTTTTGTGTGTGTCAAGAATCTTAAGAAAAATTGATGGTCATGCACAGTGGCTCATGCCTGTAATTCCAGCACTTTGAGAGGCCAGAGTGAGACCCTGTCTCAAAAAAAAAAAAAAAAAAAAAAAAACACATGAGATACCATCTCACACCAGTTAGAATGGTGATCATTAAAAAATCTGGACACAACAGATGCTGGAGAGGATGTAGAAAAATAGGAACACTTTTACACTGTTGGTCGGAGTGTAAATTAGTTCAACCATTTGGAAGACAGTGTGCCAATTCCTCAAGGATCTAGAAATAGAAATTCCATTTGGCCCAGCAATCCCATTACTGGGTATATACCCAAAGGATTATAAATCGTTCTGTTATAAAGACACATGTACACGTATATTCACTGCAGCACTGTTTACAATAGCAAAGACTTGGAACCAGCCCAAATGCCCATCAGTGATAGATTGGATAAAGAAAATGTGGCACATATGCACCATGGAATACTACACAGCCATAAAAAAGAATGAGTTCATGTCCTTTGCAAGGACATGGATGAAGCTGGAAACTACCATTTTCCAGCAAGAAAATGATACAAGAACAGAAAACCAAACACTGCATGTTCTTACTCATAAGTGGGTATTGAACAATGAGTACATATGGACACAGGGAAGGGAACATCACACACTGGGTCTGGTTGGGGAGCTAGGGAGGAATAGCAGGTGGTGGGGGGATTAGGGAGGGATAACTTTAGAAGAAATGCCTAATGTAGGTGACGGGGGGATGGAGGCAGCAAACCACCATGGTATATGTATACCTATGTAACAATCTCCATAATCTGGACATGTACCCCAGAACTTAAAATATAATAATAAAATTTTTTTTAAAAAAGAACAATCAAGGTAATTCACTCTTAAGAGATTTCTAGAAATGGAATTGCTTACATAAAGGATAGGTGAATTTAAAGTTTGAGACTTATTACCTATTTACATCTCAAAATACTTGGATAGATTAAGTAATGCTGATTTTCTCAGAATGTTTAAAAATTTTTGTGATTGTGATGGAATGTACATTTCCTTGATTATTAGATATTGGTAATTACATATTAGAAATCTTTTAAAATTTTTATTAACAGGAAATAGATTCATTTGTAGTTATTTGATTACTAGGGAAGTTGAGGAGTGTTTTTATTACCTTCACTTTAATGTATCACAAATATCAAAAAGCCAAAATTATGACAGTTTACTAAATTTAAATTGCATAAGGATCTAGAAAATTGTCACAATTTCATAGTTTAATAATCTGTCACAAATGGTTGACTGTCTTGTTGAGATTTAGTCATGACAGCGGTGTAACATGAGTGAATAAATTGAACATAACATGAAAGTATCCACTAAACACTATGTGGTATCAACAGCCTGGTAAATTGAGACTTAGCTTCAGTAGCATTAATTATTTAAAAATCATTTATGCACATGAGTCACAAACTGTCAGGCTAAATGTCAACTGACATTTCTTGCCTCAGTCATACTATATATAAATATATATATACTATATATATATATATAGTATATATATATTTAATCTTAAAATGATCAAGAGCATAAAAATTGGGGGACAGTACAAAGAACCAAAAAAGACATTCTCCTGCATAACAACAAAATACTCATCAAAATCAAGACATTATGGCCGGGCACAGTGGCTCACACCTGTAATCCCAACACTTTGGGAGGCCAAGGTGGGCGGATCATGAGGTCAAGAGATTGATACCAGCCTGGCCAACATGGTCAGACCCCATTTCTACTAAAAATACAAAAATTAGCTGGGTGTGGTGGCGCATGCCTGTAATCCCAGCTACTTGGGAGGCTGAGGCACGAGAATTGCTTGAACCCAGAAGGTGGAGGTTTCAGTGAGCCAACATTGTGCCTCTGCACTCTGGCCTGGTGGCACAGCAAGACTATCCCAAAAAGAAAGAAAGAAAAGAAATTACCCAGCTGAGTGGTGGCTTATGCTTGTAATCCCAGCACTTTGGGAGGCCAAGGCAGACAGATGATGAAGTCAGGAGATCGAGACCATGCTGGCCAACATGGTGAAACCTCGTCTCTACTAAAAATACAAAAATTAGCTGGGTGTGGTGGCACATGCCTGTAATTCCAGCTACACAGGAGGCTGATGCAGGAGAATACCTTGAACCAGGGAGTTGGAGGTTGCAGTGAGCCCAGATCATGCCACTGTACTCCAGCCTGGCAACAGAGCAAGACTTCGTCTCAAAAAAAAAAATGGAAAAGAAATTAGCCAGTGCCAGTAGTCCCAACTACTCAGGAGACTGAGCCAAAGAATCTTTTGAGGCTTGGAGTTCAAGGTTTCAGTACACTATCATGATGCCTGTGAATAGTCCTGCACTAAAGCTTGGACAGAAAAATGAGACCCTGTCTCTAAAAAAATAATAATTACAAAAAAAAAAATTTTTTTTCTGTCCCCCAAACCACAGAATTTTTTGAAAAGTTTTTTAAATTAGGAAATTATCATTGGTACATTAATAGCCACCTAATCCTTAAACCCCATTAGAATTTTGCAAGTTGTCCCAGTATTATCTTTTTTCCAATTTTTTTTTTCTTTACTGGGTTGAAATACACATAAAATTCACTATCTTAAGCATTTTATATACAGTTTGGTTGTATTTAGTACATTCATACTGTTGCATAGCCATCATGGCCATTCATCTCACATAACCCTTTTCAGGTTGTAAAACTGAAACTCTATACCCATTAAATAATAACTCCCAAGTTCCACTCCGACTCCAGCCCCTGGCAACTACCATTCTCCTCTTTGTCTCTCTGATTTTTGTCTGCTTTTAAGTACCCTGTATAAGTGGAATCATACGTTACTCATCTTTTTGTGACTGGCTTATTTCATTTAGCATAATGTCCTCCAGGTTGATTAGTGTTGTAGCATATGACAGAATTTCCTTCTGTAAGGAAATTCCTTTTGTAAGGCTGAATAATATTCCATTGTCTGTACATGCCTCATTTGCTTATCCATTAATTCACTGATGGACATTTGGGTTGCTTCCAAGTTTTGGCTGTTGTGAAAAATGTTGCTATAAACGTTGGTGTGCAAATACCTCTTCAATACCCAGTTTTCAGTTTTTTTTTTTTTTTTTTTTTTAATGAAGAAGAGAGATTTTTTTTCTTAGAGTTCTGAAGGCTGGGAAGTCTTCCAACCTCAGATGGAAGATGGAGGGGTGACATCTGGCCAGGGTCTTCATGTTTCATCCTCCCATGGCAGAAAGAAGAGGAGGAGGAGGAGGAAGAGAGAGAGAGAGAGAGAGATTGAGAGAGAGGTGGGGGTAGGTGGTGGGGGAGAGAGAGATTTGGAGAAGAAGGCTGAACCCATCCTTTTATCAGGAACCGACTTCTGAGACAACTAATCCACTCCTATTAATGTGATGGCATTAATTCATTCCATGGGGGCTCTGCCCATTACCTCTTAAAGGTCTCATCTCTCAACACTTGCTTTGGGGATTAATTTTCCAATGCATGAGTTGTATGGGACACCTTCATACCATAGCAAACTCTATTCATAAGATTCATTTCTTGTGGAGTCAGATTTGATATTCTGTGTCTTCCTAGGAATTTGTCCATTTCATTTAAATTATCTAATTTGTTGGCATTCAGTTGTTCATAGTATTTCTTTTTAATAATTTTTATTTCTACAAGGTTTATAGTAAAATCTGGACTTTTGTTTCTGATTCTAGTAATTTGATTCTTTTGGGGGGCTTTGTCAATCTAGCTAAACCTTTGCCATTTTGTTAATCTTTTCAAAGAACCAGCTTTTGATTTCATAATTTTTTATTCTCTATTGCTTTTCTATTCTCCATTTCATTTACTTCTGCTCTAAGCTTTCCTTC